GAGTTTGGTATAACCTGGAGTGAGCGAATAAATCCAGCGGGGCAATATGACCACGCCACAGAGGACGCGTAGGGCATCTTTGGTCTGATAGTGATTAGAGAAATTTTTCTTTTGAAGCTTGTTGTGTTTGAAGAGGCAACTTTTCTGGCAGATAAGTGAGTATAGTAGTTTGACCTCTGGATAGTCTTTTTGTGGGTTGTTTAATATGGTCGCACCAAGAGAGTCTGTTGCTTACGATAACACCAAGATAGTTTATGTTAGAGCGCCAAGGGACTGGCGCACCATCAATGACGATTGGTTGAACATTTAGTCTTCGGCATCATTAGTAATGCTTATCGTTGCGCTCTGTGAAGGGTAAGGCGCCACTGGGCAACCAGAGCTGGATCCTTCTAATGTACACTTGCAAATGTTTTTACTGCTAGCGGAGCTGACTGAGAAATAGAAAAGATTTTAGTGTCATGAACGTTGTTGAGGTATTGGAAGCAAGGAACCTCGCGGTACGCCTTCCCTGAACCCTTTTAACTTTAGCAGGCCTTTCCAATTTTTATAAAAAACTTTCTACGAAACAGTAATAATTTAATGAAGGAGGTAACATGGTATTCCTGGTTGGTCATATAGTAATGAGACCGGCTTGCCAAACTCTTAAATTCTTTTCAAAAAAAATATAAGAGAACAGAACATGGGGACTTGTTATTAATTTTTTTGTCACGTGGCGGGGGCCTCAAGAGTTACTGCGTAGTTGAATATCCCCTTCTGAACCTAACTTGGTTTCAGGGATGAAATAGGTTTGCTCTACATATTTGTAATCGCTTAAGCTTTACTACCTCTTCTAATTTGCTAACACAGGACGGTAGACTTTTTAAGTGACTAAGTAGGTAAATGTCCGCCGGGTTTATCTAAGGGTTTTTAAATTTTGGTAAAGAAATTTGTGGCTATTTTCCATCGATCCGGAAGTAGTAAAAAACAAAGACCGCCGTTTATTATAAGAGTAAACGTTATTATGGCCAACTCAGGTAAGTTTTTAGCGAGAAATTTGTTATACCATCAGGTCCCGGCAATTTTTTAGTTGAAAAGGTGTGGTTAATCGGTTATGCTTCTTCGAGGTCTGTGTATTACTTTAGCGGTACTTGCTTACCAGAGGATATAACTGTGAGGGTTGTTGTTCTATTTGAAGGAATTATTTCGAGTGGGCATTGGGACAGGAGACATTAAGCAAAGACTTCCGCTTTCTTTTTGTCGTAGTAAGCAGTGCTGGTTTCTAAATATAATGGGGAGTTGTGCTGTTGTGGTCGGTTCTTTACAGATTTCATGATTTGCCGATAGGAACGCGGATTACGTGTACTTCTAAATTCTTGGTTGTGGAGCGTAAGAAGGCTTTTTTTTGACCTTTTTGTCAAGGTTGTTTAGTAATCGTTTACCTTCAGGGGGCCAGCTGACGCAAACTTCCACTTTTGCTGTTACCCAGATTGAAGAAACTTCATCTTTTGCAGGAAGATGTGGTTTTAAATATGATTTTTTTTATAGTGGTAGAGGCCTTTTGGTTTGATTAAATGATCGTGCTTCAAAGATAGCTACTCAATCATAGAGTAGCACGGCGAATTAAGTCTCAAGGGTTTGTCTTCAAGTTTTCGTCTAGTAGATTTTAAAAAAGTTTCAAATGGAAAATTTACGTAATGAAGGCGGAGGGCCGACGTCTAAGGAGTATATTTCAAGAAATACATGCAGGTGATCTGTGCAAAGCTCATATAAATTCGTGTGCTTAACTTCGAGACAAATATTTTTCATAACTGCAATGTCTAATACACCAGCAGTACCTCATTTAGGAACGCGTGTTGGGCTTACCCCTTATCATCGGCGTTCTTGTTGAGAATTTCCCCATTAGGGCTCCCTTTTTTTTTTCAGTTAATCCCAGATAAAATTTTGCATTTTTAGTTCGCCAAATAGAATTTCGGAGTTCAAAACGGGATCCATTACGTTATTTGCTAAAGGTTTTCAGGAGATACATTTATAAAGACAATCGCTACATCGCCTTGGTCATAAAAATTTGTTTTTACTGCAGTTGCCTCGATGAAAGTTAACTGGTTAAATAAAAGCTCTGAAGGGAGAAGGTGTCTTCTGACCAATACCGCTACACCTTTTCCTTCACGAAATACTGAGTAGTTGAACAATATAAAGATATTTCCGGGCTTTAAGTGTGTTTCGCTCACAAGAACAATATCGAGTTTTTCTTATAAGAAACTCTTCTAACTCCTCTCTTTCACAGTTTTGCAGGCCATTGGTGTTCCAGATTAGAGTGAAATGTACTTTAATCTGGTATTGCAGGACAAAATGATTTGCGAAGCTCATTAAGCGACTCAGCTAAAGTGAAAAGTCTATTACTTAAACTTAATTAATTACTCGTAACTTTATCTTCAGTACGGGCTCTCTCTTTCGTTAGAGGTAAAAATATTTTTTTTAAGGGGGATTCTGGTTCAGGTACAGAAGTGGTGGGTGTAAATTGCATTTTTCATAAGTATGTGTTTTCGGATAAATAGATATATTCCCTATAGTTTGCATTGTGATTACCCTGACAGTTAGCACATTTAGGGGAGGAAGCCGGTGTTTTTTTGCGCCGTATAGTTTCGTGATTCAGCAAAATTTGACTCACTCGTAGACTGAGGTGCATTAATTTGAGTTGGGGCCGAAGAGCTGAAAGCGATGGCATGACCATTTGTCGTGCTGTTTTAACGGCTGTCCACAAAGGTTGAGGGATGACAAAAAAAAGTAACTTTATATAACAATACTTCAGATCTCGGTAGATGCACGAGAAAAGTAGACGAGGTTTCTTTTCGAATCTTCAGCTTTTCAATAGAGCGACCTTTAATGAGTGAAATTCCTGTTATCGTAGATCTTCTTGGATCTCTTCGCTCCAATTCTGTGAATATACCTAAAAACTACTCTAAGTCCTCGCTCTTCAGGTAGTTGTAAAATTGATAATTTTTTTTTCAATGAGGAGCTTTGTGGCTTACCGAAATCAGACAGAACTTAAGAGAAAAACTTCAAATACAGTTTGAGTATCCCTTGAGGTGAAGTTACTGAGGTTACTGTTTGATAAAAAAAAAATACCTCGGATCATTTTTGCTTTTCACGTATAACCACGGGAGGAATGTTTATTTTTAAATGTGTAACCGGCATCGTCGCTGGTGATGTTGTTAATATTATTTGTATGAGTGTTATCACTATTGTTACTGCTCTTAGTAATAGAAGTATAAGTGTTATTATTATTACTATGGTCCTCACCACTATTGTTAATAGTATTATACTCATTGCTATCGTTTCTGTTACTATATTAGTTATTACAGTTATTACTATTAGTAGTGATATTATTATTATCAATGTAAGCAACTTTGACTTCATCTACCAGCAGGAAAGCTTAAGTCATTAGGATTAGGAAATTCTAGAGCAAAAGAAACAGCCATTTCGCTGTTTCGAAGCATTAAAACCAGAGTTGTTCACTTCACTTTCAAGTTCGATAATTTTTTGTTTGCTATTTTTATTGTTAGTTCTTCGATAATAGCTAATAACTTGACTATTATCTCGGGGGGAGTGTTATTGCATGGCTAAAATATATATGTATTTATAACAATATAAGAATATAAATGAAGTTAAAAGAAAAAAAGAAGAGTTTCGTAATATATACAGATGTAAATAAGTAAGTTAATTATAGAGAATACGTTGTGATTCGTTCTCTCAGTCTGATTGTTTTAGCTCTTTCATTCGCTTCCCTGCTTTAAGAAACATATGGTTGTAGCCGTATTTAAAAAATTTGACGACAAACATCGGATTGTGGTTGAATTTAGCCTTTTTTCTTGTCAAGTAAGTAAATTTCTGGAGTTATCACAATTAAATTAGTTTTCTTAGACATCACATTGGTTAAGTCTTTATCAATTATTTAATAGTGAAACACTTCATTCTAACTATTTTTCTGTATAATTGTTTCTGCAGTATATACAAGTTGTATACATTTTTATGCAATCGTTTGATAGACAAGTTTTTATATATTACATATTTTACTTCCTAATATTTTAGTTGCGATTATTGTTTTCCAGGTTAAAAAGAGTTTTAAGATTTTCCTCTTCACAGGTAGCGAGATGGCTAAAGCTTCGCGTTTATATTGTATGGAAACACTTTAAAAAAAAAGGAGATAGAGAGATAAGAGAGTTGAGAGGGGGAACAGAAACACAAGCACAAGACAATTTCTTCGTTTGGCTGTATTCATAATCTGACCAAAAAAAAATTTCTAATTACTTTGTTTATTTCAATTTTTATATAAAAAGCAACGTTACTTATTTAAATGGATGTTACTTATTGGCTTGGAATTTATTACAATGTTTTTATTGGAGGTATGCCATTTAAATAAATTATTTAAATTTATCTATTGTTTGTATCTCATTGATAGTCTGAACGTTCCTATTCATAAGCTCACGATTAAATGTTTTGTAATCTGTTTTTCAGACAAAGATTTATACATCACACCCATTAAGTAAAGACTACTTCATCGATTAGCATAACTATTTCGAGCATCAGTGATAAGTTGTAATCATAAACGAAGTTTCGACACCAAAATAAAGTTCCTATAAATATTTTTTTGTTATTTTACGATCTAGACAGTATATAAATCTTCTTCTCACACCTTCTTTTGGAATTTTTAACAAACACAAAAGCATAAAACCAATGCAAACCGTAAATGTCTATTTCAGAATACCAAAATGCTATCTACACCTCCCCTACATTTACAGGATTCTTTCATTATACCGCCTGCTTAATGCTCTTAAAAATGTTTATTTTATTTTTTTATCTATTCATACAAGTTTATTTTGAAAGAATTAAATATTTTTTAAAAACTTAAACGTATTTTACAATAATAAATATCTTTTTTTTTAATGTTTATTACCTATTACAAACAACGTGGCTAAGAGAAAGGTTCCCTTTTTGAGCATGTTGCGCTATGGGGTATTAGTCTCGCTATAATTAAACTTTTCTTGAATCATTATTAAAATGAGTGAACCTCCTGATTACGGCGAAAAGGGAAACATTAGCAAAGAAGGTTATATTTATACTTACTTATTTCTTCTTGTAATAAATAATAATAAAAATTTTATTTTACTATACTATATTATAGAAGAGGCCAGTTATAGTAAAGAACTTGCTGCTGATGGGCTTCCTTCTTATCACTCTACCTTAAATGATTTCAAGGGTTATTTAAAATATATTATTATAACACGTTAGATTTATGCCTATATATAGTTTAGATAAAATATTGATAAATTTCTGAACTCATCGATAGAATTAAATTTTAAGTAATTTTTAATTATAATTAAAAAGTTAGGTGAAAAGAAACCTTTTTAATTTTTAACTTTTTCGTGAGAATGCATTTACATTTTTTATTATAAAACATTAATATAAAATTTTTGTTAATGTATATAAGTAAAGGTACTACCATTTTACTATGAAAATTATTCATTTATTTTATAACCATTAACTTATTTTAAAAACTTTGTTATATTACATAATAAACTTTTTTTGTATCATTGTATTAATATACTTTCTTTTACAATTCTATTACAATTTTCACGTAAGAAAAGGATTCTTATCAGGAAGATAATTTTCCTACGGAACCACCTCCTGATTATAATTCTATTCTACATCAAAGTTTCACTTTTCATATTTGTTTTATTCTTTCGTTTTCTTAAAAACTTTTACTCCAGCCAAAAGGCCTTCAAATTCCAATACAGTATACGCACTTGAAATTAGTGCTGATGAATTTTATGCCAAGCCCACTCGTATAAAATTTATACGAAGAATTTTATTTTCTTTAACGTTATTATGTTAATCAATAATTCCAGCTTTGAAAAGCAAATTATATTTACTAAAGAACGCAATTCGCTGTTCCAGATGCGGGCGAAAACTTTTAATCGAAGATCAGAAAATGGTGAAGTACGTTTTTAAATTTTTTTTTTTTGCAAGCTTTACGAATTTTGTTTAACACAATTTGGAAAGATGTGGATTTTGCAAGACAATAACTTGTAGAAAAGATGCTGTACCGATTGATCCTCAAACTAAATTTATACGTTGTTCAGGATCTTGCTTTGGACTTTTTATTGTTCCCAAAGATGAAGGAGAAGTATGATTTTTTTCTAAAAAAAATTAATCTAAATTAATCTGTATTCTCGTTGCATTTGTTTATTATTGATTTTAAAAATGTAAATTTTAAAAAAAAGTCAAAAAGTTTTTAGCCCCCCAAATGTGGAACTTAGTATTTTACTTTTTAATTTCCTTTTATAATTAATTGGTTTATGAATTTGTTAAAATAAATAAATTTGAAGAATAATAATTTTTAATTTTTATAATACAATTTGTAAAGTTCACTGGAATTCCTTTAGTAAAAGCGGTGTATTTGTATATTTTTTGAGTATAATTGTTTATATTTAAAAAAAGGAAATTTAATTTTAACTAAGTTTTCAAGTTTAAATTTTATAAATTAAAATTATAAAGATTTATATTTATTTTTGAAAAACACAAATTTTGTGAATTTCTTTTGTAAAAGTCGCATAGTCATATTTTAATTTTCTTTGTAAATTAAATAATACTTATTCGTTGCACTTAATAATTTCGATTAAAATTTAATTGTTTTTTTAACAAATTTAAAAATTCACAACTATTTAAATAGAGTCTGTGAATTCTTAGTAAATTCTGTATATATTAATTATAAATTTTTTTTAATTTAAATACTCTGTCTATTTGTTGAGGTTTATTTATAATAATAATTACAAAATATATATTTTTGAAGATGTTATAAAATTTGTATAATAATAAAAGTTTGTGAATTTTTCTAAAGAAAATTTTGTTATTTATAATAATTTTAAATTAATTGTTGTTAAAAAATATAGTAATATAAAAGTTTTTTTTTAATTACATTTTTAAGCTTATTCTCTTTTCAATTTTTTTTATTTTTTTTGTATATTTATCATTTTTAGTTATTATTAAATAATAAATTAATATAATATAATTCTAAAAATATATATATTTTTTTTAAGATGTTACAATATCTTTTACACAATAATAAAGTTTGTGGATATTTTTGTAAAAGATGTAGATGTCTTCAAATTTATTTAATTTATTATAAAAAAATATTAAAATCTTTAAAATTGCTGAAGTAAAATATTAGTAATTTTATCGAATTTTATATTATTTATAAAACAAAAAAAAAGTTTATTTATTTATGATAAAAGATGAAGCATTTATAAATTATAACTTTCAATTTTAAAAATTTTTTATAATTTACCATTTGCTTGTTAATTCTATATATATAATTTTTAATTCCTATTATTATTCATATGTTATCTAAAGTTATTGTTATTAACAAAAATTTTTTATTAGTTATAATATAATATAAATTATATATTATTGCAACTATTACGATTATTATTATATTTTCTTTAACACAAGAGAGATGTAACATAATTTATACAAATAAGGAGGGTTTACTATCTTTATTTTTGTGAAAGTTGTAGATTTCATTAAAATTAAATAAACTTTTTTAAAACTAAAAAATAATCTAAAAATTTGCTGAAGTTGTGTATCACTTTTTTTTTGAAGCAAATTACAACATTTGCGAAACAATAAAAAGTTTATTCATTCTAAATAATAGTTAAAGCCTTTATAAATTATTTTTTTTATTACTATAAATTAACAGTCTTCGTGCATTTGCTTAATTGAAATAACAATTTTGATTAAAAATAATTTTTTTAACACATTATAAAGGAATGTTACAAATTTATGGAATAATATAAGTTTATTTTTTTTGTAAAAGTTGATGTCATAACTTTTTAGTCTAATATTTATTTATTTTGCTGTAATCAAGTATCAATACCCAAAGAAAGTAGAAAACAATAGAAAAGTTTGTCTTTGTGATTTATTTTTATATTTAACTTTTTTTTGTTCATGTGCTTTAACTAATTTTTTTATAATTCTAAGGACAATTTTTCTTTTGAAAACATTAAAAAAAAAGTGTTAAGAAATTTTAAAAAATTATTTTTACATTTAAATTGTTATTTTTTAATTAAAGTTATCTTTTAAATTATTAATATAACATTTTTATAATTAACTTTATTTTTTGTTTATTTGCTTGAACTAATTATTTAAGGAAAATATATTTTATAAAACAAATAAAAAAATTGTTATAAAAGTATTACAATATAATTTTTTATTATATTGGAAAAGTTATTGATGCCTTTTGTAAATTTTAAGTTTTTATTAAAAAAATTAATTAAGTCTACCACTCTCCCTGCTTTAATTTTTTTTTGTTTATTTTCTATAATAAATGTTACAAAATATTTTATTTCCCTGGAATTTCTAAGGTTATTTTATTAATTAATAAAATTAAAAGAAAGATATTGAGCGGTTTTTTAAAAAAAATATATGGAGTTATATTGACTGAATGAAAAAATTTGATTTCCTTTTCTTTAATTTACTAATTTTTTTTAAAAAAAATCAAATGTATTTATTATTTTCTATTTACTTTTTTATTTGGTTTTTAATAAAATTAGTGTTAAATCAGTTGCTTATTATAACCATCTCTCATATACTAAATACTATTTTTTTCTATTAATATTTTAATTTTTAGGTTTCAAAAAAAAATTTAAAGTTTTTTATTTACTAATTACTTGTATTCTATTTATTTTTATGGATTTTATTATTTTTGGATATTTGAAAAAAAATTTAAATGTTTTTTATTAATTTACTGATTGAAATTTTACTATTTATTTTTACGAATCTAATATTTTTAGGTACTTAAAAAAATTAATAGTTTTTTCTTGCAAATTTTACTTGTTTTTTTATTTACTGATCATAATTTTACTATTCATTTTAAATTATTTTAATAATAGCTGCGTTCTAAAAAATAGTTTTCAATGTTTTCTTTTATTAATTACTAATTACTTATTTATTTTTTATAAAAGATTTAATTTTCTTTTGTATGCTAAAGTAATTTTATTTGTTTTTTTGTTAATTTACTGGTAGTATTATTTATTTTTATAGATTTAGCTTTTTAGTTTTTTAATAAAATTATTTTATTTGTTTTTTTCCAAATTCTAATCTAAATTCTACTATTTATTATAATAAATTTAATCGATTGCACATGCTTAAAAAATCTAAAATTTTTTTTGTTAACTACTATATATCTTTTTATTATTTTACTAATAGATTTGGTTTTTTTAGTTTTATTTTTGGTTTGATAATTTATTAATTATTAATTTACTATTTATATTATAAATCTAATAATTTTTGGGTGCTTATTTTTTTTTTTGTTAATTTACCGATAATAATTTTACTATTTATATCATTATTATGTTTTTTTGTTACTTCAAATAATTTTATTTTACTAATTAATTTTTTACTATTTATTTTTATAAATTTAGTGATTTTTGTTGCTTCAATATTTATTTAAAATGTTTTTTTAACTTATTTTTTTTTACTTCTTACATTAACAGATTTGTTATCTTATCACAAATTAAAATTTTTTTAATTTCTTAATTATTGACTTCTATATGCTTTAATTCAGTAATTTATTAGTTATTAAAAAAATTTAAAGTTTGTGTAATTTTTTGAATACTTTTTAACTGTTTTACTTGAACAATTTAATATTTTTTATTTTTTTGTAACTTGACATTTTTACTAAAATTTATATTTAAAATTTTCTTTAATTTTATTTCGTGCATACGCAAATTTTTTTAAATACTTTTCTGAATGCTAATTTGGTTGAAGTGTTTGTTCCATTAATTATATAATATTTATTTCTCTAAACTTGTATTTTCATAATTAAATTTTTAATAAAATTTGTTTTTTCCACACTAAATTTGCTTTATTTTAACTTTTTAATTTTTACGACGCTTGTTTGCTTATTCTTTTATATTTTATATTTCTTAAGTTCCATTTAATTTTTATTTTAATTTTTTTAAGATTAAAATTTTTTAAAAATAAAAAACTTTGATTTATCATTTTTACATTTTTATTGAATTTGTAACTTTAAGCTTACAACTTATAAGTTATTTTGAATTTTACTTTTATTAAAGGCTTTTTTTTCATGTTTTCAATTTACTTATTACAAAATTTAATTTATTTTTTTTTTTGGTTAATTTTTTTTTCTATAAAATTTAATTTTAGTAAATTATTTATTAAATAGAAAAAAACTTTTATAACCGTATTTCATGCTTATTTTTATTAAATTTATAATTTTTAATTAATTTGTTTATATTTATCGTTTCACTTTTTTTTTTTAAATATTTTTGTCTGTTTTTCATGTTTTTCATTTTACTTATTAAATTATAAATATTTAAATTTTTTTTGAATGATTATTTATTCTTTAATTTTAATTTTAGTAAATTATTTATTAAATAGAAAAAAACTTTTATAACCGTATTTCATGCTTATTTTTATTAAATTTATAATTTTTAATTAATTTGTTTATATTTATCGTTTCACTTTTTTTTTTTAAATATTTTTGTCTGTTTTTCATGTTTTTCATTTTACTTATTAAATTATAAATATTTAAATTTTTTTTGAATGATTATTTATTCTTTAATTTTAATTTTAGTAAATTATTTATGAACTGAGAAAAAAAATTTATAATAGAATTCATGCTTATTTTTATTAATTTACAATTTTAACTTCTTAATTGAATATTAATTTGAAAATTGAATACTTTAAAAGAATAATTAATCTATTTTAATTTTCGTTTTAAATTTTTTTAAAATATTTTAATTTATTTTTCATGTTATTACTACAAAATTATATAAAGTTAAATTATTTTTTGGTGATTATATATTTCTTTAGGTTTTAATTTTTAGTAAAATTGTTTATAAAATAAAAAAATTTCAACTTTTCAGTTTATAAATTATTTTAATTTTCGTTTTACTTTTTTTTATTTTTTTTGTATATTTTTCTGTTTTCATTTAATTTTTACAAATTGGTAAATTTGAATTTATTTTTTTTTGGTTAATTATTTTTTTCTCTTTATAAAAAAACCTTTTATATTCGCATTCCATAATTTATTTTATAACTGATTACGTTATGAGAATTTCTTATTTATTTTTCATTTTATTTTTTTCTAATAAAAATTCTTATTTTTTTCATGTTTTTATTTTACTTATTACAAAATATAAATTTAATTTTTATTTTTCGTTTGGTTATTTTTTTTTAATTTTTGATTATTGTAAATTATTTATAAAATAAAAAAACTTATAAAAGTATTTCATGCTTTATTTTATTAAATTTAGGGTTTTCAACGTCTTAATTTTTTATTAAATTTTAAAAATGAATACTTTAAAAGAAAATTAATATCTTTTAATTTTAGTTTTTCTTTTTTTAAAAATATTTCAGTTAATATTCATGTTTCATTTTACTTTTATCAATATTTTGAAATATAATTTTTTTTTGGTAATTTTTTTTTCCTTTTATAATTGAATTTTAGAAAAGTATTTACATGAGCATTTATGCTTATTTTTATTAAATTTATTATTTCTTGTAAAACTGAATACTTTAAAAAATAATTAATTTATTTTAACTCTCTTTTCACTTTCATAAAATATTTTATTTCATTTTTCATGTTTTCATTTTGCTTTCTCTAAAATTATAATCGTAAATTTATTTTTTGGTGGTTTATTATTTCTACAAATTCTACTTTAAAAAAAACTTTTATAATAGCATTTATTATAAAATTTGGATTTATTTAAAGGAAATTTAATTTCTTAAGATTTTTGTTCCACTTTTTTTTGTCATTTCTTATGTTTATTCCTGTTTTTCATGTTAATTAATAAACTTTTTCTATAATGAAGTATATTTGCCCTGTTGAAAACAAGCTCTTTCCAGTTAACGATTTGCTTAAGTAAAAAATATATATATTTAATAAATTCATTGAAATTTCAACACACTACCCTGACTATTTGAGATCGATTTTAAATAAATTTATATAAAGCCTGAATTAAATTTTAAAATTATTTAGCTGGTGTTACTATTTGGAAAGTAGTACAAACGTTATTATTTTTTATAACTCATTAATTTTAAAGTAAACTTATATAAATTTTATATAATTTGATAAATTATTAAGGTTTCTAAAATTAATATGATATTCTCGCTGGGAGTTATAAGTTCTCTACTTATAAATTTATAAATTTAAAGAAAATTATTACTTAAAAAAATTTGAAATTGGATTTGGGGATGTAAAGAAGTCCAGTTTATATAAAATTTAAATTTACATGTATATTTCTAAAAAATAGTATTTCCTTTTTTAAAAGGCCCACATTGCCCCACTTTTAGTGTGGATAATAAATTAAGTGTAAAAATAATCTGGTATTGAAATTTACTAGTAATGAATTTTTGTATATATTCTAGCTTGCAATAATAATTTTTGTCTAAACTTAAAAAATTAAACAAAATAAGTTAACAAAGAAACCCAAATTGAGCAAATTATCCGTAAATAAACGAATAAAAAAATATTAAATAGCAAGAAATACTATTACTTTTTTAATGCATTCACAGTTACGCTTTTAGTGTGGGGAATAAAATTGAGTTTCAAATTAACCTGGTTGTGCTGGTTGTGAGATTTACTACGAAAATTACAAAATTGATTTATAGGAGCTTGTAACAAAAATTTCAAGCCAAAACTTAGAAGGGTTAAATAAAATTTTACTAAAAAAACTTATTTTAACATTTTTTTTAATAAAATAAATATATATATAATTTGCCCGAAAATAGTATTTTTCCAAATTAGTCCACAGCCCCAATTAATTAGTGTATTAAATTAAAAGAAAGGAAAGGCTGCTAGCGAGATTTACTATTAATTTTTTAAAAATTAATTTAGAGTGTGCTACTAAAGTTTATAGTCAGAAGCGTTTTAAAAAAAATTTCGTACTTGACCAGTTCTATTGTGGTCTAAATTTAACTTTCTTTTTAGTAGTCATGGTTTACAACGTATTAAGTTTAGTTACAGATTTTATCCATATAACAAGGAATTAAATAAGAATTTAGACTTTATTAAATTGCAACTTTCTAGTATAATAATTTTCGTGGACTACCCCAGAATTCATCGAAAAGAAAGAATAAAATAAAAATGTAAATTTTAATTATTTAATTTTATAACACGGTAAATAGGCAAGAATAGTTTAAAATTTTATTAGGTTACATCTTTTATTGTAAGTTAACAAAAGGTTTATCAAAGAACTCACCGAAAAGAAGGGTTAATTCATACGAATTAGTAAGTAAAATTCTAATTATATAACACTGATAGGCAAAAATCGTTTTGGATTTTATTAGGATATAATTTTTAATATAAAGCAAATAAAAACTACTTAAATTAACGGGATAAAAGTTCGGTACATGCAACTAATTTAATAATTTTTAAATATATATTATTGAAAAGATTAAGATTTGTTTAAGATTTTATAAAGTTTCACTTTTTTTTAGTAATTCTCTTAAGGCTACCTGAAAGTTCATCAAAAAAAAAAACGGTGCAAAATAACAATAAAGTAAATTGTATTTCAAGGTGATATTTAAGATATTAAATATTATTATCAATTAGTTAAAGGCTACTTAAGAAATCATTAATAAAAAAATTTTTTACTTTCAAAACCATTTATTAAAATTAAACTTTACAATTATGGAAATGCTTAAAAATCGCTTAAGAAATTTTAAGATTACATCTTTAAGCTACATAAAAAATGATAAGAAAATAATAATAATAAAAAATGCATATTTAATATGATTTTATAAGTAAAAAGTAAGGAAATGTTTAAGAATCGTTTGAAACTTATAAAAATACATATTATAAATTAAATAAAAGCTACTTGAAAAACCGAAAATAAGATCACCTTTATGCAAAGCTAGATGATTATATGCCTTCACTTTTTGCTTTTATTTCTAAATAATAATTTCAAAGTTCTCGAGGATTGATTAATTTATATAAAAAAAAGGTAAGGCTAAAAGAGATTACGTGGTGAGTACAAATAATTTACTAAGACAATGCTATGTTATGGCCTTTTGGTACCAAATTATAAAAAACTTTTTTTTTATTTTATTTAATTATATCATATACCACTACGTCAGTAGTCTCCAACTCTTCTTATGCAAGTTGCATTACAAAGTCAATCATTAGCCAAGGATACTTAAAGGAACGAAATCAACCAAGATCAATTTCGTTATTTTATATATTTATAAATAAAAAGAATTATTTCTTAATATGAAAACTTCCTTTTTTTTTTTTTTAGAGCGCAGTTTTTGCCAGTAAATAGAATTATATTGTTTTTGTTAAAGCTAATATTTAAAAATATCTTTGTACAACATATAAATTACTTACTGAGTATATATTATTCTTCTTGAAAGGAAACCCTTAGTAGAATATATAATGTTTAATCTATTTATTAACTTTTTAAATTTTAGATAACTTGTTTATTCAACTACTTCCGTATTAACATTTAATTTTTCTATTAATTGAAATACTATTTTTTAATTTGTTTGCTCTCAGTTCATTAATTTACTTTTGCCTTTACTTCTATTTTCCTTCCTTATTTTACTTAACTAAGTATACTTAAATAAATTATGATAAACGTAATCTTTATATAGAACTTACATCGGCCCTACTGAAAACTATTGCAATTATGCTTACTCATTTATTCTAGCAGCCTAAAAATTAATTGTGAATCTAAATTTTCTCAACACAGTTTTGTTATGTATATTTTTTTTCTAGCCTCTTTATTTTATTTATACGTGCATATTTTTTTATTTCTTGGGTTTCTTAAAAACCACACTCACTTTAAAAATCAATATTCTTTAGAGGAACCCATTTGAACAACGGCGGACTTTCATTGATGAAAAGAAATCTGGATTTCCAAAAGTGGCGACCACAAAGATATAAATTAAAGAAAAAAGTCAAGGGATGGTAGAAATGGCATAAAAAAAAAGTTCAAGTTTTTTTTTAAATAATTTCGATGGCATTAATTTTTTTGCTTGGAATTTTACCCGAGATTAAAGAATTTTCAAGCTCGACAAAAAAAGTTATATAAAAATCTAATTTTTATTAAAGTAGATCTCTTTTACTGGCTTTAAAAAATATCAGTGTCGTAAAGATGACTGGTGAATTTTTGTGAAATTGCAAATATTAATTTCAGTAAAATAAAAATTAAAAAAAATTCAATCTAAAAGTAAATTAACTAACACAAAGCAGTATAATTTCATTAAAAGTAAATCTCTTTTAAAAATGAAATGAGTAACAAATTTATTGGTAGATTAATATAAACAGGCTTAATAAAAAAATAATAAAGTCATAATTATAATTTCATACATATCAAGCACTTTAAAAATAAATAATAAATTTATTTTTTCAAAAGTTCGGGATTTATCTCCCAAAATTCATTTTTAATAATATCAATATTCATAAGTTGAATTTCTTTTCTTCTTTTAGAGTTGACTTCATCTTTAACCTGCCGTAAAAAAATAATCTTAAAAATTGCTTATCTATTTTTTAAGGAAAAAATTATACGTGTTACAATTTTAGTAAAATTCTAACAAAAATAAAATAATCATTTAAAATTTTTAATTCTCTTAAAAAAAAGATTAAAAGAGAAAAGTATTGTAAATAAATTGAAATTGTTATACAAACGAAAAATCTAAAACAAATTTTGAGTAAAAAAATAAATTTAAGTGTAATGAAAAAAAATTAAGGTGGACTTTTTGGTGGCAAGTAAAAAAAAATTAAATTGATGTCGATTGCAACTAAAAATTTAATAAACGATTTAAAAATTAATTAAATCTAATTAAAATTTCAAAGTTTTCAAATAATAATAAATTTATAATAGAAAAATAAGCAATATATATTTTTATAAATTTAATTTTTAAATAAAAAAATATATATAGAAAAGTTTATCCGCCAAAAAAAAAGTTTTAAATTTAAAAAAATTATAAATGTGTAACGGCGCAGCAAAGAGTATAAAATATAATAATAAATTTAAATTAAAAACAAACAAATTTCGGAAATAAAACTGTTCCTTTCCGAAAAATTTCAGGAATATTATTATAATTAATATCGCATTCAGAAAATAAAAGTTCGTTTTTGTCTTTTGCAAAAGTTCCCTTAAAATAAAAAAAAAAGTCAAACAAAAATTTATACAAAAAAACTAAAAAATAATGAAAACTGTTTAAGCGGTACAAAATAAAAAATGTCTTGCATCTAAATATTATTATAAAATAATAAATATAGCAAATAGCAAAAGCCCAAAACTACAAACCAATAAAAATGCTGGTTATAAAATAAGCAGTTTCCATTGGTTAATAAGATATCCATAAAATTTAAAACGTAAAAGAAAAAATTATTATAATTAAAAAATTAATTAGCTTCAATAAATTCCTTAAAAAAATAATAATAATAAAAAAAAGTTTTCATAAACTTTACTTAGTTATTTTTACTATTAAAACTTTATTGTATCCATATTATTTTTTCCTTTACTTTTTATATAAATTTATGATCTATATATATTTAATGTATTTTTTCCCTTTTATCTTCTATTTTTCTTTATATATGTTCAGATAGTGTATTAAAGATGTTAAAAAAAAATAATTTTCTTTAAACAAAAAAAATTTAAAATACGTACAAATATAAATAACTAGTATAATACAAAATTTAAGAAATACTTATAAACTTATTATATAAATAATATTTATTATATTTTCGTAATGCTAAACTGTTAATGATATTACTTTATTAAAAAAAATTCTTTTTTATTTGTACTTAATAAAAAATAGTACTGCTTTTCTGATTTTAAAAAAAATATAAAGAAAGTTTTATAAAGTTTTAAAAAGGATTTGCTACGCGAAGTAAAAAAAAGTTCGTTATAAAGTTTTCCAAACGCTAAAACATATGTAAAATGGTGGAAAGTAAATATTATAATAATAAAAAATATATATTTTTTAAAAGAAAATAAGTTTTGGAAGTAAAAATTATAACATAAAAGATTTTAATCAATATAAAAAAAATATATTAAAAAGAAATAATAGAAAAATATTATAATAAATTATAAAATGATATTCAAGAATAGTAATAAAGGACTTTTTAGTATTTTTAAAAAGGAAAAAAAATACCTTGGCGTAGTAAAAATTATAACAAGATACAAGATTTTTGATAATAAAAAAAATGTTTATAATACTAATAAGTAAATTTTATTATAATTATAAATAAAAAAAAGAAAACTTCTATAAATTTTAATAGAAAAACATTTGTGTAATAAAAAATTATAAAATTTAAGATTTTAAAACTTGAACATATAAAAAATGTATTATATAATAATTATAAGTAAATTTTATTATAATAATAAATAAAAAAAAACTTTTCAAAACTACAACATAAAAGATTTTAAAAAATGTAATAAATTATTAATTATTATTATTTTTATAATAATATTTAAAATTTTTTTAAAAATTTTTTATTTTAAAACTACAAAATTTTGGATTTTCATAAAAATATTATACAAATAAAAAGGAAAATGTTAATAATAACAAAACTTTTAGCCTCTTTTCAGCCTCTTGAGGTGAAAAGTTTTTTTTATTTATAAGAGACCAGAAGCAAAAATTGTAAAGATTGTTAATGTGGCCTGAAATATTAATAATAATAAGTAAAAAAGTATAAGTATATACAAAAAAAAAGAAACTTTTAAAAAAAGATAATATTATTTTTATGATATTTATTAAAAAAAGTAAAAAAAAAAAATTAAATTTATTATTTTTAATTACTTTAATAATAAAAATAGTAAATTTAATGATTTTTTAAGGAAAAAAAGTTTATCACATTAAAAATTTATTTTATTTATTATTTAATCATGAAGTTAATATAAAAAATAGTACAGATTTCACAATATAAAAAAATATATAACAAAATAACATTTATTTTATAAAGTTCCTTTAAATATTATTAAAAGGTTAATAGTAAAAATTATAAATTTGATTTAAAAATTAATTATTATTTTATTTTTACTTATTAATATAAATAAATAGTTTATATTAGCAAATTATTATTTTTTGTTGAATTTACTTATTAATATTATAAAAAAGTTTATAATATAAACAAATCTTTTTAATTATATTAAGTTTAAATAAAAAGCAAACTTTATTACTACTTATAGATATATTGTTATTTATGCAAACGCACGAAAAATGTTTATATAAAAAAGTTTACTAGAAAAAAAAACTTTTTGGTAGATATATAAAAGTATAAGCATTAAGCATTTATAAATTGTAAGAAGAAATATGAAAATTTTCACAAAGCAAAATTATATATAAAAAAAAAAGGTTTTTTATTAATGGAATGTCATATGAAATATATTAAATTATAAGTATATTACTATATTATTTAGTATAAAATAAATTTTATGCATTTATTTTTAATTTGTATAATATTATAAAAATAGTATAAATATTATTCATACGCACGAAAAATAAGTTTAATAAAAAAAAAAGTTTATTAGAAATACTTTTTCATTCGAAATCATCTCCAAGTATAAGCATTAAGCATTTATAAATTTAAAAAAGTTTAATTAAAAAATTCACAAACCAAAATTAAAATATAGATTACTATAAATAAAATAGTTCCATTCATTTTTTAATTTAATAATAATAAAAAAAAAGTATAATTTATTATACAAACGCACAAAAAATTAAAACTTTTTTTTTGTAATTATAGAGTATAGCCATTAAGCAATTATAAATATATAAAAAAAATAAAAAACCCACAAACCAAATTAAAATTGAAAAAAAAAAGTTATATAAAAGTATATATTTACTATATTATTCTTAATGTTAAGAAAATTTCTAAGTCTAATTACGGATATAAATAAACTAAATATATTAATTTCTATTATTTATAGTAAAATAAAAATATAGTATTGTATATAATGCATACACACGAAAAATACACATATAAATTTATAAAAAAACAATTTTTTTCCGTAAACATATAAAAGTATAAGCATTAATCGGTTATAAAACTTTTGGAAAAATTAAGTAAAATACAAATGGTAATTCTAAATATAATATAAAGTTTTATAAAAGTACTGCTAATAATATTGAGATTTTTAGTTTTCTTCATCGTATTATTCATAAAATTACAGTAATTTTTAAATTTCAATGCAATCATAATTTTATGAAAAATTTCTAATTTTTATAGTATTATAATAAAATAATGTTATTATGCACTTACAAAAAATATATTCTTAAAAAAAATTTACAGATGAAAAAATATTAGCATCAAGTATTTTTATATAAATCAAAGAAATTTAGTAAGTAAATTTAATAGTAAAAATATAATTACAAAAAAAGGTTTTATAAAAGTTATATTATGTTATTCATAATTGTTAAGAAGATTTACAATTCTAATTACGATTAAATATAATTTAAATGTACAATCCACTTGGCGCCACGACAAATAATCGCGGAGATTTTTTTTTGAAGGAAACGGGATGACGCGCGCGTCAAAGGAGGGCGGATAAAGCAACTGATTAGTAATAAATTTAAAAAATTAAAATAAAAATTAAGAAAAAGTTTAATTTTTAGTTAAACTTATAAAAATTAAGCTTACAATTAAACAATAATTATAAATTTTTTATGAACAATTCAATTCTAATTTAGTTGATATTAAATTTTTGTTAATAATTATTATAATTTATTAAAATAACTTTTCTATTATAAAACTTTATTTTGATTATTTATTCAAAATAACATTTTCTTAATCCATTTCTGTAAAAAACAGAATAATTTAAAGAAACTTATAATTATATAAACGATTAACTTTCTGATCCTCGAAGTAATTTTTCCAAAAGAAGAGAAAGCAACTCGTAAAATAACTCGCCATCGACGAAAGGATTTTACTTAAATTTTTTTATATACAATAAAAAAAGAGGATAAGTGAGTCAAAATAAATTCATATGAAAATTAAATTAAAAAATATTGTTGATAATAATTTTGTAAACAAAGAAAAAGTAAGTCAATTAATTTTTATAACAAAAATTGTTATATAAATTTCATAAGACCAAAATTTAGTTGTAAAATTTAATTCCAACTCGTAAATCATTTCAGTTAATTTTTTAAACGAAAAACCAATTACTTAAATATATTAAAAGCTTGACAATTAACGTAATTATACAAGATTTAAAATTGTCCAAAATAAATATAGACAAATTTTATATAAACCTTATAATTTAAAATTTTTGTAACTAGTATAATCATAATACCTTAAAACTGTAATAAGATTCTTATAAATAATTTAAAACCTAAAACATATACTAATTTTTCAAAACAAAAACTTTTTAATATAGAAACAACTATTAAACTGCATAGATAATTACCTCGCTCGTCTCGAATATAGTTCTGTTTCTTTTCTAAAAACAAAACTTGAAAAAAAAAGTAGTAAAGAAAAAAAAAAGTATATAAAATCAAAAATATAAATAAAATAAAACCTAAACTCATCGCTGTGACCATAAGCCAATATTATATCCGAAAACTCTTTGAAAGTTTGCAAGGCGCAAAAATTCATTAAATGCAAACCTGATATAAACCGAATGATGATAAAAATTAACTACAAAAGATGAAATAAATTCCAACTGTAGAATTAGATTAAGAATATTAATATATAGTCACCTCTTTCATCCCACGGTTTTGTAAACTGATGCTTTTCTGAAAGCCTTAATTTTTTTAACTAAGGCAACTTTAATATATCTTAAGAATTATAAAAATTCAATAACCTCTTGAAATTTTTACCATCAATCCTTACAACTATCCAAGTGTTTTTTATAATTGGATCAGGCGTTTCAAAAAGTTTGGTGTACTCAAAACTCGAGTTAGCCATGAAAGTAAAAAATACTAATAAAAAAGCTCTACCTCAAGTTGCGTATTAGCAACCCCGCGGGCAGGTAAAACTATTTATACTATGCTTGTACACATTTCGAGAGCAAAGTATGATAGCCCTTTCGTCTGTGTTAATGATATTTAGTTGTGTAAGGCCAGAACTAAGAAAAAGTAAAAAGGACTGCTTGGAGTTGTTCCAATTAAATAAGTTATACTTTTTAATTTTAAAAAGACAGTTAACCAACTTCGGCTAGAAATTATTTAGAACAGCTTTTTAAAATTAGCCAAAAAAAATTCAGGAAAGATTGCAGGCAAAGTGCGACGACTGCACACTTTTAGTCTTATAAACGTATTTTAAAAAATTGTGAACATCATAAAAAAATAATTACATTGCGTGGGCTTTAGACAATTTGTAAACATAGACATAACGTAATTAAAAACTCGAGACCAGCTTATATATTTTAGGGCGTGAAGAAAAATCTATCGGTAAGAACGCTCTTTGTTGATGTATATAAAAAAATACTGCAAAAGACTTTTTTAAGTTTTAATATTCTTATAAAACAAATTAAGCAATAATAGCTTTAGCGCTTAATATTTTTTCTGATTAATAACTTTGGCGAAAGCTCAAGCATTTTCGAGCATAAAATGCTTACCTAAAATCTTTTATTTTACCATTTAATTACTAAAATATTAACGGTATTTTTAGTAATGCTCAAATGAACTACAGTAACCAAACTATCATACTTCCTACAAGACGATAGCGTACAACAAAAATAAAAATTTTTTAATTATTGAAATTTTTGGAGTTCGAGCAATCAAAAAAAAAACAGGTTTAGAGAAATTTCAAAAGAATGAAAATGTACGAACCAGAATTATGCTCGTAGATATATATTTATATATATATATATAATTTGTTAATTATTGCTTTTATATATATATTCATATCTTCTACTCTCAGCTTTGGTACCAAAAATTTCAAAGCGCATTACGCAGTCGACGAAAGCATGGTTTCTCACCGAGCTTTTCTGCTTGTAATCGCTTGTTGGGCTTGGAAAGCCGTTGCTGCATTGGAGGAAGAATTACACCAGCAAAGAGCCCAAGCTAAAGGCCTTGCTGAAAAGCAACGTTTCAAATTATGACGGGCGCATAATGACACGTAACAGCTTATTTTCTTCCACATGAAGAGAGAACGACGCATTCGGCCGTGTTGTGCAAGTGGAGTTGTCGGCTCTGAATTTATTTTAAAATTCTGGCATTCCATCAAGTGCTTCCAAAAATTTTTTAGTCAGCGCAGCACAAAAGCAGAACAACTTTTATTCACCGCAGAAAGCTGGCTGATCAGGCAATAATTGTTAGAGTAAAAATATAACATGGAAAGGCAAAAACACAGAGCAAAAATTAAAAAAGGTCTTGCGGTTTAAAATAACATAATTTATTTATTAACTTTACATATTTCAGTTAGGACAAATTTAGAAGAGGGCATAAGGTACTCCCTATTTTGATTTATAATTTGGATCAGAAGTCCTCTACGTCTAGAAGGTCGTTAGGGCTGCGTTATTTTTCGTCTGTCGCTTTTTGCTCAGGATTTTCTAATCTTTTTTAAGAGGAGAGTGCAGTACTCGGTAGCATCGTGATCACCCCCCGCAGTACTTATTAAGCTTAAAAGTTGACCTAATATATGAACAAAAAGTATTTTAAATAGGTTAAATGCAAAATGTTTTATAATTTTAAATTGTGCATCGGGGGGTTTTTATGCTACAATTGCTAGTGTTTTTCTTAATTAAAATAGGAATGTAAGTCGCGGCGTCTTCCATTACAAATATAGCCCTTTTTTAATACATAAAGGTTCTAAAGAACTTGCGAAATTGCTCAGGCAGGCATCTTTTCTGCACCTCCTAGTAATACCGTCAGGGCGGGTTGGAGGTCCTTTTTAATCACTTGTTTTTTACTGCTTCTAAAGGATTCACCATAGTAATGATTATGGAATGCTCAATTCACAGTAATGAAGGTTTTATGAAAACACACACCTTATTCTATAGGAACGCTAGCTACAAAACCATTCTCTGTAAAACAAATAAATAACTTTCTAAAAGATAATGAATTTAAGATTACTTACAGTACTGAGTTTTTTGATGATGACCTAAGGTGTCCGCGAAACTGCGTAGAACCCAAAATATGAATTTCGTCCAATTATATGTTCTCCTTTTCGTCTTAAAAATATATTATAGTTTCAAAAAGACTCCCTAGTATTAAGATTTCTTTGTAGCTCAGTTTAAAGATACCTAAAATATAAAAATTATAAATTATAAAAGAATTATGTGCCTGAGATATAACCTTAAGCTGACTTATAAAAGGCAAGAGCATATATTTTCAAAAGTAAATATGTTTACGCTACCGTTTAAAACATATATGTTACATACTAAATACGTCTTCTTTCAAAAGCAAGTTCTTTTATTTTAGACTTTTTGCGATGAGTAGAAGCTGATATTAAAACTGTGTAATATGGTAAAGAGAAAAACTTGAAATTATCAAAATATCAGTTTTCTTGATTCCACTGTATAATTTTCTAAATTCAGTATTAATAAGCTATATTAAGAAATAGAAAAGCCCCACACAATTTTCAAAAATGTGCAGCCCCTTATATGGGACGTTGGTAGCCCTTTTATTTCGTGCTTTTACGATCCAGTTGTACCATTATTTTTAGTGGAAAACTACAGCATTTTTTATTCTTCTCTTTCTTTCCTCTGTTTTTTCAAAGTTGCTTAAATAAAAATATATTATATTTTTTGGATGTCTCATCTCTCTGGATCATATGAACTTCGCTCTGATCCCTGTGAAATACCTAAAGAAGTTTACAGTATAAAATTAAGCGGAAGCTTGCTGAAAGCTATTCTTAGCGAGCCTAGTGATATTTCTATAACATTTCCGGATCAAGATTCTAAAGATTCTCTTGGCGTTAGTAATTAATTTTTCATATGTAAGAAGGAGTAAAGATTGGGGTATATTGATAGTTTTTTTTCTGTAATGAAGTGTGTTGATACGTATATAATATAGAGCATAAATATATGTGGAAGCCGTCACGCCTTTCATGAATATAATAATGAAAACTGTGTGGATGCTATCTCTGTTGCTCCCGAAAGTAAAGTCATGACTTGCATTGGTACTTTTTTTTTCTCATTGAAATTATTTATCTTTAATTACTGAATCTTAATTTTAAAGGTAATATTCGGTCAAATCTTCATGTTTCTACTAATCTCGATGAAGCCACAAAAAGCGCATCGGCTTTAACTAAAAAGGCCGAAACTGATAAGTCGTAAGTTTTCTAAAAATTTTTTAGTTTAGTTGTACAAAAGTTCTCGAGATTTAATTATCACATTATAGGAAAGTGAACCTTTTAAGTGCAGTACCGCCGCCTAAGAAAAACTTACTTAAAAGATTGAGAATCCCTCAGTCTTCCGTTGCTGGTCTAAAAAGTAAATTAAGAACTAGTACAAGAAATTCTCAGCGAGTGCAGCAGTCTTCGAGCATACCTGCTGAAAAAGTTATTGAATTTAAAATTTATTAGTTTGTATCAATAATTTTAAAAAAGAGACAAGAAATAGCGAACAGCGCAGCCGAATTAGCTGCATTGAGATCTCGAGTACTGCAGATGCTCGCAAGCAAGCGCTACACCGCTAATGAACTTGAAGAGACAATTAAGCCGAAAACTTCAGCTTTGAAAGCCAGTTTAATTGCTTTTTTGGAAAAAGTTCCTGTTTTTCATTGCTTTAGCCTTTATTGGAATTTTAATTTTTGTATACTCTTTTTTTTTTAAGGTTTCCATAATTGATCCTGACGGCTCTGGAAAGTTAATTTGTAAGGTCGCACTTGCAATTCTATTCGTTTATTTTATCTCACTTATCGTTTAGGATTTAAAAATTGATAAAAAGGCTGAGTCGTTTCAGAATTTACAGAACAATAAAATCGTTAGTGATGGTTCTACAAAAGAAAGGTTTTCCTTTTGAAAAAAAAAAATTATTTTCGGGCGAAAATTAATTCTCATGAAAAAAAAGTTGTGGAAAAAAAGATTTAACATTCGCGTTGCAGTGTCAAACTTCTCACGATTCAAATCCTACTGCCGCTGCCGGCACTGAAGACATTGATTTAATTAATAAACAGCACGAAAAGTTCTTAGCTGAGCAGCGTCCCAGCGAGACCGTAGAAAAGTATAAAACCATAGAAACACCCGAAATCTTTCAACAATACTGCCAGGAATTTAATTTGAAGCGCCAGCGATACTTGGAGCTAAACGGTTTTTTCTATAATAATTTTTTTAAATAACAAAAATATAAAAAAGTGTAAAAAATGATAAAATTATAAATTATTTTTTTATTTTATTAAAATCTTGTATTAATCCGCATCTGAATCGGTTCTTATAATTTATTATTATTTTTTTTTGCATGCCAGCTAAATTGAAGAGCAATCGCGAGGATTTTGTTAATTTGAGCAACCAACTTCAAGATTATCAACAAAGCAAAAAAACTGATAGTGAAGAGTATTTGCTGTTAATGCGGTCCGTCGTGGATTTGTACAAGAAACGCGCAAAAGTGTTTTTTTATTAATTTTTTTTTTCAAATGTCAGTATTGTACTTCAATTTAGGATCTCGTGAGTTGGGAAAATGAATATGAAGATTTAAAAAATTCTTTAATTGAAATCAAAGAATGTGTTAACGATTATCTTCTAAAACAATAAGCTTTAAAGCAACTCTTTAATTCCTTTCGATCTCAATCTATCTCAAAATAAATTAAAATTTATACAAACTAGAAGTGCCACGCAAAATCTACAACGCCTGACGAGTATTAATAAAAATATTATATTTCCTATCTTAATCGTTACTGTAGGATAAGTTTTAAATTATTTTGTTGCAAATTTATATATACCTTAAAATTATGAACTATTTCAAACCTGCTAAGGAAGCCTCTACTATAGTCTTTGTAAATTTTTAGCTAACCTAAAACTTATTAATCTTTAAATTAATTACGAGTAAAGGAAAAAAAAAAAGTTTAATGCAAAACTCGTTAAAATATACGTTTTTCAGATCAAGAATGCCTCCTGTTGCGATCACATATAGAATTGATAATTAAAAACAGCACAACTAATTGTTATGGTGTAATTTTTATTATACTTGAAAATAATGATCATATTATTCTCTAAAATTCCTAATGTTTGTTTCCCAATTTAATACTTTTCTGATCTCTTTTTTGCAGCCACAACGATACTTAAAATAATTTTATAGGCTTTTGGAATATTTTATGAGCTTCAAAATAATAATTTTATAATTAAAAAAATTTAATTTTTATTTATTTATTTAAGCAGTTTCTAACTCTGACTTCTGTTCAATATATTACATTCAAAGTGTTCTAAAACTTCAGTTATAAAAAAAGCAAGAAATATAATCAATTAGTCGACTAAAGTTATTCAAATGTTATTTAGAAGTACTTAAAGCTTCCTATTTTTATTTGGCCCCCTAATCTCTACTCAAAAGCATGGTCGAATTTCTATTTAACATAAGATTTATGTTTTCAATAAAATCCCGAGTATTTAATAAAGGTGTAAAACTAATTTTACTTACAATTTATTTATATACAAGATATATGAATTTGTATTTTCAGTAATCGCTTGCTTTTAATTACAGCAAATCCTACAAATAGCGTAAGTTAACGTTTTCAAATATCATAGGAAGAACAAGGTTTTATTTTTCTACAAAAGACAAAAAAATCCTGTAAGAAAAAGCAAATAAGGTGTATTACAACTTTTTTGAAATTGTCAGTTTTTTTTTACTTTTCAGAAGCCTTAGCAAAATAAAAACTAGGCGGTCATACAACGTTCTGGTAGTACAATGCAAAGTAAAAAAGTAAAAAAAAAACTTAAGCCTTGATTTTCACATTAAATATTAATATGTACATTCGTCAAAGGATAACTACTTTAATAATAAGTTATTATATATATAATATTCTGCCAGAAAGTTGCATATTAGTAAGAGACAGTGGAAAACTTCAGACTACTTTAAATTTTGCGGAAATTAAATTATTTTATAGAAATCTTGTAAACGTATAGGTTATCAACTTCTAAGCAATCTATAAGAAAAATAAAGAAAACCCGTTTTTTAAAGTGACTACAGTAGACAGAATAACGTAAATTGTGTATACAAGTTAAAGCTTTAAATATAATTACTGTTAAATGTAAATAAATATTGTAAGAAAGAGATGAACTGTAAAACTTGGTTACAACGTATTTTATAATATAAAACGTACAAAGTAAAAACTAAACGAACAATTCCATTTCTTTTTTAAAAACAAAATTTTCATAACAATTAATTGTAAAACTCGACTGTATCATAATTTATAAATTGAGCGTACAAATTAAAAAATTATATTTATAGGGCGATGAGCTGTAAAGTAGATACTGTAGAAAGTACCGTTATACATGAAAGTGAATAAATATTTCAAGGAAGTGCGAGAATTGTACAATACCCCCTTTTCCTTGCCACCCGCGCTGGTCGCATTTACAAAGGTTTTTTATAGATTTTTAAGGTGCTCATGTATTACTTTATACAAATATATTTTGTATGCACGTTTTCTTTTCTTATCTTTTTAAACTACCACCTTAATAATTTTAACGCTTAATTTATTTTTTAATAATAATTCCGCTCCACGAAAGTTAAAACTAACATGGAGGATGTCCAGACCAGACATAATCGCCTGAGGGACCAGTTTACTGAATTTTTGGATTCTGATGAAGTAAGTTTTTTTCCTAGAACAGACTTTCCTTCTTTTACAAGGATCATATAGCCGCTAATAAACTTAATTACATACTTTACTTTGAAAATTTATCATATGGAAAATTTTAAATAAAGCGGGAAAGACATATAGTTAGGCGTACGTTGTTTACGCAAAAGTAATATTTTTAATTATTTATTGCTTTATATATACTATTTAAATATTATGATAAGCATAAGAACAACATAAGCCAAATTTTTAAATACTTTTTAACTTTTTTAACTAACCAGCTTCACTATAAAGAAAAGATTGAAGACTTAATCGAAAGCCGCCAAAAGAGATTGATAATTTCTATAGACGACTTACGCCACGTAGACAGCGAACTGGCTTCAAAGTTTACCAGTTTTTTTTTGACAAATTTTTTAACGTCAATAATTTTCCTTAACAGTTTAATTCAGAATCCCGTCGATTATGTTCCGCCCTTTCAAATTGCTTTAGAAAAAATAGTGGAGAAAATAGATTATGAGACATCTAAAACAGTTTGTTATTATAAATTTATATAATTTTTTCAATGTAAACTCAATTTTATATTATTTCTTAATTTATTAGAACTATTTAATTGGTTTTTGCGGTAATTTTGGTGCTAATCATATGACCCCACGCAATTTACTTGCATCTTTTTTCGGCCAGCTGATATGCCTGGAAGGGATTGTTACCAGATGTACTTTTTGTCGTTCTTTTACTTTTTTTCATTTTATTAATTTATTATATTATTATTTTCTACTAATAATATAAAAATTAATTTTTACATTTAAATGTTTATATCATTTGTTTATTTATCCATTTTTTATTAAAATTGTAAACTCCTAAGAAATGCTGGAAATGCGTATTTACCCATCCAATTGCTACGCATTAAACTTTATTTTTTATTTATTTACTGAAGGTTACGAGCTCCGTTGCAAAGTGATCAAAAGTGTTCATTACTGCAAAGCCACTAACGACCAGTTCATCCGAAATTACTCGGATTTAGTTTCCCTGTCTGGCAAGAAAACGGCTACCGTTTACCCTAAAACGGTTATAGATTTTTTAATCTTCGCATCTTTTTCTTTTAGTGTAATTGCTTTTGGAAATTTATTTTTTAGGATGACGCTGGAAATCCCCTCACCACCGAATTTGGACTGTCGGTTTACGAAGACTATCAGCGAGTGACCATTCAGGAGATGCCAGAACGGACGCCTGCCGGCCAGCTGCCCCGCTCTATTGATGTCATACTTTCCTGCGATCTTGTGGATAAGCTTAAGGTTGCTACTTTTTTCCGTTATTTTTTTCAATTTATTTATACTTGCCTGAGCATTTAATTTTTTTTCTACAAGCCGGGCGATCGCGCTAGAGTGTTTGGGATCTACCGAGCGCTTCCTTCAAAGTCTGGAGGGAGCACCAGCGGCATCTTTAAGTGGGCTTTTTTTTTAAGTGCTTATCACCGAAAATATTTATTTCCAATTCGACGGTGTATGTTTTATTGATCTGTAGAAGTGTAATCATCGCGAATCATTTGGAGCTTTTAGTCTCGACCGGCAGTAAAATACAGCTCAGTCAAAACGATCTTCGTCTTATAAAAAAGTTTGCTAGCACTTATAAAGGAAAGGTCGCCTTTTTTCAAAAAAGAAAAAATCTATAAAGATTGTGTTTGTAGGTATTTCATAAACTTGCAATGGCTATTGCGCCGTCTATATACGGACACGAATATATCAAACGTGCGATATTGTGCCAGCTTATTGGCGGCCTGGAAAAAAATCTGGAAAATGGAACTCACATTCGTGGAGACCTGAATATTCTTCTCGTTGGAGATCCGTCCACGGCGAAGTCTCAGGTGTACACTTCTTGGCTCTTATTATTATTATTATTATCATTATGAATATTATTATTATTATTAATATCTACGCAACATAATCTTAACTCTGTGCCTGGTTAGCTGCTCCGGTCGGCAATGACCATTGCACCACTCTCCATTGCAACTACTGGAAGAGGGTCTTCCGGGGTCGGATTGACCGCCGCTGTCTTGACGGACAAAGACACCGGAGAGAAACGCCTTGAGGCGGGCGCCATGGTTCTGGGAGACCGTGGGCTCGTGTGCATCGATGAATTCGATAAAATGAGCGATGCTGACCGCGTGGGTACGCAAGTCACTTGGTTTGGCCACCTGCATTTATCTTCATTTTTACTTCCTTTTTTTCCACGCCTCGCGCAGCCATTCACGAGGTTATGGAACAGCAGACGGTCACTATCAATAAAGCCGGAATCCACATTGCTCTTAACGCCCGCTGTAGCGTATTGGCGGCTGCGAATCCCGTTTACGGCCAATACCGAACTGATCTTTCCGTCATGGTAGCTTTCATATATTTTTGTGAGCGGTTGCGCTTTTTATAGAAAAAGCGTAGGAAAACGTGGCGCTTCCCGACTCTCTTTTGTCTCGTTTCGACTTCCTCTTTATAATCCTCGATGAAATCGACCCGATATTGGACAGAAAGGTCGCCGAGCACGTATTGCTAAATCACTTGTACCGACCCGCCAACGAACCTGACGGTTTTGTGGATTCCGCTTTTGTTTTTGGTCGGTTTTCATTGGCTGATAGTACCTTTGAGACGGGTGCGATGAACTTGCTATTAGGCTGCAACTTTTTAACGAAAGTCGATAGCGAATCAGAAGGCGATGATGAGGACGAAAGTTGGGTGTATGCTAAGCACAACGTAAAGCTTAGGGGTCCCTTAAAGTCGCTTAACGATCGAATCGTGAGCACCTCCTTTTTGAAAAAATATTTGTATCGTTTTTTCATTAATAACTGCGTTTCCAGCCATATTTAGTAATGAAATCCTTCTCTACCAAACGTAACATTTAGATATTACGCGAAACTGAAGATCAAACCTTTGCTTTCGTCGTCCGCATGCCGTTTTATATGCCAGTCGTACGCGTCGTTACGGGACAATAGGCGTTTAAAGGTCAGCTTTCTATTCGTCAATTCGCTGCCTATTACCTTTTAAAAAAAAACTTTACTCTCCAATAGACACTTCCTATTACTGCGCGCACGCTTGAGACGCTGATTCGGTTGTCTACCTCGATTGCTAAACTGCGCTTAAGCCCGACCGTTTCGAAGCGGGATGCGAGTCAAGCGCTCGACCTTCTGCATTTCGCTTTGTACGGGGAGGAGGCATCTGTCGAGCTTAATAACGCTACTTTCCATGAAGGTTGTCTTCTTTATTTTTAGTGTGCATTGCCACAACAAATTTAAAGGAAGCAACATAACATTAGCTAAAGCACGTGCCAAACGGTATAGAAAGTCCGCTAAACGGCGTCTTAGTAAGGTTTTCTTCAAAAAACTTGGCTTCTGTTATATTGTTTTACGGAAATCAACCATTTTCAGCGCCTGGAGGAAAGAGGCGAAGAGGTGTCGGAAGTTAGTGACGAGATTTCGGACTCGGAAACCTCCGGTCGCACCAGTTCTTCGACCGCCTCCAGTAGCGACGAGGATTCTGGTAAGTCGGAGAATTGGCCTTTTTCTAGGTATTATTGACCCCTTCTTATACAGAAGAGGGTCAATCACAGTCAGATGACCTTACAGGAGCGAAGCGGCAGGCCTCTGAATCCCTACCATCCAGCAGGCGCCCTTCTTACTTTACTAAAATATACCTTATAGCTTGACTTTTTCTATATAGCTCGCCTCTGACTAAACGCAACAAGGAACATGTTTCTTATGAATCTCTACCACAAGAGCTCGTCTCTCGTTTCCACACTTTTCTTAGCGAAGCTCTTGAAGTTTACAACAGAAAGGTCATTTTTTTATTTTTTTTCTTTAAAGCTACGCCAAATGTTTAACAGGACCGTATCATCTTGGCGGCGGTTGGCCAACTTGGAGTGTCCGAGGCGGAAGCGGAAGCAATATTGATTCAAATGATGAAAGAAAGCAAAATATTTATTCACGGGAATGACGTTTTTCGTACTTAATTTAGGATAATTTCTCTTTAAAAGCGGATTTTTATTAAACAACTCCTTTTTTAACAAATGTAGATTTTATTTTGGGAAATCAATCTTCCTTTTTTCCAACGAGTTTGCCAGCGCTGTCAAGGGAGCTCTGGCCATCGCCCGGCTTTGCGCTCCCTCCCCAGTCGTAGCCGCCCGGGCGGGGGCGCTCTTCCACGCGACTCCCTGTGCCCTCTCCACGAAATTCCGGCTCCGCGTTGGTGCCCTCTACTAGCCATTTGCTGCATTAGAAAAAAAAGCGTGTCTAGAATTTTTCTAGAGGGCCGACTAAGACATAACAATAATATCGGCGTTTTCAGGAGTCGGCGGCCAGAGATTGAAGGGTAGAAATCTTCAAGATAGTAATAAAGATGGCCGGCGCAGATTCCAAGAGTATCACTGAGCACCGAGTGGCCTAAAAGCAGGCTGAGTCCTAGTAAAACCCATGGCAAGTATGGCGCTGTAAAAGTGAATCCCAGGAGGGAAAGTCGTATAAATCTGTTTCGCCTCCCCCAGAGATAAACAACCATGAAAGTCAAAGAGGGGCCCAAAAAAAGCACGGGGACTGCCGTGCTAATTATCTGAAGATCATAAGAAAAGTTACGAAGTTTTAATAGTAATAAAAAATACTAGAAGAAGCGCAGCGCCAAAACAGAGCATAAAGAGAAAATCGGCTGGATGGCCGCGGAAGGAGCCCTCCTCAAGCATCCTTGTGTATCTTACTCTATAAAAAGTCGTTATTACTTTAACATTTGAAGTATTATTTAGTTTATAAGGCGACATGCGAGTTCTTTAAGAATTAATTAAGTTAAAAGAATTTAAAAACTTAAAGGCAGTAATACTTAAAGTCAGTAATACACAAAAGTACATTTATAATATCTACACTAATGATTTGATCCGTTTAAAATTTTTTGGTAAAAAAAGTTTTAAAACTTACAAAAAGAATAAGTGAAAAAAAAACTCTAATCCAAATTGGCCGTAATAGAAAAAGTTAGTTAACAATCTCCAAACCTGTAAAAAAACTGAAACATTTATTGAGTTGAAAAATTGAAGGAAAGTAAGTACCTCCCCCGACCATATTTTATGCCAGTTTAAGTATAAGATAAAGGGATTAAGAATATCAAGTTGCTAATTATTATACAAAAAGTTTGTTAGAATAGCTTAAATTTTCAAAATATAACGTTAGCATTAAGCTCTTCGTGAAGTACTACGAGTGTTTATTAGCATGGACAAGTAAAAGGTTTAATGGAGATTATAATAAGGGGGAATTTTAACATTCACTACATACGCAAAGAAGTGAAGTACAAAAACATAAGGATGCGTAAGATCGTGTTATGGGAGGTAGTTCCCAGTAACTTTGAAGGATCCCGTCCATAAATACTAAATTTAATAATTCTTTAAAGCTGTCATGAAGTACTAAAGAAAAACTAAGTTTTAAAGTTTAAGTTATATGGTTTCAAAAAAAAAAAATTACTTTAAAGGAAGTCTAAATCTTAAAATACTCGAACTAAGTGGGTGCTCTTCTTTTCTGCCCGTTGTTCGAGCTCATACTACTGGCTATCGTTTTTTAACAGTTTAGGTGCGTACGAAGGAGCAAAAGCGTAGAGCAATAACAGGAATAAATAAGAAAGTTTGTTTTAATAAGTACCTCCTCCCTTTATATCATAGCTGATTTAATGTATACAAGAACAAAAGAATATATTTATCTACTCCTTTTCTTCCAAACATAAGATTATATTAACTTATTAAAATTTGAAGCTTAGTTGTTCAGAATTTATCTTTACGAACGGTTAATAATTTGATGTCGACAAGCTGGTTAAACTAACAAACTGCATAGCTTTTAAACGAAATACTTTTTTTCCTAGTTTAAGTTAAAAAACATTTAAAAAGTTGCTTAGTAACAACTTTGTTATATAATTTTTTATACTGCCTACTAAGTTTGCAATATGACGAGCTTGTGATGAGTATTTTTTTATTGATTCAAAAATAACAAGTTTTCATTTATCTTCTAAGTACTCGCTTGAGACCTGCCTTTTAAATTGGTATATGAAAAATTATAAAGCAATGTTGTGTTCTCTTAAAGTTGTTGCAGATTTAATTATTGGCAGAAAGCTAACTAATAATTACTTTTTATAGCTTTAAAACTTTAACCACAATAGTCTTTAGAAAAAATTTAGTTTTAATAACTGATTTAAATTAGTTTCATGTATAATATGTTAAGTCCTTTGATAACTCTAAAACGAAAAAAGGCTTAGTACGAGACACTTTTTTTTACCAAGTTCGTAGCTAAAAGTATGTGCTTAAAAAGTTTTTAACAGTCAGCTCATATTTTTTGATTTTGTTCGCAATTACTCACGTTACTTTTAACATTAATAAAAATATTATAAAATATTACGTTTAACATCTTAACAGTGGGGGAATTTAAGGGAGCCGTAAGTTGTATGTTCTCTTATTACTAGTTTTATCAGTTACAACTGTCAGCCAAAACAAAGATCTTAAATACAGGCCTACAGTAAATGGCAAGTCAATTAAAAGTAAAAATCAAATCTTAACTTAATAGTATTTAAAATGATAATAGTAGGTTGGCTTAGCCCCAATTTTTTAGGCTTATATTTAAAATATTATAAGATTAGATTTAGGCCAACTTTTAGGAAAAGAAATAATCTGAGCTAAATAAACTGTATAAGGGTTAAATATAAAAGAGCTATAAAAAGTATATAATGATAAATGAACCCAATGGTAAAGAAAGACTTGTAAGCCCAGCAGAATAAAATGAACTTTCTGCAACTTAAAGGAGGTAATACCATCCAATATAACGTCTTAAAAATAAATTTAATATTTAAAAAAAAATTAGTTATTTATTTAGCCAAGAGTTTTTACATATTTATAATTCCTTAACCCTTAATGGATAATCCATCCGCTATAGCTACGCTTTAATAAAAACAAAATCCCTTAAAAGTATATGTGTAGACTCATAATATCACTATACGGGGGTCGGGCTCCTCCTTTCTGGGTGGAAAGCTCAAAGTCGGCTGACCGTAGGACAGGCTGACGTCTCCAAGTGGTATTAGGTTCTTAGGCTGCCTCTCCCGGCGGAAATTTCTAGCGAATTTCATCACATTAGGCCAAATGGGGAGTCTAAGCCAGATATCTCCCGCTTTCCAGTCCTTCGAGAAAGTCATTATAGCTCTATAAAGAGCGTACACTGGCGCCCAACCTTCCACTGAAGGGCAGCAGAGCAGGGTTTCGGGATTTCAGATTAAGTGGTTTGTGGTTCCTTACGCCGGGCGGCCGTAGTATGCCGATGCCTGTTACAACCCAATCAGGTTCGTGGTAATTCCGCTTGTTTTTGGTGTTAAATTTTTTTTAAAAAATTGTATTTTCATGCTGTAAGTCGCGCTATAGGCAAAAGGAGATTTATTTTAACTTGAGATGCGCGGCTGTAAGACTAATTGTAATCAAAGTAGTAATGAATTAGGCAGCTTTACTGCTGCAAATTCAAAAGATTTAGAAAAACAATTTATTTCTATTATATCTATTTTTCAAATAGCAGAAAGCAAAGATGTTTTTAACCTTACCGAACCTCAACTAAAAAAGTGTTTAGGTTGGGTCGACTACAGCGAGAGGGTTTACTTTTGACTGTTGTATATTTTTTCTTTTCTTTAGGATTACAGTTCTTATTGTAGCTGTATTATATTCAAAATTAAGTTAACATTATCCAGCTCATAAAAGCCTCCTCTGATGGACCTTGTTGGGATTTCGTTTCTGAAACTTTTCATTCTATTCTTAAAAACGTAAAACCCCGCCTACGAAGGTTGAAAACTTTAAATCAATTAAAAGAAGCTCGTCTTTTATACTTGGAAACACTTTTAAAAAATGAACACTTTCCGTTTGCCTTGTGGAAAAATCTCGCACTGGCATTGAAAGAATGGGGCTTGAAAAATAACAAATTTCTTCAGGTTCATATTTTTTCTTAGATTTTTCTTATGAATTAAATGCAAAACTGAATAGTTAACAACTAGTCTCATAACGCTGCAAACTCAACTGCGATGCTTAAGAACTGTGTACAATAATCTTTTTGATAAACCAGCTACTTCAGGTTTTCTAATACTTGGAGGGCTAAACCAAACGAGTTTCGGCGTGTCTTTTAATAATAATAAGATTTTTTAATCCCCTTGCTTAATAAAAGTTTGCTAAGCTAATTCCCTTAAGAAAAATGCTTTTAAAAAATTTATATACTTATTGAAAACACGTGACTCAACTGTTTTAATTAATTAGAGATGCGAAAATACATGGCTCAATTAATTTATCACCAACTTCTTTCGGATTTTAAAAAAAATGAATTTCTAACTACTTCACCGCTTTTCGAAAAATTAAAAATTTTTTTAAAGATAAACACCGACGCGCTGGTATTTTTTTTAACATCAAACAAATTAATTCTTGTTTGACCACTGCTGTCGTAACAGTCGGTGGTCCTTATGGCCACCGCATTTGGAGTGGCCGAAGTTAATATTAAGAAGGAAGAAGCCACGTTTTCATTGGCTTTATGTAATTGGCTTACTAATTTAATTAAGGAAGAGCGTCTTGAAGAAATAATCTTAAACGACGAAGAAAGCGTAATAGTGTGCTGCAAAATCTCCGCTTTTCACCCCAATTTCGCTAAGGTAATCTGAAATTTTATCCTTTTTTTAAAAACTTTTTTAATATCTCTTTCTTTTCCCAAAGATTTGCGTTCGCTATCTCGCGGGGGTGATGGACGGGATGCGCGAAGGCTCACCCGACGACAAAAAAGTGCGGTAGTTCACATTAACAATCGTGCCAGATTAACTACTATTTTAACCCCTAAAAATTAGTAGAAAGCGAGAGGTTGAGATAGCCGAATTATATTTTTCAACGATGAAGGCGGGCGACTCGGTCAACACTTTAAAATTATTTATTTTTCCCAATTAAAAATAATTTAAAAATTAACACTAACAGAAATCACACGCCATCGTTAAGCAGGCAATAGACGAGTATTTCTCAACTCGTCCAGCAGATCTTTTATTATTCAGGAAGCGATGCCTTCTCAACGACGGCCCATAAAACAAACATAATATTAAAAACATTTCAGGAACAATCCTTTCACAATTTAAACTTGGCGGCCTTAAATTTTGTCTCGGGAGCGTTTTTCCTGTGCTTCAATTATTTTTATGATTAATTATAATTTTTTATAAAACCTAAATTACAAACAAAAAAGATACATCCACGTAGGCTTGCTCTCCTAATTTGGAAAAAAAAGCTGCCGAGGAGCCGTAGTGGAGCGTCTCGCCCTTTTTCCCCAATTTGGCGCTTTTCGTTTTACCTTCCAAACAAAAATGGGATTTAAATATTAATCACGTTCTCCCCAAGGTGAAAAAAAAAAATTGAAGCATGCCTTCGCGGATTTTTTTCAAAGCCTGTAGAGACTCGTACTTTTTAGCAGCGCTAATATTGATTCTAAAAATATATGTATTACTTAAAAGTGCGTAAAGCAGTAATGAAATAAACGGCTTACTTGGATTTCTTTTGCAGCGCCTCCTCACGAGCCTTTTGCTTTCGGCGCATCAGTTGCTTTTTTAGTCGCCTTTGACGATTACGTTCGGCTTTAGCTTTCTCGCCGGACGTCTTAAGCTAATCAAAAAAAAATTAAAAAAAAAAGTGAATATAGAGTCCGAAAGGGCGGAATTTTCAAGCTAACCTCATGTTTGTCCTTCGGAAGAATTTCTTCAGGCGCCAAATGCTGGGTGGTGCTTACGACGGCCGGAAGTACCTACGCGATTGACCGTCAGTGGGGACAAAGAGAGGGAAGGATGGACGGACGGACCTCTTCCATTTGGACGGACGGGGCGTTCACAATCACAACGGCTTCCTCTTTGGGCGGCTTCGGAGTGAAGCTGGCGTTCGTCAAGGCATCTAATTTGCGTGAAAGAGATTCGAACAATCTGGCTAACTCGTCGTATTTTTTATTCTTTTCTTGCTCAACAGCAGGCGTTACCGCCTTTTAGTTTTTTTTTATTATAATCAAATTTTAAAAAAAAAACATCTACCTGGAAAGTTTCCCTTTGATATTCCTGCTCGTAAATCTCGGCTAAGCTCAGCTTGCTTTTTTCCATATCAAGCACAATTTTCGGCTTATAATCTAAAAAAGTATTCTATAGAACGATTAAAAATATTAAAAACAAGATCGGACCGGAGACAGGAAGAGGATCTTTGCGTTGAACATCATCAAAAAGTAAATTTTGAATACGATACTTAATTTTTTGCTCTAAATTTAATGTAAACTCTTCTGTAATTTCGAGGGCCGGCTTGAGGGTAGTCTGGAAATCCAAGTCTTCAGCTAACAGGCTGTAAACTAAATTATTAGAACCGTAATTACTACAACAATCGGCAAAGCTAAAAACCTGTCTTTTCCTCTACTCTTTGCCGAAACTTCGCCGGAAAGCTGCCAACTTTTTCTCTTTAGATTCATCTCTTTGTCCAAAAATTATAAAAAGGGCTAACAACTTAAAGGGGAAAATTGCCTTCCAGATTGTGTATCGTTTCCTCGATTTTCTCTAACCGACTTTGATTTATAGAAATGGCGTCGTTAGTTTGCTCATTGCTTGTGGCAAACAACTCACGAGGTTTCTATAATTCATCGAATTAAAAGAATCAAACAAAATTATAGTAAAAAATAAATAGCATCAGACGTTGATTTTATACGTATCGCCGTCTAACTTGTCAAAACCGTCTTCCCCCCCGATTAACTCCTCTTTCTTTATATTTCCACTATCAGCTTCAGTTATCCTGAAGCAGGAATAAAGAAATTAAAAATCAAGAAGTCGATAGACAGATTCCTTTCGTCCCGGTAAAAGTTTATAGAATCGGATTGGTCTGGATTTTTATAGTCAATAAATAAATCAACATCCAAATCATCTAAACAAAATTTGATACATCAAAAGTTCGCGATACAGCGATGGCTAAACATCTGTACCATCAGGATCGCTATGTCTTAAAATATTTTTAGAATCTTTATCTTCCATTTCATCTAAAAACTCTTCAAGTTCCTGCAAAAACCACTCATAAAAATAAAAAAGTAAAACCTTAACTATGATAACCGAAACTTTAAAAAATTCATCATCCACAACAGAATTTTTTTTCTCTTTAATTTTTGTTTGAGAATTTATCTCTTCACTTTGTGTGTTTACAACGCTTTTCAAACTGTAACTTTCCTTTTTCCCTTTTTGTACGTCCGCAAGTGTTTTGGTAGAATCGGCATTTTCAGTCAAAGTTTTTTTTTTATTGATAAGCTCCAGCGTTTTATACTTTTTTCTTAAAAAATTCAAAACCCTAACATTCATTAGTTTAAGTTCCTCCCATATTTGATCCTAATTTAATTAAGTTGAATAAAATTAAACGTTACCATAAAAGCATTAACTGAGTACACTATTAAAATCCTTAATAATAAGTTCCTCAATGGGACAAAGCACGTTATTTTTAGGTTCCAACGATTTTGCACAGTCAAAAATTTGTTTAATTATTATTCTTAACTAGATTATAAATATAAATGTAAGGGCAAAAATAATAATTTAAAAATTTATATAATAAAACCTTTATATTGGTGGAATCCTCCGTAAAAAGAAAATTTTCAGGGGTATTGCATAGATTTAGAAAAAACCAAGAAAACTCTTCAGTTTTTAAGTTAATATTAAGGCTGTCTTTCCGCATGAAAAGTATAAAAAACGAACTATAAAGGTTTAAATTGGTTGTTTACGCAAAATTAAAATCTACTGTGCGAACCACGTGCTATAACATCAATAAACACAATTCGTCTGCAGTGAAGCACATGAGACACCAGAGCTGTGAATAACAATTTTAAGTTGTTTAAATAGTAAAAAATTATAAACCTGTAGTCTTGAATATTATCTTAATAATTACATGTAAGAAGTATAAAACAACTTTTACGTGGTCTCGTAGTGGGAGAAAATGTTACTTTATAAATTTTCTATAAAATTGGAGGTTTGAGGAGTCGCCTTGCTCTCCAACTACTACCAATTTTTTTTTAGATACGAAACTACAGCTCCAATTATATATAGAATCACAGAAAAAAGTTTTTCTGTTTTGGAAAGAGTAACAAGTCCCCAAGCGCAATAATACCAGAAAGTTCTAAATCCCGGTCTCTATACTCTTTAAACAGGGCGGCCCCGCTCTTCCTTATCTATTCCTCAAAAGTGCTTAATAGTTGTTCTCGCGTTGTATTTTCAATGTAGTTACCACAAATTCTTATATAGTTTCATTTTATATAAATGACGTCTTTAAAATTTCCCATTTTAATACTATCTCGCGTTCTTTTATAAGGTAAAGACTTTATTTTTAAAAATATGTTTGCACCGAGAGGTGCTTTTTCTTTTAAACTTAGTAAAGGTAGATGTCCTACTCGGAAAGCAAACTATTCTTTTTTAATTTGCTGTATTTAATTTTTCTCAGTAACTAACTGTGACGTACATGCTGTGCAGCAAAATTTAACTACCGTTGATAACTATTATCAGCCTAGGTTTTTTCTAATTATGTAGTAAGATTCTGAAATAATCAACTCTGCATGGTTGAAGGTTGGGCATATTTGGGTTGAAATTCCATTTAAGCAGTTCGAGGTCTAATAACATTTTTTTTTAAAAAAAAAGAACAAGCCTTTAATTACTTTACGTCGCACTAACGTTATAATATCACTAACACTTACATGTTTAATTACTAAACTATGTTAAACCAATTTTTCGGAGTTACAGCAGTTGCAAACTTTAACCTTTGAAAGCAAAACGCAGATTATCTTTTGACTTCATCAACTTTTAACTTAATAATTTTTGCTTTCCAAAGCCGTAAAATTCTAAAATTCTTTACGCAATTTAATAAGTCGTAAGCCCACTAAGTACACGGTTGTGGCACCACCAAATGTCTCGTCATCTTCATATCACCTTCGTTACTGGCAAAAAAACTGATAAAGTGACTTTAGAAAGAAGTTATCCTCCAATCTAACCTTTAATCTAAAATCTGCAAGCGCTATATGTTTATTTTTATAAAAATCCCTTAGCAAACTTTACATTTATTACCGTGATTAATAGTAAATTATGTAAAAGCAATAAAAAAATATTCTGAGCCGGATAAAATACTAATTTATTTTATAAAAAAATGTTTAATAATTAATATTTGACATTTAACAGCGCTTATAAAAATATATTATTAGTTGCAACAGTTTAAAATGAGCGTAAACTTTTCTACTTTGCTAAAAATACTGAAACGGAAAATTTAAAATAAAAGTCTCGAACCGCGCACGGTAATTTATAGCTGATTGGATTGTTCCTAACAGCAGAATTTCATGAGTGCGAAGATTTAATATTATTTTTCTAACGAATAAATTTATAAGTTGGAAGCTTCTTTTTTATCGGTTTTGTTTAAATAATGACTTCAAACAGTAATTTTTTTGGAGACCGTCATTTTAAAAACAGAAGTATCTAAATATTTAATTACTTTATAAAATTAATAATTAAAAAGAATAATAATTTCTTTACATTTGTAACTAAACAAGTATGTTCACTACAGCTTTAGGAGAGCTTTGGATTCTTCTTCAGCTAAGTTGGCCTGTAATAACAACACTAATATTAGAATATCTTCCTTCCATTACCACCACTATACTAGTTGGTAAGAGTATTTTTTCTTTCTTGTTTGTACGTAAACCTTTTTAATTTTTTTTACTCGAGGTAGGTATCTCGGAATTGAACTTATGGAAGGTGCCACTTTGGCATCAATGTATATGAATGTTTTTGGAATTTCAATTGGATTTGGCCTCTCCGGTGGTTTAGATACTTTGTGTTCTCAAGCAAATGGTGCTGGAGATAAACAACAAGTAATTTTAATTTATTTTTTTATATTATTATTATTATTAATAATAGGTAGGACGATGGTTTCAGCGTTACTTTCTTATTTTGTTACTTCTTCTTGTACCGGTTTCAATATTAAATTGGTTTTCAAAAACAATTCTCGTTTATATACTACGCCAACCTCCTATTATATCGGACTATGCACAGCGTTATTGTAGATCAGGTTTATATATTAGGAAGTTGGTTTTTGCAAACCGATGGATTGATTATGTTTAATACCATAACATTTTCCCTTTAAATGTTTTTTTGGTTTATTTTTTATTATTATTTATAAAACTTACGGTAGTTGTACTATATAGCGATAATTGTTATTCCCGCGCTCTGGTTTTATGAGTTACTGAAGAAACTTTTTATCACTCAAGGCGCTGTGCTTCAAATGTAACATTGAATTCGTTTTTATATATTTTTTATAAACAAATATTTTTATTACAGGATTTTACCTGCTATTATTACGAATATAACAAATATTGGATTTTCTTTATTTGTTTTGCGTTGCACTAATTATGGATTGGAAGGCCTGGCTTTTGCTCGCAGTCTTGCGTCACGTAAGATATTATTATTATTATTATTTATTATTATTATAACTATTACAGTTAGCAGTCCTTGCGTGCTTCTAATTTATTCGAAGTACACAAAATCTTTTGAACTAGTTTGGCCCTCGGACGGATGGTTTATTATTACTTTATTAACCTTTCTTATATATAAAAACTTATTATTATTTTTTTTTAATTTTTTTTTTAAGGTCGAAAGAAATTTTTTTTAGTTGGAAAACTGCTTTAAGTTTTGGGTTGCCTTGTCTTTTTCAAATGTGTCTCGAGTGGTATTTTATTATTATTATTATTATAATTATTATTATTATTATTATAATTATTATTATTATTATTATTATTATTATTATTATTATTATTATTATTATTATTATTATTATTATTATTATTATTATTATTATTATTATTATTATTATTGCTGCCGTTTTAAAGAAAGCAGCAGTGATTAGTGTTAAAAGTAACAACTTCAATTTATTGTTTTATATTCTTTTTTTTTAACTATTTTAACTTTCTTTATTTTTATATGTATATTTAATATGTAAAGTGTTAATATTATACTTTTATATTCATATTCAGGTGGGCTTTTGAGCTTCAAGCTGCGTTAAGCGGGCTACTCCCTAACAATAATATTACCCTTGGTTATTTATTATTATTGTTATTATTACTATTATTATTATTAATTTTTTAGGAGCGCATCAAATATTATTTAACGTTACTGGTTTTACGTATATGTGGTACTCCGGAATCGGAACTGCTATTAGTGTTTACTTGGCAAACCTTTTAGGTTTATTATTATTATTATTATTATTATTATTATTATTATTATTATTATTATTATTATTATTATTATTATTATTATTATTATTATTATTATTATTATTATTATTATTATTATTATTATTATTATTATTATTATTATTATTATTATTATTATTATTATTATTATTATTATTATTATTATTATTATTATTATTATTATTATTATTATTATTATTATTGTTATTGTTATTATGATTATCATTATTATTACTACTATTATTATTTTAAATATAATTACAACCATATCTTTTTTATATATTTATTATTCTTACAAGCATTATTATCAACATGTTCATTAGCAATATAAATTCTTATTTTTTAAAAGTTATATATTTTTAGTACACATTAAAACCAAACTTTATATACTTAAAAAAAAAATTTTATTAAAAAGTAAATATTCATGACAAGTAATACTTTTCTAATTTATTTAAATATATGGAGTTAACTCTCATATACCACGTGGTATTTCACGTGTGATAGCGCTTGTTTCTTTGTTTGTCCCACATTCTATACTTCTCCCCTGAAGGTATAAATCCCTTTTTTCTACGGGAAATAGATTGAATTGCTTCTCCTCTTTTTCTCTGTTGTATGAAAAAATATATAAAAAAATTATAAATATTATATTAAAAAAAATATTTAAAACAGTTTTTTTTTAATTATTATTTAATAATTTTTTTTATATATGCATTATCATAAATATTATTTTAGCCACTTAATAAAAACTTTTATTCATTACTATTAAAGTTTTGATTATTTTTTTTAGTTCATATAAACTTTTAAAGAGAAAAGCTTTTTCACTAAAAAAAAATGTTGTTATAAATTTTTTTTAGTACTGCTTTAATAAATATAAACTTTTACTATTAGTAATTTTGATAATTTTTATAGTTTCCAGCAGTTTATATAGAAAACTTATTGCTGGATTCTTGAGTTATTATAATTTTATAGTACAACTTTAGTAAAGTTTGAAAATTTTTTGACTTGTATTTTAGTATTTTTTATATATAACCAGATTCTAACAAAATAGATAAGTAGAGGCGTAGTTTTGTAGGGTTATTATATATTTTTTCCATTATAGTTTTATGCTATTTTACATTATTTTATTACTCTAATAGGCGCTGGGCGTGCAAAGCAGGCTTATAAAAGTGCTATGATCGGTTTAGTTTTGGCGGGTTTTGTGGGTCTTCTTTTTTGCGCTCTTTTATTCTCATTAATGAAGGTATCCTATGTATTGCTTTACTATAAAGTTTATACGACCTCTTTTACATATCCATATTGAAACCTTTTTTTTTAAGAACTTTTTATGTTACTATTATTATAGAAGCTTTTTCAGCTTATCTATTTCCTTAAAAAAACGAGATTTTGCCGAGCTTTTTTGTGAGGGACGCGCAGATTATTATAGAAACTGAAAAAGTTTTTCCTGTCCTTGCAAGTTATCAACTCGTCGATTCGTTGGAATGCGCCTTTGCTGCTATTTTTAGAGGTTTTCTTATTATTATTATTGTTATTGTTATTGTTATTGTTATTATTATTATTACTATCATTACTATTATTATTATTATTACTATTATTATGACTATTATTATTATTACAGGATGTGGTTATCAAATTCTTTGTGCTTCCTATTCTTTTATAGCTTTCTACGTTATTGGTAAAAGTTAATTGATACAAAACTATTATTGATTACATAGAAATAACAGGACTACCTTTAAGCGTTTTGCTTGGGTTTGTAGTGCGGCTGGGACTGCTGGGCGTTTGGCTCGGCCCTGCCGTGGCTCTTCTTCTTCATTCTTTTGCTTCCTTTTTTACTTTAAAGCTTTTTAACTTCGAAAAGTTATCAGAAGAAGCCATTGAAAGAGTGACAGCTGAAAGCCTTCAAGTTATTATTATTATTGTTGTTGTTATTACTATTATTACTATTTTTATTGATATTCATTAAACTATTTTTATTTGAAATATTTATTTTTAAGCTTAATTTTTTTTTTAGGGGAACAATTTTTTTAAAGCATTCCCAACTTTTTTCTATTTAATTAAAAGTTTTTATTTTTTCATAATAAACTTTGTGATATATATTATTTAAGCTTACATATATTGCACCAATCCTAGAACTGTATTTCCAACAGTATCCAAGAAGATGGTCGCCCTTTATTGGTAAATCTTGACGAATAGGGATAAATGAATTATTATTGGTTATAAACGATCCTTTACCGATTGAATTCGTGGAATATACAGATTAAAAAAACTTGCCTTGATTGGCTTGTGGGCTATATACTAATAAAAGAATAATTCTTATTTGATATTGTAAATATATCGGTTTCTTACTGATTGATCACGTGAAATATACAGAACTAAGTGTGTTCATTGGTTATTATTCTTAAATGCCGTAATAAATGTCGTTTCTTTATTGGCTAAAAACGTGAAATATACAAAAATAATAGGTGTTGATTGGTTCTTTATTAATCCTTATTTTTTACGACCTCCGCGCTCTTTCACTGTTAAGTGGACCACTGTTGTTGGGTTGAAGTTATAACTTAGCAAAGTTTCACTATCCTGGAATAAAAAGTAATATTAGTGATAATAATTATTATTATTTTTTGCTATAATAATAATGAACGCGAGCAATAATGTTAAATATAATTGGCATAATGGAAAATAATTAAAATAAAAATTATTTAAAATATTCTTAACACTATAAATCAATAAAAATAATGAACAATAGTAATAATCATAAAATATATTTGTAACACTATAAATTATTAAAAAAATTGGTAATAAAAAATATATGAAACAATAGAAAAAGAGACGGCATGCAATATACTTTATACCAGAATTATTCTAATATTTAACTTATAATAATATAATAATAATATACGAGGAAACAAGAAAACATAACAGTAAATAAAAAAATAATAATTATAAAAAGGTTACATATAAAAGTTAATTTGTATATAGTTATTTAATAGTATATAATAAATAAATAATACAAAGAAAATATAAAAAACGAATTTAAAAAAGACTTCAAAGATAATATAAGTTAGTGATAAATCATAAAAAATATACAAAAATAATAGAAACAACTAAATTGATATATAATAATAATATATATATAAGTATAACAGTAAAAGTAATTAATAATAAAATATTTATAAATAAAAAATAAAATAATACATTTTTAAGTGTAATAAAAATCAATAACAAAAAAACTAATAAATAATAATAATAATATAAAGAAAAATATGACGAATATGCTAAGAATTTATAATAATGTTAAAAAAAAAAAGAAAAAGGATAAAATAAAAATGCAAACAATTTTATAAAAAATAATACAAAAAATAGTGAATTGAAAAATAAAATATAACAATAAGAAATATATAATACATATTTCAAGAATATTTAAAATATATTAAAATAAAAGCCAAGCTAATGAGTAATATAAACTTCATAACGTTCAATAAAAACAAAATCAAAGCAAAAAATAAAACTAATAATAATAATAATAGAAACTTAGAAAAAAATATAAATTTATGTATAAAAAGTATAACATGATATTAAAAACTTGAGAAAAATATAAAAAAAATGCTAAAAAATTTATATATAATAAAGTTTACACACATTTTATATAAACATACAACACAACGGTACAACAAAATAATAACTTTTAAAAAAAATATAATATTTAAAATTCAAAAACTTTAAATATAAAAAATAAAACAAAAAATATTAAGTAAATAAAAATATAGCAAAAATAAAAATATCAATAAAAAAAACTTTGAAGAAACAAATTTGCAAAATAAAATTCATCTAAAAAAAAATTTGGTATAGAAAAACTTAAAAAATAAGGCCAAAAAAATAATGAAAAAAAAAAATTACTTTTAAAAAGTTTGCGCCGATCTGAAGTTTTTGCTTACTAACGGGCATTTGTAAGGCGTTTTGCAGAAAAGTCTTGATATCAGCAATAGTTTGTGTGATCTTCAGCTCAGCATCAACCTTTCAACAATTTATTATTATTATTATTATTATTATTATTATTATTATTATTATTATTATTATTATTATTATTATTATTATTATTATTATTATTATTATTATTATTATTATTATTATTATTATTATTATTATAACTTTAAATTAAAAAGTTTATAATAATAATAATAATAACTAAAAAATTTTCAAAAGTCGTCTCTTTAAAGTTTATAATAAAAGTTTTGAAATGTGGGAAAAGTTTAAAAAATATATTAAAATTTCAACCTATTCAATTTTATAACAATTATTATTTAAAAAAGCTTTTAGAAAATTATTAAAGTAAAAGAGAATAGTACAAATAAATAATAATGATAAATAAAACAATTCCTTTAAAGTTTATAATAATAACTAAAAACTTTTCTCAAAGTAAATAATAATACGAATAATAAATCTTTCACAAAGTTTATAAGAGAAGTTTAAAAACTTTAATAGAATAATTTAAAAAAAAACCTTACCATATAAAAGCGTATAAAAATATAAATTCAAACTTAAGTTAAAAATAAATATTGTAATTATAATAATTATAATTGTTATTTTTAAATATTATAACTCATATAAATTATATAGAACTTTATTACAATATAATCATTATTATTATTACAATATCTATTATAATAAAGTTAATTAGTAAATTATTATTTCTCCAAAAATATTATTTAATTTTCTAATATAAAATTAAACGTAAACTAAATTAAATTTCCAGAAATTTTCCCTGAAAAAGGTAGATTAACACAAAATTTATCTACAGTCTATAATAAAAAAGTTAATAAACATTAAAAAATTATAAAACTTTGTAATAATAAAAGTAAAAAAAAACTATATTAAACTTTTTATATAGTAATTATAACAAAAATGATTATAAAAATAAAAAAATTATTTTCTATAAAAATATTATATAAAAAATATACAAAATAAAAAAATTTATATTTAAAATAATTATATAAACTTCATTAAAAGCAAAAAACTTTAAAAACTAAATCAAACCTTCATAAAAGTAAAACAAAAATAAAAAAGTTTATATTATTTCTTATTATTTTTATAATATAAAAGTTTATGAATAAACTATATTATTACTATTATTAATATTATTTTATTATTATTCATACAACAAATATAAAAAGTTACAAAAGAAGGCCATTTTATTAAAATAAACTAAAAAAAATAAAATACTTATAAGTAAAAGCCCTTAAAAGACTTTTTTTTAACATGTAAGTATTGTTCATTATTTTTTAATAAGGCAATAAACTTTTTCTATAAAGTTTATAACTATTTGTCCTGAAAGATTCCATTCCGGCTTATCGGGGACGTGCGGAACGACTATTTTGAAGGTGACGGTTGGCTAATAGATAAAAATATATTAATAAATATATAAAAAATTATAACAATATATAAATATATAAAGATAAATACAAGTACGAATATATATATACAGAAAAATAAATAAAAATATATAAAGGTATAAAAATAAATATATAAATATATAGAAAAAGAAAAAAAATTAAAAATATATAAATAAATTGAAAAACTTAAGAAGTCTAATAAAATAAGGAAATAGAGAATGTATATAGATATATAAAAAGTATAAAATAAAAGATAAATAAATAGAGAAATATGAAAAGTACATAAGAAATATATTAAATATGGAAATTAAGTATATAAATAAGGAGAAAAATAAATAAAAATATTAATAAATATATAAAACAACGAAAGTTAAACAAAAAAAAGATGTTATTAAGAATTTAAAAAGTAAAATAAATAAATTATAAATATATAAAAGAATTAATAGAAATTCAAATGTATATAAATTATGAAATATATAAAATAATAAATAAATAAATACAAAATATACAAAATAAATTAATTTAATAAATGGAAAAATAATTAACGATATAAAAATAAGCATGCAAAAAAATTAATAAATAAATAATTATATAAAAAATAATAAGAAAATAAATAAGAAAAATAATTGTAAATATAAAATGATATTTAAACTAAGAATATTTAAGTATAATAATTATAATAAATTGTAAAATAAATATTTAAAAAAAATAGCTAAACTTATAATAAAGTATTATAAATATAAGAATAAGTAAATAATACAAAAAAATAAGATATAAATAATAATTATGTATAAAAAAATATTGAATAGGGAAAATTATAAAGCATAATAAATAATATATGATAAATAAATAATATATAAAAAAAATAAAAAGGTTATCAATATTAATATGTAGTTAATATAAAAAAATACGGCTTCCATCGCGCCAGTCTCATCCACTTTCACACGTTTCGGATCAAGAAAAGGAGGCGGCTGGCCAAAATACGGACGCGCTGGAGATAAAAAAGTTTTTTTTGAGATATATAGTATAAATTTATAAATAAAGTAGTATATAGATTAAAATAATAATAATAGAATATTCCTTCAAAGAAAAAGTAAATATATTATAAATATTAAAAAAATAAGTAAAATATTAATAGTAACATTAAAAAAATTTCGTTATAATATATATATAATTATAAACATCTATTATAAAGTATAATAATAACTTTACAAAATTCTGTTAAAAAATATATTTACAAAAAATAATTCAAACAAATTACAAATATAAATAATAATGAATAATAATATTTAAAAAAAAACAAAAAAGGTGATAAAAAATGAACAAATCATAATATATAAAAATAAACGAAAATAATAAAGTAGAATAATAATAATTAAAAACTTCGTTAATAAAATTTACATAATTATAAAATAAACAAAAAAAGTTAATAAATAGAAATAATAAAGTAAAATAGGAATCACAAAAATTTTAGGAATCACAAAAATTTCAGTTCATTATTATTAATAATTTAGAATACTTTTTAGATTTTTATTTTAGTGATTATATTTAATTATAAATTTAAAGTTTACACTTTTTTTAATATAATTATAGATATAGAATTTTCTTTTTTACATGTATTTTGTTATTACTATTTTTACTTTTTATACTAAACATTTTTTTTATTGTTTACTATTTATTATATTTTATTAAAACAAAAAAAAAATTTTAATCATGAATTCTTTTTATTGAAAATATATCTACTATTTCTAATAATATTGTTATTATTATTTTTTTATATATAATTATCCGTTTTTATATTATAATAAAATTTATTACTTTTTATATTTTACTGTTATAAAAAATAATAATAACTGCATAAAGAAAAATACTAAAAAAAAATTATTAAAAAAATAAAATATTACTTCGTAAATTTAATAAAAATATGAAAAAAAAAAAGTTTTATAAAACAATAAAAAGAAAAAAATATAAAAATATATATAAAGTAAACAGAAAAAATCTAAAACTTTTTTGAGTAGAAGTAATTAATGAAAAATTCAGTACAAAAACAAACACCCACCGTGAAGACCAGTCATGGGAGGGAACATGTTTGGTGGTAATCCCTGCATGTTGGATATAAAGCCTGGAGGCATACCTTGGGGAGGGAACATGTTTGGTGGTAATCCCTGCATGTTGGATATAAAGCCTGGAGGCATACCTTGAAAAAAAATCATAAGAACTATGGAACTTTTTCATAATAAACCAATAAAATAAGAAAACCTGGAGGCATTGGCATTCCAGGTAAAAAGTTGGGGCGGCCGGCTTCATTTATAAATAAGAAATAATAATGAATATAAATATTAATTATAATGAATATAAATTATAAATTAATAACGGAAATTCATGTTTAAGGGTGGTGCCATGAAACCAGGAGGACCGCCAGGCATCCCTGTACACGTGTTAATATGCAAAAAAAGTTAGTAGTTACATCTAACAATAAGAGCTTTTTACACACCCTCAACAACCTATAAAAAAGCGTTTAAAAATTTTTAAGAGATAAAATTATTAGAAGATATCATAATGAAAACCAAACACAAAATATAACGAAATAAAAAGTAATCACCCAGAGGAGGTGGTGGCATGGAACCAGCAAAGGGCGGAAGAGTGACTGGCGGAGCAGGAATGGGCGGTGGAACAGAAGCATTAATATTTCCCGGACCAATCTTATCAGCTTCTGCATTTCTTTACAAAAAATGAAACCAAAAAAAAACTAATAATGAAAAGTAAAACAACAGAGAGAACAAAAATAATAATGAATAGCAAAAATACTCAGCCATGTTGCGTTCTAGCGCTTTCGCACGATCGTCATGGGTCACGGAAGCCTGAGCAGCAGCGCTAACGGCCGAGGCAGAAGACGCAAATCCGTCCCAAATAACTTTTTCCTTATCTTTTTCCGCTTTCGAGTCCTTTAATTTGATTTAGAACAATAAAAATAATGAAAATAATGGAATAATAATGACGAGCAAAATACTTGAAATTCTTCTCCTTCAAAGATATCTGTGCGGACTTTGGAAAGTTGTTTCAAGTTTGCTTGCATATCCATACTTAATTATGAAGCATTAAAAGTTTCGCATATTTAAAATTCTTAAATTTCATACAAAAATAATAATGAAATCTTTTAAAAATAACTTCCCATTAACTAAATAACAATAATAATAAAATAATATTTATTATAATTGTATAATATTTACTTTTACTTTATACAAATTCATTTATTATAATTCTTTTATATTACAAATAAAAACTAATAAAAATATTAATAGTAATTGCTTTGGAAAAAAGTTTTTTTTAAAATTTTTTTTTAAACGTTACTCTTTTAATAACTTTTCTTGTTAGTTTATTTAAGCTTTCTTTACTTTTCTTTCATAATATAAAATATATAAAATAATTGTATTTCCATTTATAAAAAAGTAAACTTTGTTGTAATAAAAAACTCAAAAAATATAAAAAACCCGGAAGCATAAGTTTTCTTCATTTCTTGGAGTTCTGCTCTTCTTCGTTCGTCGTGCTCCCGCCAGCGTGGATCCAGCAATTCTACTCGTAAATGCTCGTCCATTTGCGAAGAGAGAATAGATTGCTTGCAATTGGGACAGATGGAATATTCCTGGCTAGAAGAGCTCTTTCGCGGAGCTTTATTTATTATTATTTAATTATTTATTTAATTATTTATTTAATTATTTATTTATTTATTATTATTATTATAAATATTTAACAAATATATAAATATAAAAGTTACAAAAATAAAAAAAGTTAAATCATATAATAAAAAGTTTATTATCGTAAAAAAAATTAAAAATATATAATAATAATAATTTTCTTTCAATAACTTAGATGACTATTTATAAAATATAATAAAACAAATTTTTTTATTATGAAATAATAAAAATTACTAAAAAAGTAAAGCTATTAAGAAAAAAGTCTTATTTAATTAGAATATTACCAACGCAGTACTTTTCATAATAAAAAAATATACTAAAAAGTTATTTTTTTTCTATTCAATCATTTATTATTATTAAAAAAAAAAAGTTTTAGCACATAAAAATTATTGAAAAGTAGGGTAAACCTTTGGGATCATACTCAACAATTTTTATGTCCTAAAAATATAAACACTAGTACTAAGAAAAAATAAATAAATAATAATGAATCGTACATTCTGCTGAACTATTTCCGTCACCTCATTTGGTTGAGGGTAGTGAACCTCGTGCTCTTCCTCATAAGCTTGACTAGCCAATAGCATTTTCTTTTCGTCTTCTTCGGAGTGTTTAGGAGGTAATGGAACTACTTCTATATTTAAAAATAATATTTAAAAATAAATGAAAAATATGATTATATATTATTAAATAAATAAATAAACAGAAGAAATAAAAATATATATTTTTAAATAAATACAAAAAAGGCGAATATACTTAAATATAATAATAAATAAGAAATAAAAAAATTATTAGTTATATATATAAATAGAAAATAAAAAAATAAATATATTAAAAAATTACTGTAAATAAAACATAAAAATAATAAAAACATTAATATATTTATAATTAGAAAATAAAAAAAATTAAATATGTTTGTATATTAATATAAGAAAAATATCAAAGAAGTAATAATATAAATATATTTATAAGTATATAAAGAAAAATACATATATATATTTATATATAAATAGAAAATAAAAAAAAATAAATATTTTTATATATCAATATAAAATATATATGGAAATTATAACATAATTTTTATAAATAAATAGAGAATTAAGAAAAATAATTATATTTATAATTTAATAGAAAATTAAAGGAAATAATTATTTTTAATAAATAAATGATAAAAAAAGTAAAAAAATAAAAGAAACCGGGCTGCTCGGGAGCTCTGACTTGTTGCTTTTCTCTTAAACTTCGTTCGTATCTTTCTTGTAATATGATTCGCTGTTTTAAAAGTTCTCTCTAAATAATATTAAAAGATCAAGACTACAAAAATAATGAATCAATTTTTTTTTAATAATTAAAATAATGACAAAAATAAATATTTAGAAATATATAATAATAAGCAGTAAAAACTGTAATAAGTGGTGGAAGTTCGGAAAAATCATCTTCAGGGAAGTCGACCGTTTCAACAACTGTGAAATCGTGCCAATCAATGGTCGCGTATTGCCCTTATAAAATTGATAGTGATAATGATAACGATAATAATAATAATAATAGACGGAAAAAATGGAAAAGGAGCAATCAAGCACTTGAAGTGCCACACGGTATGGTAGCCAACGCACGTGCTACAAACAAGGCGTAAAGCCATGTAGTATTACAGCATACGAGTAATGTAGCACGTGATTTATAGAGTTCATTAAAAAAGGGCATTATACTTTTTTCTTCTTCTATTTTATTCTGAATGTCCTGTTTTTTTTTTCTCTGTTGATTTTCCCAAGCAACTCGTTGCTTTACACGTCGCAAAATCTTCAAAAGGAAAAAAATGTATACTATACCCAACGCCCTCCTCCAACAAAAAATTTACTGCTTCGCGGTTAGTGGATTGGTTTTTCAAGTTTTCTAATGACTCTTTAGAAGGAAGAAATATCTTTCATATTAATAAATATATTAAAAAAGTTTGTGTAAACAACTTTTTAAGCATTAATATATAAAAATTTGAAAATTTTATTACTTGCAAAATACATAAAAATAAAGTTTTATTTTTTTACTGATACCAAACTATACACGTGCAAACCCAAAAGTAATAATATTAACAATAAACAATTTGTTCGTAAATATTTTTTGATGGACGTTCTCCTAATGCTATTGGACCCTTTCGATAGACCAATCCAGTGAGACCACTCATTAGCATGTGCACGTGGCCCTTAAACTTTTCAACTTTTACGAACTCATTATTTTTAAAGTACATCTACACTAACAATTCAACTATAATAACGAAGCATAGTATTGTTAAAAAAAGTTAAGCAACTGTACCTCCTAAATAAATTTATTTTTTTAAACAGAAATTTCAATTAATGTAAGTGTTATCAAAAAATCAGCAAAGACAAAAATAATTAATAAAGATGCACCAAAAGTTTATATTCTTAAAAAAAATTAACTGCATTTAGAAATATGAAAAGTTAATTTACTTTTTATAAAATTTATAAAAAAATAAAATTTTATATTTTATATTTATCACTTTTTTATTATATGGAAATTTATACAGTTCCAAAGTTAAGTTCCTTTATTAAATTTATTATTAATCAATTTAAATAATCTTTTATCTTCTAGATCTACGAAATGAATTCATTAGGTTTTTCTACGAAACAAATTTTCTTATTTATTTTTTCCTTTAAATTTAAGCAATTATTACAACAAAATTATATTTAATAATTTTTTTCACAAACAATTAATACTTTAATTATGAATAATATTTATAAACAATAAAATCAAAAAACTTTGCTAGCGCAAAATTTGATTTCATTCTAAAAATAAAGAATTAAAGAAAAATCCTTTTTCAAAATTGTAAATTTTATAAAACTTCTAACTATTATTACTAAAAATAAATTAATCTTTTAATTATGATTAAAAATTTTACAGCCAAGAAATATATAAAACTACTAAATAATAAGTTCCACAAATCTTTAATTGCTTAAAATATATAAATTACTTTACACAAAAAATGTTTGCGTACTAAATAAATCTTTTTTAATGAAAATGATTTCAAATTTTATAAATTTAGTAATTTTTTAATACTTTTGGCAATTATAATTAAAGTAAAAATTCCGTAAGTGAATTTTTTTTAAAAAAAAAAAAACCTTCGTGTACTGTTCAACAAGTTTTGTAAAATATCCAAATAAAATATGATGAGGACGAAGAAAATCAAAAAGATAATTGCGGGATTCGCGTTGCATTAAAGACATTAAAAACTGCCTCCCGTTTTTCGCTACGCTTTGCGCTGTCAGTTTGACGATCGCTCTGTAAAAAAAAAAATGTACAACTTTTTCAAAAAATAAATTAATTTACAAATAAAATAACAACCAAAGCTGAAAAAAATTAAAAAAATATAAAATTATTACTTAAAAAAATTGTTATTAATCCTAATAAAGCAATATTTATTTTCTATAATTACATGTAAAGGTAATTAATACTCTGCGAATAAACTAACGATCATCTTAAATGTAATCTGAGATTTTATACAAAATGTAAATTACATTCATTAGTTATAAAAATTAATATAATAAAAGTTTTATCATATTATTATTTACATTGTATGAAAAAAATATATTTATTCTACTAAAAAATAACAAAAATATTATATATATACCAATAAAAATTAAACTTTTAAAATAGTTAAAGTACATAATAATTTTTATACAAAAAAAAGTTTTGAATAAAATTTCTCATTGTTCTTTTTAAGTAAACTGATTGTAACAATAAAAAAATTATAAAATAATGCGTTCTAAAAAAAATTTATTATATAAGTTTTATTCAATTTAGAAATAATTTATAAAAAAATAAACAATTACTATTAGAAAATTCAAAAAGTTTCTAATTTAATAAATCTAATAAAATACTAAAATTTTCCGGTATAATCAACCACCAATAATAATTAATCAACTTTAAAAAAAAATTATAAATTATTTTTACTTTTACTAGAAGTTAGATCCAAAACTTTTTCACGAAGACACTTTTACCAATACAATGATAATTTAATATATAATATAAACTTCGTAGGAGGTGAAATAATAATAAATAATAATAAAATATTAAAAATACAGCAAAATTATTAGTTAAAACATTTTAAACGCTAACAAGTTTGAAAATTATTTTAAAAATTAAAAAAGTAAAGATTTTCATAAACAAGAGTTTTTTATGCCACCCAAATAATTAAATAAAGAAATAAAAAAGAATAAAAACTATAATATATATTTTTTTTCTCTTTTCTTACTTTTTACTATTTATTTAATGTTATAAAAAGTATAGAACAGATATTTATGATTTTAAAGTTGTAGCTAATTAATAAAAATCTTTGTTTTATAAAAAAACATAAAAAATCCTTATACATTAACTTTTATGTAAAAAAACATCAATATTTTAAAGAATAAAATTCGTAAGTAAATTATAAAAGCATATTATAAAATTTATAATTAGCAAAACTATTAGAAAATTAAAATAAGGTTAAATTTTTTTCCAAGTACTTAAAGCGAAACTGATATTTTTTTTTAAAAAGAAGCCTTATATAATTTAATAAAACTTTCTACCAAAAACTAAAGAAATTTGAAAAAAGTTATTTTTTTATACATATCCATAGCCGCAATAGTAGGAACAGTTATTAGAAATTCGTAATCAGGTGGTGGAAGAACAGGCGCTTCCGGTTCTTCTTTAATAAATTCTTTACTTTTTACTTCAGTTGTTTGATCAGAAGTTTTAGCTAATTAATAAATAATAAAAAGAGAATTTAAATAAGTAATAAAACAAAAAAAACAACGAAACTTACAAGAAGTGGTGGTGGTGCCTGAGTCTTTAAATTCTTTAACTTTTGTGATATAATAAGCGTAATAGGGATCACCAAGATTGAGAAATGTGAGATGTGCTAAACAAAATTAGAGTCCACTTTTTATCACGAAAGTAAATATAATATAATATCACCTTTCTCCTTTCTAATTCTTTGTTCGAATTCAACACCAACGCGGGCTACATACTTAGCTGTGCTATCAATAAGAGCTATAACATATAAGAAAGATAAGAAAGAAAAAGTGTATAGTTGCTAAATCATAATAAAGAGTAATATAAGTTAATAATCAGGATGAACTTTTTAAATCTGGGGGTGGATGGATAATGCCAATAATATTTGAAGTGCCTTTAGCTGTAGTTGAAGTCTCTTCTAATTTAGTAGGCATTTTCACAAAATGTACATCAAGTTTAGAGAAGATTTAACGTTTCGCTGGCGATACCGAGACACGCTCTACTATATGTGATGAGCTAATCATCATGATAGTGGGGGTTCAAAAAGGTTAAAAAGAAAGTAAAAAATACTCAGTTATTAAACCTGTTTACGATATATAAATGTGTTTTTTCTATCAAAAGTAAAACATTTTTTTGCTTGTTTACTATATATATTGCTATATTTTAATTAAACGCAATTTTTTTTTTGTATTTGAACTACTCGGCAAAATGTATGGCGATTATCAGAAGGTTCTTAATCAACACCTGGAATTTTATTAAAAATATATATATATTAAATATTCTCATATAAGTATTTTACCCATTTTCACCTTTTTTCCTTTTTTTATTATATGAAAGTAATTGATTTTTTTCTTGAATAGAGTAGAGTTGAAGAAAAAAGGATGAAGCCTAATGCCAATCCCGTTACACGTGCATCTAATATTGGACGTGGGCTGGTTTTTAATACTGTTGTTTAAAAGGTTTCTGCCACGTAAAAAAAAAATGTTACGAAGTCATGTTAACGGGAGCCAAAAGATAATATAATAGTTATAAATTATCAAAAAAAAAAAATAGTAACAAAACGATAAAACTATTATAACTTACCATTTGGTTAGTTCATCCCTGTTAGCTCTCGACATTAAACACCAACTGCAAGAGGTTACAGTGGTTTCCATCCTTCCGTTTCATGAAGCTCTCCTATGAGATGCTTTATAACGAAAAAGCTTAACTTACTCTTTTATTTATTCTCTTTATTAGTTTCTTAGAAGTATGCTTATTATATTACTAAAATAGCTGTACTTTAAAATTGAGTTACGTAAAATAAAAAAGTTTGAACACGTTAGCAATAGACTTATTTACTTAATTTTTCCTTGTAAGCTGATTTTTATTTGTAAAATGTATGATAGTAAACGTAACATTTACCGGCCTCCTGGTTAATAATTTTATTAATATTTCTTATTAATACATACCATACCAGTGCCTACTCTTCTTATCTTTTTTATTGTTATTACATAAAGCCCACTACCTCTTTCCGGTATAGGTAAATTTTTCTATATTAATTCTTCATTAAGATAGGATTTAAAGTTTTAAATTTTTTGTCTTCAATAAAAATCATTTATTCTTTATTATTCTTTGTTAAGTTCAGCTTAATCGGTGCAAGTTATTAGATATATTCAAAATTCTCTACAGCTTTCGACATTAATATTATCGCTAGTTTTCAATACACACTATGAAGTTGTTAAAAAGAAACACCAACAATTTTGCGCACTAGAAAAAGAGGAACCTCTTTTTCTATTTTTTGTTAGGTACTTATTGAAGGAGCCGACAACTACGTATTAACCTTGAACAGCTTAATATGAACTTGATTAACTATTACTGTTAAAAAACTTCTAATTTATTTTTAAGAGGCATATTTATATTATAATAAGAGTTCAAACTTTTAAAGAACCGGTTATTAGGATTAAAGGAAGCAAACCTCTCGATACTGAAAACTCAGCTACAAAAATATTTATAAATTATATTATTACTACTATTTTTCTTCCTCTCAAAGCTTCCACACGCTTGTATCCTTCAGTTTAAAAATAAGCACTCTTGTGGCAATTGAGTAGTGTGTCAACCGTTATGGCATGACTCTCAGTGCTGAGATCACAAGCGTCGACAATTATTTTGAGGGACCGAACATTGCTGTTTGGTGCAAGCGCGGACTTTTTGACACTACCTTTTGTAGTGACTACTAATGATATAATAAGACTACTTAATACGTTCAATATAATTTTATAAATAAGCAAATTATAAGCATCCTGGGCTTATAAAAGGAACAAACGAAAAGCGCAAGCCCTCGCGGTTGTCCCTTCTTCTACGCTATGCATAATGTGCCCCACCATCAACTTAAATAATTAGCGCCATGTGAGACTAAACCTTTAATAGCAACAGCAGAGAAAAGGGCTAGCCCACGACCTGCGTTAATAATTATGTATTTTAATTGTTAGTTTAAACGATGTAGAGAAAATTTACATAGACTGCTTAATCCAATTGTCATAATTAATATTAATTCAGCGTACAGTCATGTGTGGGTTTACAATAAGTTTTATCTAATAAATACAAAGAACTATTGGCATATAATATAATTAGGTCCTCTATATCGTTTAACTAGTTGGGATCGTACATTAGTTTATTTTGATCAGGAATTTGTGGTTTTTTGTCAACTTAGCAAAGAGCTTTGACAGTTTTGTTTACCATGTGCATCCCACAGCATTGGTGCAATAGTCCTTACCAGTGGAAACTTGCGATTAATTTTAGCTTTGTTTTAAATTTAAAGGGGATTTTAGTATACTTTGAACGACAGGTTATGTTAGTATATAGGCACTATCTACTCTACTGACCGAAGTACAATAAAGATTTACAAAAACTATATATTATAATTTATTAATTTTTTTCATTAGCCCAGCGACGCTACTCAACGCAAGAAGCAGGCCCCCCCCGCAACTACGCGATAGAAGAAAAAGATCTCTGGAGCAGCGCCGCTGGCTAGCATATATATACAAGTTTATAACTTAGCCCTCACTAAGTTATATGCACTTACTAACTATAGATAACGGGAAAAAACTGATGATATACAGGTATCAGGGTAATTGGCATTATTAATTTGGTAATTATATTCTAAGTATTCTTATAATGCTTCGCCTTGGACGCCCAAAAGATTAAACATCACTTATCTCCTAAAGTAACAGAACTTGTAAGATTCAGTAGGATCACTTCATATACTCTCTCTAGGTCGCCAAAAAGCCCTGGTGAACTGATTAATATGTTTTGGGAGGTGTTAAGTATTCACTGGAGCACGAACAACTTATGCTACATTTCATCTTAACCAAATTAAGTAGAGTAAATCATGCGTTCATTAATATAGTAAAAGGTATGATATCTATGATCCACACGCTTTTTTGGGTAATAACTTCTACGTTATCCTTAAGTGGTGCGCAGTTTCATAATTGGAGAAGCCCCCCCTTGTGTAGGTTTTAAACGGTTTTAAACTATATAACACTTCGGCCAAATGTCGGGAGTCGAGCACGGTATATTTCCCGCTAGCTCACCGCCCCTCGGGACAGCTATGATAGTTTGAGTGATACGCGCGGGAAGACCTTCATGCCCTGATTTCTCTCGACGTAGAAGATAATTATTTTTTAAATGGTAAATTGACTTTAAATACTTTAAAAAAAAAAAAGAAAACAAATAATCTACCAAGTTTGCCTCGTTCTCTCTTTGCGTTCTTTTGACTCTTTAGGAGTTTCGCACTGCTTTTGCAACATGAGTATAACTTAAAATCTATCAATATTTTTGGGATGTTACTAAAAGTGTCTTTCTAATATAATCCTTCGACATATATGACTTTACCATAGGAAAAAGAGATATCGAATGTGACAACAATACCTTTCTATTTACTTTTGAAGTTTGAGTGCAGAGTAAATTTTTAATGGGATATCTTTGCTTAACTTGAATTTTATTTGGTTCTAAAGCAGTAAGGTTTCTGCATCTCAAGTCCACCTTATGTAGCAGGCATTCTCTGCTTTGTTGTTATTTTCATAACCCAAATTTCAAAATAAAAGTCGTCAATTAAAAGAAAATCATTTTCTTTCTATAATACTTAAGTTACTTAAATTTTTTAAGCAACCTTCCGGGTGCGTTGTTTTAAACTCATATTTGGTAAACACAGATAAGGACTTGGTATTGCCTTAAACTTAAGGCGAAGGATGGAAAAACAACAGATTTAAAAGTGTTTAATACTATTTACAGAATTAAAGTGACAAAATGTTCTTTATATCCTCAGACTTATTGTAGTCATAAAGACTTACAAAATAATAATTTGTTACAAAAATTATATAACCCATAACTTATCAAATATAACCAATGTGAGTTTTGTTACCTGCAGGATTGCTATTCCTTTATAAGGTTGCGTGAAATCTCTCAGACATGTGTAAATATTTTTTTTTAAACGGGGATATACTTTCTCAGAATTTAAAACATTTTTTTAGAGTACTTAGGCTTTATTGTTCTAAGGATATAAAATTCCTGTTAACTTGTTATTACAGTATTCAGAAGTTCGGTCTACCTCCTAAAAATCCTTTATTTTAATGTCAAAATGTAAAATTGTTTTAAGTTATAAATGGGAAAGTGAAGCTTCGAGGAATTCGAACTAAAAACTGATTATTAGAATTAAATAATAAATAGTAATTTGTAATATAGATTATGTTATAAGTAACCGTACTTTATACTTTTAACGTTCATTTTAAAAAAAATCTGTAACGAACATACAAAGAAAATTTGTAACCGGCAGATAATATAAAATGGTATATTTATGAAAATAATAAAAATTTTCTCGTTTGAAAATAAATCCAAACTTTACTTTTATAATTTTAATTATCACTTTAAAGGTTGTTATTCGAGATAGTATTTAATATTTGCGACAATTACCATTATTAAAAAAAAATTACCTTTTGCAGGAAATCAAATCTTTTTGCTAACCAAGCTTTATAGGAAGCTACACTGTTGCTTTTTTATATACCGTGCTAGCTCTATTATAGTTTATGGGCGAATAATAAGTCACAACTTTGGAGATACAGATAGATAAATCACCTTTACTCTTCTTTATTAAAATTCGTTTAATACGATTGATTATTACTTACAGCACTAATAGTTGCACAAAAGTTTTATTGGGGTTTTCTCCCAAAATTGCGGTATAGAATAAGAGAAAAAAATTCTTTAGCAACGTTTAAAAATTATATATAACATAAGTAGAAAGATATTTATAGTAGCAGGTAGATGTATAGCCTAATTGATATTTGTAATTGAAAAAAAATTGCTTTAAAATGGAATACTTTTTTTAAAAACTACTAAAAAAAATTAATAAAATACTTTTATTCTTGAAAATTATGACTAAAAATTAAAGGCGGTTTTTAATGGTTTTTTTCAGCTCAAAGTTTTCTTAACTAGGCGCCCCTATAAATAATTATTAAATAAAGGAGATAAAGCAATAATTAGCCATAATTAAAAAAAAAGAACATAAGTGAAGTAAGAAAAACAATCATATATAAAAGTACACTAATATATTTTTTATGGGGATGTGAACTAACTTGACGAAGTAACCAAGAAAACCCAAAACGCAAAAACCGATCAAAGTGGCGTAAGACACCCCTAGAAATTCTTTAGTATCGATAAAATAAATAAAGTTAAATAATTACAACTGTAAACAGGATTCAAATATTTTATAAAAAGAATTTGATATATTTAAAAGGTAAATCCTTTTCAAACTGCTTTCACAATAACTTTATTCTAAATAATATTGAAAGTTAAGCTAAATAGCCTACTAATTCAAGTTTAATTTAAAAATATTACTTAATAGCTTTAGTGTATATTACCAACTTCTCAATTTGTTTATTTAAACCTTTTACGAAATTTTTTACAATATTATATTAAATAAAGTTATTAAAGACTTCGCAATAAAGCGAAAACTACCGTTACGATCAGGTTTATAACATCTGCGTAATAAATCTTTACTATCTTTATAAAAACAAGTTAGAGGATGAAAAAATTCTTGGACAATCGAGTCCATCACTCAACAAATAACAAAAAATAAAAAACAAGTCAAACTCCGAAGACCCCAAGCTTAGAGATTTAAGGCAAGTGCTTGGTGTGACGTGGGAGCGTGGCAAAAGTAAATAAAAACTCATTTATTAAAAGTATTTAGTACTAGCAAACAACTCTACCTTTTGAATTTCTTATATTTCAGTTCATGTTTTCTTTAATGTAGATAACTACTTTTTATAAGTATTTATATGAATTTAAATAATTTTTAGAGTTTGGTGGAGCTCTCGAACTAGTACAGTTGGATACAATTAATTTGCCCAACGCACCAAAAAGTGGGCATCCATATTATAACAGCAGCGAATTATCGAATCTCAAGCAAGTAAAAGTGAAGGAAACAAGAAAATTTCGCTACACAACTAAAAGACTTGCTGTTGGTTAATTTTTTCAGTGTTATTAGCACAGTTATAAAAGTCTTAAAAAAAAAATTTTTTATTTTTCTCTGTGCTTGTATTTTTTTAAATTAGCATTACCCAGTGTTTCAAATCTATTTATTAATCTGCCATCTTTAATATTTTATGCAAACTGTAAATTTATAAAGGATAGTTTGAGAACTGTGCTTAACTTACCTTTTAATACTAACAGAATTTTTAAAATGTGGCGTGCTCTGTTTCATCGTAACTTAGTTTTGCTAGATAACTAATCTGTTGTTAGAGCTAAAGCAAAATTGTGAGTTTTGAGTAATGTTTTGGTTTATTTTCTCTTTATTAATAAATAACGTTTAAAAAAAATTTAAAATATTGGACTGGCAATCTGAACTATTTTTCGAAATTGTTGTAGCTAGTATAATATTTGCTTATCGCCTTACTAAATCACAATAAATTACCACACAAGAGATTCTTACGTAATCTACACCCACTCGGGATAAGGAGTTACCTGTTCCAAAATGTTATAAAATATTAAACAAGGTGTGCTCAAGTAAGTACGACCATCCGCTCATCCATGGGGTATATACGAATATACAGGATTTCGTTCTACCCACTTTTAGCTCGACAAGAGGAGCGGTCTAATCTTCGTAGGCGATGTAGTCTTAGTGGCGGATACCCCTAAACAACATAATCGAACGGGCGTGCGCGCTGAGGTAAGGGTAGACCGTTTGTTTAAAGTTTTGAGTAAATTTAGCTATTAATTCAAATGCAAACTAAAGCTTAGGTATTTGCAGTTTAAATTCTTAAATTAGAGAAATTTGATTGCCTTTTAGATTTGTAAACACGAAGTGTACCATATTCACAAGAATTATATTTAAGACGGCCAAACAACCTTTTGAGTGCATAGGATAAACACCTTCATTCGCAATTATAATAAAAAAATTAAAAATCTTGTTTAATTAAAAATAATAAATAAATTTTTAATTCTTATAATTTAGTGCAAACCACTCAAAATTTTGAAAAGACACTGAAGCAAAAAAAAAAATTAGTCAATAAAAAAACAGGAAAGTCAAAGGGGCAGACGCCAGTCCACCATATCTTCTACTATGGGGTTGACTTAAAACTACTAAGCAGTTGACCCGGTCTAAAATTTTTGTTTTAGATCTTACGCCTATGTGATCTCCACTTTCGAACATTTTTACTTTCTTTAAGTAGGCGCTCATAATTTCTTTGTTAACTTTAAAATTAAGTTGGACGACATATGCTTTATGGTTTCAGATAGCAGAGATTATTATTCTTTAGGGAGGGCCTGGGAACGGCTTGAAGATTTTTGCCTAGGGCTGCTAAGTTAGCGTTACACAGTAGGACTAAAAAGGGATGTCGCACTACTTAAAAAGATATAGAAATAATAAAAATCTAGCTCTGGTACTGGTCGCAAAGTAACTTATTTTATGCATAATATGGAATACCATTGCCTTTTAACGTCAAAAAAAAGAATTAATATTATCGATTGAGGCAAGTAATATGATGTACATCCTTTGTTTAGACGGAGGCATGAACTTAACGTACGCTATTTTACCAGGAATTTATTTAAAGGCTCTTTGCAGTTGTCTTAAGGTATAGTAATAAAAGTTGGTTTCATAAATTCTGTTTACTTTTTTTTGGTGTTAAATAGTGGTATTTTAATTTATACAAATCTCTTAGATTATATTACCAGTGGTTTCAAGTTACCATTAAGGTTTAAATCAGTATCAATTTACTCGGAAGTTCTCTTTTAACTAATATCCATTGTTTTAATAGTGAAATTTTGGGTAATCATATACGTATACCGTACTTATTTTAACCTTAGTTTTGCGCTTTATGCCTTTTTTTTGACTTGGCCATACAGGTTGGTTTTCTCTTTCACTTTGTTCTTTTGACCTGTACTTACTTTTTAATCCTCTTATTATATCTGCTGTTTCGTCTGTAGATAGCTGATGTACCGTAAACGGCTTCAGTCTCTCAAGCTTACCTTCTCCTTATTAAAAATATTAATTTTGATCAGTTAATCTAATAGGCCCCCCAGATTTCTTTTTTGCAGGCTCCAAAATATTCCCTAAAGTTAAATAGAAGGCTGCTGCTACCAGGCTTTTACGAGCGCTTACTTTATATGTTCGTTTAAAAATAGTTTATAAGAAAACGTAAGAAAACAATTTGTTTTTTGGGCTAAAGTTACGTTCATGTTGTAGGTATTACGTTAGACAGCAACTTTTATATATTTTATTCTGTTTTTAAAAAACTGTGACGTTTTAAAAGTCTATAATGGTAATAACGCTAGTTGACTAACTAAAAAAGACATAGTATTACATCCTGGAACGCAAAGTGTGATCATTAAAGAGTTCTATGACTTTATAGCCTAACTGGAATATTAAGATATATAATTGACAGTATAATTCACAAAGTTATTTTACTGTTCAACATAAGTTCCCCTAAGATACTCGATTTAATTTTAAAGTATTTCATAACTATGGACATGTATAGTAATATATAACTATGGAGAACTTGTTGAAGGTCAAGGTTCTTTATTGTATAAGTTCTTACTATTAAACAACTTAGAAAAAACATGCAAATACTAAAGCCGTAAACTAGAAGAAAATAAATTTTAATAATCGGTGTAAACTACTAAGCAGAGACTATAATTGACAAAACTAACGGTCTTTAAAATAACACAATTTTAGAGCAAAGAATCACTTATGTTGGCCCATTTTTTTCATTTAAAGTTATTAGTATTTATGTTATTTTAGTTTTAAATGTGCTGATACACCTATATATTATAATATTTTAAACTTTACCTTTTTTTTCTAAAGGTCCGAAGGTGCCCCTTTAAAAAAATTTTATAAAAAATTCTCCACTTTTTACATGGCCATTACAAATAAATATTATTAATAGAGTTAAGTTGGGTTTTAATATATTAAAAATATTAATTTTTCTTTTTCTATAAATATTAGTTTATTAATAAAATTATATTATCATTGCTTTTATTATTATAAAACATACTATTACTAATAATTTATATTTATAATAAGTGATCACTATTTTGAGCTTTCTATTATCGGAAGCAAATAATATCTGCTTATTAAAGGACAGCCAATTGAAAAACGCTTAACATTTCTAATTAAAAAAAACTAAAAATTTCGGCCTTTAAAATATTGCCTTCTGTTTTTACTACGACAAAATCTCACTCCAAAAAACAGTTCCTTATTAAAGGACATTGTAATTTTTATGAAGTTCTGTTCATCTCCTATAGATGATTTTTTTAGGAAAATATATTGAAAATGGTTATAGTTAATTACAAGTATAAAACTTTTTGTTCAACGTACTAAAAAGAGAGCAAAAATAGTTTTGTTGTCGCAATTTACTGTTTTTTTAATCAATATAGTCTGATTTAAACTTAAGATGCTTAATCCTCGTTTCCAGAGCTGGTCTACAAAAAAAATTGATAGCTTTAAGATTAAGACAAAAAATTCCTATTTCATTTTTATATGTTAATTTTAGTTTAATATAATAATATTGTTATTCCTTACCGACTTGTACGAAATAAAATTTTAGAAAGACAAGCATAACCAGCTACCGTTTACATAAGTTTAGCGAGATGAACTTGAAAAATCCGAGGCCTTACTCAGGGGCCTTAAGAACGGCCACTGTCGGTATTTATCGCGTGATAATTATAGCTTTGCTGTTAAAAAGCCATAATTTATCATTGCAGTCATAATTATTAATGTAAAAAACTATACTTTACATAAAATAACCTATTAAAGTGACTGGGATTGAAGATAAAATTTTCCCATTAAACAGAGTTAAATAGCAGTTATTATTTCAATGTTATATTGTAAATCTTACTACCCGAAATACTATTTTGTTTTTCTTTTAAGCTTGAGATGCTCAAGTTGGATTAATACCTAATCTTTTGTTATTATAGATTTCTTCTAAGCCTTTATATTTTCATTGTGGGGTAATTCACTAAAACTAAATAGGTTCTATTATGATACAATTTTTTAAAAACTTAAATTATTTTAAATTAAATTATTTTTAACTTGTGGGTGTTGAAGAGGCACTTTTATAGCCTTTTTACCTCTTTGTTAAATGAGAAGCCAATAAATTTCATTGTATAAATTATAACTATTTAACCACGAAAAATACGTATTGTTACTCGTGTGGAATATTTAGAACACTGATAAGAGCCATGTGCAGTTAATTACTGGCCAAACAAAATTATGGTATGCATACTAAAGTTGCGAAACACGCACTTTCTTACTGCATTTTTGATTCTCCGAAAGCGTTCTATTCAAAGTTTTTTAACCTCTCGCTCTAGCAAAAATCCACCATTTTTGTGTTTATATCCATAATAAGGAATTAAAAAACAAGAGACACCAAACACAGTACATTTGTACCAATCACCTCGTGTAGAACTTCCAAAAGTTTCCAAATATTGCGATAACTCTATATTTCGTGTTTGGTAGCGAAAATCTCATCTTTTTGAGATTTCCTTATAAAAAGGCCAGAAAAAAAGTATTAGCTGCTCCCTAACGCTTTACCGACGGTTATCCGCTGGTTCTTTGCCCTTCCTGGCCTTAACTATTATCCCCTGAGCGTTCTCGCTGGTCGAGGTGTTGTGTTTAGTTTTCTAATTCTTGACTCTTCATCTTTTTTTGACAACTATAACTTTCTATCTATATATTAAAGTAAAGGATATCCTCCTTTAATAAGTTATACAAATCTTTTAGTATTTTTTTGGATATAAATTAACTTCTTCACAATGGCTTATATAAATTAGGAAAGGGCACTAATTACTATGAACACTCTTTCAGCTTTTATGGGGCTACTGCACGTAGCCGAAGTTTTAGAAAAACACGGAGGTGTAACTATTTGACTATTAGCTTTTCTTATAATTTTAAATTAGATCTTTAAATAAAGTTGTTAATATATTCTTTCCTACTAATAACAAAAAAATAATTTTTTTTTTTTCTTGATGCAATAGATAACTTTTTTCAAATGGTCAAAACTCTCTGCTATCCAGACTACGGAACTTTGCAGTTCGACCGTAATATTTATCTTCAATATAAAGTTGTTAAACCTATTCTAAGATCTATCCTAAAAGTTAGATCACATAGTTGTAGTAACTTTTTCAAATTGAATCTGACTATTATATAGATTTTTATAAAAGTTTGTACTGCGAGGAGAGAAAATTGGCAGGTTTAGATCTCAGTCGGAAATACAGCGAACAATCACAACACAGTTACTATGGTTAGTCCAAATTATTAACTTATATCTATAAAAAACGGCTCAATGTAAGCGCCTCAATATATTTTTATAGAGGAAAGCAAGCTCGTCGACTACTCCAAAATTGCCTATCAGATGAATTCAAAGGAGCCCGCTGGTTCCCCACGCCACCTTAGTGACGATCCTTATTTCTCCCCCGACCAATACACTTGCCCAGCTTTTGATAAAACCGCCAATCAGGAAGAAAAGCAACAATGCCAAGCAGATAGCAACTGTTGTTGTTATGCCACACACGACAGTCCGTTATTTATACCAGAAGAGAAGAGTTCCAGCTCAGGAAAGTACAGCGGCTTCGATAGTAGCGAAGGGAACGATTTTGAGGACATTGACGAGGTGAATAGTTTCTGCGGGGAGGCCGCGTACGACGCTTTAGTCGCGCAGCCAAGTGTCTACAAAGGGAGCAGAGTGCGTCCAACGGGGCAGGATGCAAAGACGCATCGTAGGAGAGGAAGGCAGGAGGACAGGTGGGTGGGCGGCCCTCCCACTTATACGAATTGCCAGTGCCCATACGAGGCGGGAGAAAGTTTTCTTGAGTCGCCTACGGAGAATTGCGGATGCGATACGAGCGGTGAATGCCACTTGGAAACTTCAGGGCGAAGGAAGGTCGCCGCTGCACAGTTTGCGGATTTTTAATTTTTAATTTTTAATTTTTTTATTAGAGGATGCACAAAAGCAAAGCTTCACATAACATTGTAGAGAAGAACAGACGAGCCCATTTGAAGTCATGCTTTGAAGTTCTCAAGCACAATATTCCCAGCTTGAATGGTCATAAAGGTGACGCCTGCGGTTTGTGTCTTACTTTTTTTCGTAATACGATTATTATTAATAGCATCGACCGTCAACATCCTGCAGGAAGCGTACACATATATCAAGCAGTTGGAGGAAACCACAGAAAATAGAAACGGCCGGATAATGGCCTTAAAAGAGCAACAAACAACCCTCATGGCTCGACTGAAGTCCCATTATGAAGCTGGTAAAGCAAATAATGCTTCATAATATTGCAAAGTAGCTTAACTGTATAAAAAAAAACCTCAAGGCGGAAAAGAATTGGAGATTGTCACTAAAAAAGATATATTCTTTTCCAGAAGAAGCGAAGCAGAAAAGGACCAGCCCAAACATACAGATTATAAGCAACAATTACGGGCTGAACACAGCTTTAAAGCTGAAAAAGGACCAATCAACGAGACTAGACAAACACCCGAAAGGGCCGCCCACGCAGAAAAACCGATCCACGAGTCGGAAAATCTTTTAGGAAGTGCTAAACGGCTAAAGAATACTCCGAAGAGAAGTAACTTAAAGATAAATGAGAAATGCATGAAGACTGAAGGCAGTAATGACGTGTTAAGCGTACTTGAAAGCTCTAAAGGTGGCCTTTCATATTTTTTAAAACTTGTTAAGTGCAGTTACAAGTACACAATTCATTTTTTTTCATTTTTTTAAACCAGTGACTTTTAAACTTTCGAGACCATTATTTTGTTTATAACTTTTTTTTTATATAAAAACTGCTTAAATCCAAGCTTCCTATGCTTAAATAGTTAAGTAGGTACAGAAATCACAAAATAAGTAGTTTCTAAAATCTCTTAAATATTTTTAAGAATAGTAATAAAAATATAAATTCATATATCAAAACATAATAGTAAGAAAATAGCAAGGAATGGAAATAGAGAAAAAATAAAAATAACAGAAGTTTAGATTTTAATTAATATATATATGTTAAAGCTGACTACCTCTTTGTAGGTGTTGACGAAGTGCAGAGCATTCTTAACGGCATCAGGAAAAACCCACCGAAAATAATATTTCCCAAACTACAAGTAGTGACTTAAAAGTTAACATACAAAATAGTCACAAATTTTAAATATTTCCTGTATATATTATTAATTTCCAAGAAAGATTTAACTTAATTCAAATAATACACACAAACTTTTAGTTTTAATTTAAGTATAGAAGACCAGTTGTTTAATAAAAATATCGGGGTCAAAAACCTCAGTTTTTTAATTAACTTGCATGTTACATTAGTTCTCTATTTTTGAAAGATTTCAAGTTTAGTTTAAACTATCATAAACGGCCTATTGAAGTAGTAAATATATTCTTAAAAATATAGGTAGGTATATGTTATTTATTAAAAAGTTGTACAAGAAATTTTAGCTCGCAAAATTTTTTGCATAAATAGTTAATTATTCAGGTTTATATATAAATAATACTTGCACGAGAAAAACTAAGGTAAAAGAAAAATTATTTATTATGCATTGTTGGTTTTTTATTTTTTGTATTTATTAAGACCGAAAATAAAGAGTAAAATGTATAAGACCTTACTCTTATATCTCATAAGTTGTTCGTCTTAACAAGTATTAGGAAAAATACAGAATAAAGTTCTAGCTTTAAACTTTGATGTAAATCTGCAGTAAGATTTTTTCAAAAGGGGTTCTAGTTTAAAGAGTCTAGTATTAGTTAAAATATCCTTTTCATTTTTACTTTAAACTTGCTAGTCTGCTATATTTATATGTCCGTCTAAAGCCTCGGAAAATGAATGACTTTTTCGAAAAACTGAAAGGCAGCGGGCCGGGCGTGCGGAGAAGGCCACGTCCACCATTCTTTTAATTTTATTAATAGCGCTGGCTTGCTACATGCGCTATTTACAAATATGAATTTTCTCTACTAAGAGAGTAGAGGTTATAATTTCTTTTACGAGTCCTTGCGTCATTATTCGAACGGATGCGCATTATTATCACCACCAAATAGTATACATATCAAGAGAAAGTGGTAGAAATATAATATGAACGATGAGAATACGTATAACAATAACAAAGCTATATTTCAGACCATTATAAATTAATTATATTTTAATCTTAGCCGTATTCCCTTCAAACAGGCAAATTCTTGGCGAACCAACGAAAGTGACTTGCAAGACCTTTGTTATTTTAAATGTTAGGGTGACTACTGGCAATTTAAGCCAGTCTCGGATATTTTATAATGGTACTCCTACGTTGACTTGAGATTGCATTCTCATGCTTATTTAATTGTTGCACACAAAGTTAGGAGCTTCACCAATCTCTAAAATCGAGTTTGTAATGTTTAAAATCGTTGCATATACTTGTTAGAGGAACGGGCCCAGGAAAAAGAGGCGTAGACCATTAATCGTGGGTATAGCTAATTTATATAAGCAAAGCTTTTTTAAGTTTATCTAACTTTCTTGCATATTAAAGGGTATAAAATGGCAAGGACTTTTCTGGCTTTTCTGCCAGGTAACCCTCTCAGCTAATTTATTTTTAAAAATTGCTATATTCTAAACTGGCTGTAAGTTTTTTAAAAGTACCGCTGGTGTAATTAAAGACACCTTGCTAACGTTTGTAGCAATTTTTGTAGCCCGTTGAAATGACACGTATTTTTTTAAGTGTAGCGTCACCAATGCTTCTATGACTTCTGATATAAATCTCAAGCACGGACTTCAAAAAGTTTAGTTTTGTAAGAATTTGTTATTTAAAAATTAAACATCGCTAACTAAGCTCAGGTCTCAAAAACTATTTTATTTAGGCTATATACAAGGTGCTTCTACGCGACGCCTCTAAAGATTAAATTCCTTGTGGTAGACCCAAGCTTTGTTTCCTGCTGATGTTCATTTGTAGGTCATTTTCAATTTAACCTGACGATAATATTTACGAGAGATGGTTTACTATCACTTTAAAAGCGCTTTTTTCAGTAAAAAAGAACTATTTTTATCTTGAAACTTTCGAAGTAATAGGGTCTCAATACTGCTATAGCAGTTTTATTAATGTAGTTTACATGAATCGCTCAGCAGTGATACAGAAGGAGAATTTATTAACAACTTTTAGTGATATACATAATAGTAGCCTATAATATTAGCTGGTAATCTCAAAGCGATGAGATTTTATTTAGCTTGCTACACAAATTTACTAACGCAATTTTTTTAAGGCAAGTGATAGTAAAAGTTCAAATAAGGAGGAACAATAGTTCTTTTATAATCCTTCCGACTATTGTATTCCTACGATAGTCTCCAAAACACGACTGACATGTTCAGTTTTAAGAAAGACATCCCTTAGTCTTTCTCATACTTACTGAAAGAAAAAAAAACCGTTAAGCCGTTTTCGATGAGCAAATAACATTAACATTTACAAAGTCAAGGAGAGCGAGATCTAATAAATAATCTGTATAAAGGCGTTGTCACGCACGAATAATTAAAAAAACCAGTTAGGTCAATAATTCAAAAAATAGGAATGAACTCTGATATAACTTTAGCCTGTCTGCGGTATAGTTTTAATTTTTTTTTGTTAGCATATCAAAAAAATCTAAAACGGTAGAAAGTATGTCCGCAAGCGTTATTACTACAGAACGTATTGCTTGCCACAACTTGCATGAACAAGAACTTCAAAAATTCTTACAGTTTGTCCTTTTTATTAAAAAAGCGACAAAACAGAAAGTTTGTGAAAAAAAACTTTTCACAAACAAGCACAGTAGAATAAGAAAAACTATGATAGTTATCACATTGAGAATTCACTAACCTTGAAGCACCTTACAGCTACATTGATAATAACTTTCTTATAAAGAATTGGTTAACAAAAATAGTCTATATAATTACATTTTATTACTTCCTGATTTATTAAGCAGTTTTTTAATAAAAAAGATGCGAAAAGTTAAGTATAACTCCCACGAAAAAAATAAAAAAGCTATGTCTAAGAAATGCAAACCGAATATTACCTCCAAACAATTTACTATTTTAAGTCCATGGATTAAATTCATAACATACTCTTTAGAAAAAAGTTGGGGGTGAAATAGTTAAATATAAAATAATCTTTTTATTTTAATTCTAATTAAAAATAAATGAACAAAGGCCGTTCGAGGAGCAAAATACTAAACAACTTAACATAGGTAGTAGCATGCGCAAACAAAAAAAAAACACGTACTAATTCTATAGCACGACAGAAAAGATAACGCTTAAGATTTTAATAATATTTGCGGTAGTAAACCAAAAAACATGTTAATTAAATTAAGTAATTCAAACTAACTGGTTAAGAAGAATGGCGGCGCAAAAAACAAGACCGGATAATTACAATAATGCAAATAATAAAAGCAACGACTTTACTGTCATGCTAAAACAGTAATATTTTTTAAAATTTAGAGGGCTATACGGAAAACATTAACTTTATGTATATTAAAGTTAGTTTTAACATTAAAATATACTAAATGCCTAATTGGGCTAAGCTATACAAACCTTTCGGTACTTGAAGCAATATGAAAATTTTATTAAAAGTTTGTATATTTTATTATTGTAACTAGAGAATAAAAAAAATTAGTAAAAAGGGCACTTAAATTTTAGTACAGATGTAACCTTCAAAAATTAAAAGGGCCGCTTTTAATAATTTAGAGTTAAAAAAAAGTATATTATATAGAAAGAACAACTTTTTTACAGCAAGAAATCTAATAAAAAATATTTATTAGGCATACAATGAATCCATTTCAAACTCAGTTTGTTTGTTAAATTATTTAAGTGAAATGCTAACTATACTAGTAATACTTAGGACTAATCAAGAATTTCTTATCCGTTTCACTTCAAAAAAATATTTGTTACTTTACCTCATTTAAATCGCATCACATAAAGTTTGTATACGGTCACCACAAGTTAATTATGCCCAGCTACTTGTTTATTTCTGTCAACCAGAAGGCCTATAAATAGTTTGTAGTTCTCTTATTTAACAAAAATTAAAAAGAAGGTCGCTGTCCCAATTCACAAAATATACTTATATCCATTTTACTTATACAGCCTTATTAAGTCAAGCTAGTCATACGTAAAATCAGTCATTGAGTCGTTTTTCTTTTTCCCGAACTTTCAAAGAAAAAAGTCACGTGGTACAGTAGTAATTTAGTTGATAACTTTCAACTAGTTTCCGTGTCTTTTTTTTTATCACTCGTGCCATGAGTGTACGAACTTTTTCTTTCTACTCTTTTTAATAATAGTGTTAACATAGCCACGATAATACATATGTACTAGACAATAAAGTTAGACAATAAAGTTATATTAATTTTATTTGTTTTTTTTTCGGTTAAGTATTTCATATTTTTTAGGTTGAAGAGCTTAAAGCTATAGGGAATTCTGCCTTTTCTGCTAAGGATTACGCCAAAGCCGTTGATTATTTTTCCAAGGCTATTGAACTTGCCCCGGACAATCATATTTTATATAGCAATCGATCGGCTTGTTACGCTTCTTTAGGTAGTTATGATCTTGCTTTGACAGATGCCAATAAAACAATTGAATTAAAGAAGGATTGGTCAAAGGTAAATATAGCAATACCTTTTTTTAAGGGTATTCAATAATTTAATATCATCACTAAAGGGATATTCTAGAAAAGGTGCTGCTTTAGCTTATCTTAATAAATACGATGAAGCTGTTGAAGCCTACAACGAAGGTATATATAATATTAGTTGTTTACCATTTTTTTAAATTGTTATTATTATCTTTTAAAAAACTTTAATTATACATTTAAAAGGACTTAAGTATGACCCTCAAAGCGAGCTATTAAAAAAAGGCCTTGAAGATGTTCGACGTCAGATAAGTAATACTTTATATTAATATTTAGGCTTAAAAAAAACTTTACAATTGATAGCTTTTTTTTATTGTATGATATTATGTGTATATTTTTTTCTTTATAATTTAAATTTATGGTACTATTTTTTGAATTCTAGTTAATTAGAATTATTGCTGAAATTAGTATTTTTTTTTATAAAGTTAAACAGTTTGTTTTATATAATAATTAAGTTTTTTTTTGTAGGTGATTCTAATCCTTTTACTCAACTTGGCAATCTTCTTAATAAACCTGAAGTCTGGTTAAAAATTTCCACTGCGCCTTCTCTAGCAAAGTACGACACTTCTTTTTATTATAATTAACCTTTATACCGATTTAAAGTTTTTTTTATAAACAAATGCTTTATAATAATTTTTTGGGACTGCAGATTTTCTTAATTAAATAAAAGTTGCGTTTACTATTTTTACTTAATTTGTTAACTTTAATTTTTAGTTTAATAATTTGTAATTTATTGTATTTATAAATAAAACAACTTAGTGTTGTATAGATTTTTTAATTTTTTCATACTTTCTTTTTTATTACTTGTACAATTTTTTGTACTTTTCATGATGCTTAGCTTTTGACTCATATATAATATTATTACTGAATTTATAAATTTTAATAAATTAAAACCCTTCGAAATTTTTAAGATAATTTAATTTGTTTAATTTTAGATACAAAAGTGATCCGAGCTTTATTAATAAAGTTCGTATGATTCAGTCGGATCCCAAGCTTTTGAGTATTTTAGAAATTCTGTTTTATTTACTTGTTATATATTTTTTATTTTTGTGAACTATTTTAGGTTCATATCTTTCTGATCCCGGAATTATGGCTCTTTTGTCGGAATTAATGGTTTATAATGATTATATATAATAGTTTTATTAATTTAGAATTTGGTTAATGGTGTTTATTTTAAACTTTATTAAAAGTAACTTTATAATATATTTTTTATATTATTAATTTTATCTAGTTTGTAAATTTTATATTTTTCTATTTAAATATTTTTAGTATTAAAATTTTTAAACTTAATTTTTATAAATTATTTTTTATTTAAGTTCTTTACAATAAACTTACTAACTTTTTAGTTATTTATTTTCGAAACTTTAACCAATATAATTTTAATTAATCCAATTTTTTAAGATTTCTTTTAAGGCATTAAATAGATTTTTATGACTAGTATTTAGCAATTTTTTAAAGTAAATTTTATTTTTAAGTTTTTAAATTAGTAACTTTTTAGTATTTTTTTATGAAGTTTTATTTTTTAAGTTTAATTATATTTATTTATTTAAATTTTATTGTAAAGTTTTTTATATTAAATATTATTTATAAGTAGTAACTTTGATTTTTTTTTCCACAAGTTACAAATTTTTATAAAATGAGTATTTTTTTTAAAAAAGTTTTTGTAAAGAATTAATAATTTTAGTATTTTATTAAAAATTGCTTTTTTTTAAATTTTATTTTTACTTCATAAATAATTTTACTCCTTATTTATAATATAACTTGTTTATTTTTCTTTTCTATTTTTTAAAAATTACAAAAGTCAATTTTAAATAGTTTTTATATGATTTGTATAATTTATTTTAGTGAATTTAAAAAAAATTATTTTCTTTCACTTTTATTAAGGAACTTACTTTTATTTTACCTTAAGAATTTTTAAATATTCATATCGAATTGTTTTTTGAGAAAAAGTTAATTTTCAAATCTTTTTTGGAAAAAAAAATTATATATATATATATAAATATATAAATTAGTACGTTTTTTGAAATAATAAATTATTAATTATCTTTTCAAAAGATTAGTTGCTTTTATAATTATTTATTAAACTAAATTAAATTTATTTTCAAAGACAGTTATTATTATTATAATAACTTTGTGGGTTTTGCTTTTTTTTTTAATTTTTTTTTTAATAGTATAATTATTGTTAGTAATTTCTCGATGTTTTTTTGCTATTTATATATATAATGAATATTAATAAATTAATTTTTTTATCATTATTTTTATTGCAGGGCTTCCATATGCCCACCGCTGAGGACGAAAAAGAAAATTATGAAGTATGTATATTTATATTTAAAAATATTAAGAAAAAATATTTTTTTTAATTATTATTTAATTATGAATAGTGCGAAATATATATATTATATTTGCTTTATATATAAAAGAAGGAAAGCAATAAAGACAATGAAAAAAAGGAGCCTGAAAAGTCTGAACCTGAAATTGTTGAGGATGAAAGTGAAGAAACACGTGCTAGAAAAAATGCTCTTGAAGAAAAAGTAGGATAGCTTTATTAAAGAAATAAATTGATTAATATTTTATATTAATTAAAAAAAATGTTTACTTGTAAATTATTATAATAAATTTTATTTATTTTTGTATGATTATTATCTTTTAAAAAAACGTATTGTATGCTATTTTTTAAAGGAAAAGGGTAATAAAGCCTATAAAAAGCGAGACTTTGAGGCGGCTATTTCTCACTACCAGAAAGCTACTGAACTGGACCCCAATAATTGCATCTATTATTCCAACTTGGCAGGTTTTATATTTACTTTGGTGGTTCTTTTTTGTTTTATTGTTTATGACTTGAGCGGCTCAGTTTTAAAGAATATTTTTCGTGGTCCATCATTTTTTTAATGGAAGTTTTTTTAAGGGTTTTAGAGTTTGCGTTGTTTTTGTTATACTTTTTTAAAAAGTTTTTAATTTTTTTGCATTTAATTATTTTAAAAAGAATTAAAAAAATATTTATTATCTTTTTTGCGGACCTGTAAAAGTTGGTTGCAAATAAAAATTTGAACAGTTCGACTGTTGTATATTTGATTGGTTAAGAAAAAGCAAAGTTGTAGTTACGTACGCAACGGCTACCCATTGTTTCCTTATTGGTCGACTTTTAACTCAATTGGTTCGTTTTCTTAAGTTTCAGGGCCCCTTCCGTGTTCAACTGGACACTTTCCTCTTATATCAGAATTTTTTTAGTAGAATTATAGAATTCCTTTTTAAAAAAATAATATTCATTTTAACTCTATTTTTTTTTTTAAAATCTTTATTACTTGTCGCTCCAACCAAAGAAACGATGCACTATATATTATTCACTATTTTTACATGCACTTAACTTTTTTATTATTAGCTGTTTACTTTGAGATGAAAGAATACGCAAAATGCAGGGAAATTTGCGAAAAGGCTATTGAAGTTGGACAGGACAATTACGCCGACTTTTCAGTGATTGCAAAGTTTTTTTTATTATAACTATTTTTTTTAGGAATAATACTATATATTCTAAGTATTATTTAAAATCTTTGTAGCGTGTGAACTTTTTTTTGAGTTTTTTAAGCCTTTTTCTCGAAAGGAAATATGCAAACTATTTTTATTACGCTTTTTATCTACTCAATAATTATCGCATTGGCTTTTTTTATTGGCCTTTTTTTTATTTGTTGAACACTTTCAGTATTTTTTTTGTAGTCCATTAACGCAATTTGCTAATACCAGATTGTATTTGCGAATGGGAAACGCATATCTTAAAGAAGACAACTTAGAAGAAGCCGTTAGAATGTTCAACAAATCGCTTCTCGAAAACCGCACTAAGGAGGCACTTACGAAACTCAGAGAGGCTCATTCTATTTTTATTTTTTATTTTACTTCATAATAATTTTTTAATTACTATATTTAGACAGAAAATTTGTTGAAGGAGCGAAAGGAAAAAGAGTATATCGACCCAAATATTTCATTGGAGGAGAAAGCCAAAGGAAACGAATTTTATGCCAATGGCAAACATCCGGAAGCTGTCAAATGCTACACTGAAGCCATTCGCAGGAATCCCAAGGACCACGTGCTGTACTCTAATAGGGCGGCCGCTTTAATGGCTCTTGGTTATTTCTGTGACCAAGGATATCCATCTATTTATTATGATTAACACTACTATTTTTTCCGGCCAGGCGAGTTTCCCTCTGCGTTAAGGGATTGTGCAAAATGTCTTGAGCTGAAGCCCGACTTTGTGAAGGCATTGATTCGTCAGGGCCGCTGTTATTTTACCATGAAGGTACGGTTGCTTTAATCAACCACGCAGTCACCAATATATTAACGGAGCCTTCTGATTGGTCTAGGAGTACACGCTCTCCTTTGAGGCATACGAAAAGGCGCTGAAAGTGGATAAGAACAATGAGGACGCCATGTGAGTTTGCTTTATCCAGCAACTTTTTCCTTATTTATCAGTATCCCTTTAGTTACGGCTGCCAACGGGCTCTCATGATGATGCAAGCGCAGCAACAGCAACAGCAGCAGCAGGCCGAAGGCAAATAGCAGCCTGACTTTTTGTACTTCGAGTTTATTTTATTAAATATAAACCATTTATTGGATCATTTCTTTATTACTATTGTCATTATTGGTTGTTATATAATGGCTGCCTTCTTTTTTATTATTAGTCTGTAATCGTCGTAATTTGGTAGCTTTTAGCAGTAAAAAGACGACGAAGTTAGGATCCATTAGTCGGAGGGCCAATATGTAAAGGAGTTCCAAGTCATAATAAAAAAAAGGGATCCATTTAAGCCACTAACAGGAGAGAAAGTAGTATTTTATTTAATAAAAATTTTTAACAAACATTTTTAACAGTTTGTCTTAAAAATTTAACAATTTTACTTTCACTATTAAACGTGTATAAAATTATAATTATTAAAGCTGTATTCAGAAATTAACACGTGTAATTAAGTATTTTTACCAATTGAAAGTACGTGTGCGCTCCCTTAAAAAAAGAGTAAGCCAGCCAATATTTTGTCCAATACTCAATTAGTTTAGTGGCGCGAGCTTTCGTTAAAGTCCTGATTTATAAAAAAGTAGTGGAAATATAATTATCGTTAATAAGATAATAATACTTGTGCTGTTGTAAAACTATAAGCGTTCGGTACAGCGGATATATGTAGCCGAAGAGTAAGCAGCCCCACATGGTGACATACCTCGAGAAAATAATAAAAACTTTGATAGGACGCTTTCTAATAAGTAAAGTTCATCAAAAAAAATTATCAAGCAAAAGAAGATTATTTCTCTACTACTAGATTGCAAATATTATAGAGTATAATAAACCCAACAAAAGTTACAACTACTTTACTTTGTAAAGGGCATGACACGAAAAAAAAATTATTATTATAAGTACTTAAACTTTACAATAAACAGAAAAAGAGTCTCATTAACAAAAAATACTACTAAAATTTATACTCGTGAATGGTAAGTTTATGTACGCCTACTTCGCTAAGAAGAGATTCAATAGTTGGCAGTAAAAAAAGATGAAAAGATTCATTCTGACTTGATTATATAATCCGCGGAATTTAAGTTAAAAGCGGCCAAAAACTTAATTGGTACTACAGTAAACCAACGACGATGGATGGTTCCCCAACTAAAATATATATTTAAGCTAATTGGCCTACGAATTATTTTAAGGAATATTCTTGGCTCAATTTCTGGCTATTAATATCGAACAAATTCATAAATTATTAATACCAAACATATATTATGTAAAACTATACTTTTATTTTAGTTAAATTTATTAAACAGGAGTAAAATATTCAATAACTTACTGAACGTGCACAACTTTCTTTGTATTTATTTATGGCTCATACCAATTAGTGAAAAGGAATAAAGTAGCCAATAAAGTTAAAGGGCTGGAAGTTTGCAGGTATTCGGCGACCCACTGAAACTTTCCAGGCAGTAAAAAAGCTAATTTTCATAATATTCATAATAATAATAATAAATATAATAAATATAATAATCAAAAGTAAACAAGTGCCGACCTCCCAGTTTACATAAATGTTGGGAATAGCAATCCTTTTCTTCATTTTTTATGCGCAATATAGACCAATTAATCCTGATAAAATATGAAAAAATTTCTTAATATAAATTGGAAAGAAAAAATTTAATAAAATAATACAGAAAATAATTATAACTAGTCTAATAAATACTACTTTTAATGAAATAGTAATTCCTTAATTTATAAATTCATTTGAAAAAAAATAAAGCAACAAAGAACTTTTTATAAACCACAATAAAAAGTTTACAGCCAACTTTTTATATATATAAAAATATGATTAAAGAAAAAAATTTACGTAAAAATAAAAAAAAATGTTGACAAGTTTCACTAGATTATTAATAGAAATATACAATATACATTTTTTTAATACTAACACTATTAGTAATAATAGAAATATATATATATTGTATAAGTATTAGTATCAATAATATATATTTTACATAACATAACTATTAATAATACATAAATATACTTTTCTATAATTATTAATAATTATATAACTGTATATTTTATTAAACTCTAAGTATGATTAATAATATATATATATCAGACTATTGCAATTTATAATAATATACTTATACTTTTTCTAAATTATTAATTATAATAAAAACTTTTATAGAGCTTTGAATAATGTGTATTTATTATACTAAAAGTATTAATAATAATTGTAATAAAAAAATATATTTGAATAAGAGTAAAAAGTAAACAATAATTACTAAAATAACACAAACATATTTTACAAAGTAAAAGTTAAAGTAAATGACAACAATAATATAACCAACAAACTAATAGTATATATATATTAATACTAAAACTATAAATAAGATAAATATTTGTATTTCTAAAGTAAAACTAAGTAATAATAATAATAAAAATAATATAACCAACGAACAAAAGAAGCAATGCCTTTCTGCTAATGAAGAAAACGTTTTATACAAAAGAGATGCGCCTCGAGTTTTGGGAAACCACAACCACAACATTATGGCTGTCCTTTAAAAAAATTTATTTTAAGAAAAAAATAACTAAAAACTTTTATTTTATTTTTTTGAAGAAATAAAAATTTAAATTTAAAGTTTTCGAAAAAAATTCTGAATTTCAAAGAAAATTAAATCTATAGGGCGACACGAAAAGTGCACCGATTTCATTTTGGTTTGTTGGCTTCATATAAACTTTTATTTTACTTACTTTTCTACGTTATTGGCCACTTCATCCTGAATTAACCAAATCACTCGCCATAAAGAAATTAAAAAATAATAAACTAAATTTGCTATAACAAATTAATTACACAAGCGCCTTAAATATTTCGAAAATAAAAAAGTAAAGAGAAAATAAAATATTATAATAATAAAATATTTTAAGAGTAATTTTTTAAGATTAAATAATTAAATCTGAAATAAGTAAGGAAAACTTTTATAAATTTATTATAAAAAATTTTATATAGATCATAGAAAATTATAAAAAGCCGAAATAATATAAAATAGAGAGAAAATAAAATATTACAATTTAATAATTTTAATTAAATTTTATTTATAGAAATCTCAATGAAAAAATGTAAACGATTGTTATATAAGCTTGCTAAATAAATTTATATAGATGCACACAAAATAAAAAATATTAAAGAAAATATAATACTATACTACAATAATTTCATAACTAATTGGTTAATGCAAATTAAAAACCTAAAATGGAGAATACTTGCAAGAAATTTCAGGGCTAAAGCGGGTAGAACAGGAAGAAATAAAAAAAATATAGCAGAGTCGGTGATGAGCCAGTATTTAATCCAAAACAAATTGTTCTAATTAAAAAAAAATTAAATTCGTAATAGCAACTATAATAATAAAACTTATAAATGTATATAAAAGCATTTATATATATATAAAACATAAAAAAAATAATAAAATTCTTAAAATTTAATAATTAAAATTAAAAAAAAATTGCAATAAAGCAATAGTCGGACACGTGGGCAAAATTAAAATTAAAATTAAACAAACTAAACTTTTTCACAGGAAAGAGCGAGAGACTTCAAGGTAAGATATGAAGGAAGAAGATATGTTATAGCGAAAAAAGCATAATCCTGAACTAAAATAAACTGCTAATTTTTTAATAAAAATTAAAATTAGAGACAAAAAAATTGTCATAAAAATGTCATTAAATAAAAAATTTATAACTTTTATATAATAATATATAATAAACCTTCTGAAAGTAGTAATAACTAGAAAAGCAGAAGACAACGAAGGCAACTATAAAGTATATTAAACTACTTTTACTTTAATTTTATATAAAAAAGAATGCAAATAGTACGATGACAGGCGATTGAAAATAAATTTGTGCTAAAACTTTTAAATTTCCCTATTAAGGCTGTACCAAGCTGCAGTGAAAAATAGAAACCCACAAGTTAAAATTTGTTGTCATCATAAGCAAAACCTTTTTCACGCGAAAAAAAACTTTTTTCTTTGTTTGAATAAATCTTCTTATGAAAAAGGGTACGAAAGGACCAGACGCAATAATTAAGGTTAACAAAATTATAATTAAAGGATGTACTCTCTCCCGAAGTTCTAAAAGTAAATGATAAAAAAAAAACTGATTTAAAATTTGTTCAACTCAAAAAGTTTATTACAAAGATTCGAAAAAGAAAAAAAAATTATTGATCCAGTTTTAGTAAAAGGATAGCAATAATTAACGAATAAACAATATTCGTTGCTTAAACACTTATATAACTTTATCTAAAGTATAATAAAATTGAATTCAGCATAGAATTTTTTTAACACCAAATTATAAAGTAAATTCTTAATAATATATGTGCTCGTAATGAAGTTTATTATCACTATTTATTTTAAATATATTAATTACAATAAATTATGGTAAACCTTTTAAGGATATCTATTATACTAATAGAAAATAATTTTACCGAACAGGAAAGCCTTTAAAAACGGGGAAAGAACTTTAAGCATATGTAAAAATTGCTCTAAAAGAGACCGAAAAAAGTTCTTTGAAGCCGGAACTACAATAGTGTACAAAAATTCTGCTAAACAAATTACTCCTAAAATACTCAATTTAAGATAATTTATGGTATGAATAACTCGAATGCTAATATAAATGGAAATGCCTTGAAAAAGAGGCTCAAAAACTTCAACCCACAGACTAACAGTAGTAATGGTCGAGTCAAAAGCCTTTTTGACTAACAAAAAGTGATTTTGCCAAGTCAGAGGTAAGTACCTCAAAACAAAGAATAAAGTAAAATTATAATAAAAAGGTTAAAAAAAAGAAAAACACCTATCAATAAGAAAAGTAACATAGTCAACTGTATAAATGAAAGCCCGAATACAATTTTGGTTGAGAAAATTAATAATATTTTCTAAAAAATCTACAAGTAGAGCGCCGTGTTTATTAGCGTTAAAAATGACTGTCTGAATTATCATGCTAACAGTATAGTCATAACTTAACTAGGTTAAAATAAAAATAAAATATAAACTTATTTTTATGCAAGTCAGTGCTCGTGGGCGTCCGTAGTTGCTTTTGGCAAAAAAGTTAACGCATTCATCGCCGAGAAGTCTAGTGTTTACTAATATAAACCCTCGCAGGATCAAACCACTTGTCGTCGCATTCCGAGCCAAGGGCGGTACCTTATAAACAAATCAGTTTGTAATATTGTCTTGTTTGTTGATAAATAATGAGATAAAGAAATTAGTTTATTTTGAAATAAATAAAAATGAGTAATTGGAGTTAAAAAAAATTTTTTAAAGAGTTATTATATGATTAAAATATTGAACTTAATATTGCTGCAAGCGTATTATTAACTTGATGTTAAAAAGAATTAGCTGTTTATGGTCTCTTTCTTTATCAAGAAGGGCTAAATAAGGCTAAGAGACATGTAAAACTTTGGTTGAAGTTTTACTTATTTTTTATCGTTAATATATAATACCGCAACGACGTATAGGAATAATAGTAAAATATAGGAGAAACAAAAGTGTTTAACTATTTCAGGTTTTATATAAATGCGCACTAACGCTAACAAAGATGCAAGCTTGCCGCCTGCAGTTACTACCTTGTTCTTTTTCTTACTCTTGCTTTCTTATTTTTAACTTTTTCTTGCTTCCATGTATATAAGTTTGTGCAAGATAAAAAATTTTTGATCCAGCTCTCACTATTATATATTTCTTACTAATATTAAATATTTTAGTTCTTTTTTTATAGCATTAAAAACTTTACTTTCTTAAATCTCCTTCTTTTACCACCTAATTCATGCCAATATACATTTTTTAAGGTTAGTCTTGTTTCTTTTTAGTTAAAAAGAAGAAAGGAGTGTATTTTTCAAGTAATGAGCAGAGTTAGCAATAGATAGTGAATGTCTATTTAACGAAGTAAGCTGTCCTAATCCTCCAAAGTAATTTTTACAACTGTTGCGTAGCACGGCAAAAAAAAAAACGCTATTTTACCTTGCTGCTATTGCTACTGCATTCGTACTTTAAAAAGTTATTTTAATAAACAGTATTGCTTAGAAATCAATGTACTAACTTACAAATTAAAAAAATTCTTTCAAGGCTTCATTATAAAGATCTGTATTTTACTTTTTATTAAAAATAACTTGCAGGAATTTATACAGATGACTAAAATTAAAAAACACGATGAAATACAATTACAAAGGTAATTATTAAGTAAATAAGATATTAGACGTCGATGCATATTTAGCTTTTTTGTTAAGTACAATATAAATACTAAAAAAAATTATTATAAATCCCCAAACCAGAATATAGCTTAACTTAGTTTGAGTAATTTTTTACTCTCTAAAAAAAAAATTTTTAATAAAACTGCATTAAACCTATTATTTCTAATATAAAATATAAAATATATATACGGATCACAACGAAAAACATTATTTTTTCGTTTCTGTTGCAATAACACAATAATTCCTGAAATAAAATGTTAGGGTTTTAAACCTTTAAGCCCTCTTAAAATTAATTGTAGACAAATGTATATATATAGATGTACAAATATAACTAAACCAAAAATCGGACGAAAAAAGTAACATGACCGCCAGTTTATTTTCGTGTACCTTCATTAGATCCTAACCACTAAGAAATGAAATAATCAATAATGATAAAATTACCTAAAATGGTAATTTGCGTTAAAACTTATGAACTGGGGTCTTTTCCTCAACAAATATTACCATATCCGAAAATTTACTTCAAGATGTGGTTGAACTACCTACTAGAATATGTGTAAAATTGTAAACCTTTCTTAAAGATATGTAAAGGGTTACGCCATTATGATATGTAAGACATCGATTAGAAATTTTTATATAATACTAACTATTAATAAAATTCCTTTTTTTACGAAAGAAATACCTTTTAGCCATGAGTTTATCAAAAATATTTTAAGGGCATTATTATTTTAAGTTTATAAGAACCTTAAGGGGAAGATTTAAAGAATTTAAACTACAAATTCCATAGGGTTCTAATGTTTCTATTTTATATTTAGGAGATCCGGATGTCAGCAATGCAGACTGGTCTTTATGGTCCTTAGATCTCTGTGACCAGTGTTACTTTTCCTGGTGGTAGTTTTCAGAAGTTTAAGGTAAATGTCAAGGCCAAATAAACTCTAGTAATTGAGAGCCCTTAAGACAGGCGTGGTAATCCTTCAAGAAATACAGTAGGGAGAATTCTTACCTAGCACCCTTTAAAGCTGCAATAATCTTTATTCCGACTAACTAAAGTTACAATAATATTTGGATGATACCGCCATATATTGTATTGCAAAATACTGGCTTTGACTGCAACTGCATGCAGACCACTTTAACTTACAACTAACCCTTTTACTGAAACGCGGTACATTAGAGATATATAATGGTTAAAATTGATGCCCTCTCACTGTCACATTCTCTCAGTCCCTGGAACAAACAAGCCAAAGACTTTAACATCATTATAAAATATATTCGATCGAAGTTCATACCACTTATGCCGCCTTTACCCACTTATCTGCAAAAGAGACAATTTAAATTTCGGGAATAAAGCACTTATCTATTAAGCAAAAGTAAAACCAACTAAAGGTACGCCTGGGTCGCATGCTCCTACTGCTCTACTTAGCATATTAACAGAATTTAGGCTCTTTAGAGCCATCTTTAGGATTTTCACTTGCCATCTTGTTTTATATGAACCGCCCAGTTAAACATGAATGTAAGCTAAAATCATTTTTGCTGTACTTTAAAGAATTGACGACAGAGCATTCTACCTATTTGCCTAATCTCGGGTTATCCCCCTGCTAATTTGGTATAATTTAGCCGACTCAATTTTTAACACAATATTAACTAACACCGCTTCTATAAGCCCACAATAATGTGTACTTAAAAAAGAAATTGTCTCACGGCGTACCTGGTCTCCACTTCTATATGCCCGCCTCAACCCTCTTAGTGCTGAGGGATGTTAATGGTTCAGTTTAAATTTTAGCATTTTTAACGACTGTATTATATCAGAACATTAAATAAATAAAAACAAAATATATACAACCTCTAAGAACTCTATTTTTTTTTACCAACTAAGAAATGGGTTTCTTTGAAGGAAACATTTTGGTGGCCCCGATAACTGCAGTTTCGTTTTTAACAAATAAATATTTTCTTTCGGGTCAGTAATTATTTTTAGAAAATTATATATATATATAGTATAATAGAAATTTAAACTTTGGCTATAGGCGAAGGAAGTTTACTAAAGTGTTTTAATATTGAATACAAAACTTGTGTTCATAGTTTTACTGCTCTTAATCGGGCAAGAATATATGGAATACATACACATCTGGAACAGAAGCTTATAGCCGTTTTTGGCGAGAAACAGCTGAGAATCTTTTCATATAGTTTTGAAAGTATTTTTTTTGGTTTAGTTTTTTTTTAATATATATTTATTTTTCTCATAAAATGTTACGCTTACGGGTACGTTAGGGCCTTCCAGTTTATTTTTTAAAGTATTCAGCCCTTTCTTTACTCTGATGGACAGAGTTTTAGCAGTTCAGTTCCTGAAAACTGCAACTATTTCTGTTTACATTGTGGTTGCTTTTGCCCACAACTTTGTGCAAATTATTAATTTTAAACAAAAAACAATTGTGAAAACCCTCTGCTGCCAAGAAATGCCAATACTGTATTCCGATATAATTATCTCTAGTTTTTTGTTTACTTTAAATATAATATAATTATGTTTGTTAACAGTTATTCCTTCGCAATATCAAATCCTACGAAGAGCAATTTACTTTTTGCTTCAGGAACTGTTTTTGGTGACGTTTTACTCTGGAAATACAACTTTTCTTCAGACACTTTTGACTTTTCTAAATCAACTGAGTCTATCTTAATGAAACAACAAAACATTATAGAAGAGAATAAGTTTGATCATCCGTTAGCGGAAACTTTTACGTTGATCCAGTCTAACTTATTTGAACGAGAAGACATTACAATTTTTCATTACTTAAAAGGATGTAAAGGAGCCATTTACGATCTGGCCTTTAACTCTTCATTAACGAGCATCTGCTCTGCTTCCGACGACAGAACTATAAGAGTTTGGGATTTAAGAAATTTAACAGAGTTCGTCTATCGTTTATTCTGACTTCTTTTTTTTTTATGTTGAAATTAAAAAGTTTTTTAATTTTAAAATTTTTATCCAAAACTTTTTGTAAACCGACTTTATTTTTTAACTCTTCATAGATTTTTATAATTTCTATGTTTTCTGATCTGGTTTATATTATAAAAGTGTAAGAACCAAATTTGTACTAACAGATGGCTTATCTTGTAGGTGTGAGTATAGTGGTTTTGTCTTCAATTCTTACAGTGACTTATGTCTAGAACTATATTTATTTAATTAACAATTTATAATAAGTAGTTTAAATATTTTTTAAAATAACTGCTGTATTATAAAAGCAAGCACAACTTTGGTTTGCTTTTTTTTTTAATTTTTTTTAAAATATAAATTCGTGTTAAAGTTAATTTAATATTCAATAACTTTTAAAATTGTTATTTTTAAGGGATAAGAATTCAAAGCATTGCAGCTTCACTATTTATGGTCACGAGGCACGTATATGGAAAGTTACGTTTTTGGACGATCACATTGTAAGCGTTGGAGAAGTAAATAAAAGTTTATATATGTCTAGTTTGGCTTTTCTACTACTTTTTCCTGCAGCTTCTAATTTATTTTATTGTCTTTTTAGTAATTAATAATTTTTCAAGATTTAGTTTATTGTGTTATGAGTAATTAACAAAATTGTATATAACTACGAGTTGGCTTACTTGTTATATAAAATAAAATATTTTTCGTGAATTATAAAATTTTATAAGTCCAAGTTTACCATCTCGTTGAAAATGAGGGAAATCGTTTAAGTGTTAGTAGTTTTTTGAGAGAAATTCCAGCTTCATGTAGTTTCGCAATTACCTAGTGTGTATTAGTATTTTTTTTCTTCATTGTAATTTGTCAAAATAATTTTTACTATTTTTGAGAATTTAGTAAATTTTAAGGCGTTAGTTACCTTTGCAAGACGAAAATTTTTAATGAAATTATTGTTTATGTGTTTTTTTAATTAATTTTCATCGTATTTGACTGTATTTTATAACTTATTTAATTTTTCTATATATAAATCTTAGATATATATGTACCTTATATTCACCCCATTATAGCTTTCTATAAATTATTAAACCACAAAACAATTGTGCCTCTGATAATTTAATAAAAGTTTTTTACATTGAATGTGCGCATTACTAATTTAATAAATTTAAGTTAATTTTTATCTAAAAGTGTTGCTTGATTACTTTAATTTTAAAAAATAAAATATAAGATGTAAAAACATGATAATTATATTGAACATTGATGACTTTGAGCTCTTTGCTTACTCATTCTATCTAAGAAGGATAGTTTTTAATTTTTATATATAAATTTTAGTAAAATTTTTTTGTTATAACAAGGCGCAAAGAATAAAGTTTTCTATAAAAATTACTAAATCTAGGCAAAAGGCTGCAAAAGGCTCCTATTAAGTAATGTTTTACTAGGTGAAGAGCTATCGTACGTGCACAAACTTTCTTTTTCTAGATAAAACTGTATACTTTAAAATTCTTGTTTATTTTTAAGTAAATGTTTCATTAAACTCTAAAAGTTTTGGTATGTGTATATTTTGCTGGCATTGTACAAATATAAATAGAGTGGTATTAATCTCATAATGTGTTCACATTTTTTTAATTTATGTGCTTTTTTTCTTTGTTAATTGTGTGCATTTTATAAAATTTAGGATTCCAAGGTTTGCATCTGGGCGCCTTCATGTGAACTTATTAAAAGCTGGACGCCTCACTCAGGAGGAATTCGAGCGCTTTGTTCTTCATTGGACAATAAATATATAGTAACAAAATCAATATACTTTACATAAAAAATTCGTTAATTTGAAAGTAGATTCTGGTGGTTAATTTTTTTACTGATTATGATTTAGTATTCTTATATACTATTTAAATATACATTATATTAGTAACAGTATAATTATGTTAGTTTAATATATAAAAAATTGCTTTTTTTTAATTGGAAGCTTATTTATAAATTATTACAATAAAAATTATTAGGAAGACTTTTATGGTTTACTTTACTTTATGTGTTCTATTAAAGTAAAATTTTTAGATAACGGGCGGTGATGACCACGTGCTCGCTGTGTGGAACGTTGAAGTGATACTGAAGGAAAATGGTTTGTTAATAGGAAGAGGAAACCTTTTGCTTGCTAATAGTATCACATTGTATTACGTTGCGGAGCCGTACTGACATTGGAGCAGTTAAAGATTAAGAAATATTTATTGGCCAATCGTGTTTTTACTTTCTTTAACCCCGCATTGCGCGCTATAAGAACATGTGCATCTTTTGCAGTAATAAAACGGTAACTAGCAGTACAATAAATACTAAGTTTTTAGATAATCAAAAGATATTTGGTATCTATTTATCAGTTAACCAATAATATAGCGGGCTGTAATTAATGACCTGTAATAATTCTCCATATGGCATACCACTAGACTGTACTACATGTTCTTGCAATGTGTTTGTCTGCTTCTAGCACCATTTGATACAACACGTGATTTTTACTTGTGTTCAACCACTTGATTAGTCACTTTCCCCTGCCCATGTTTTGTTTAATCCTACAAATATGCTATCTCTATCATTTTTTTTAACGTATAAATATTTATAAAAAAATAATAAAAAAAGACGCTCTAGTTGGTCATTAAAAAAATTAATGTGCTTTCTTATTAGTTAGTTAAATTTATGAACATTAAAGTTCTTACAATAATTATTATTTTCTGACTTTACTTTTTGTTCAGAAGCTAAAATACTAAAAATCAATTTAAACTGCAGTGCCTTTAATGTGCGTACATAACATTGTATATAATATTTTCATTAATATACTTGCTACTCAACCTAAAGAATGATAAAGTTCGGACCGTGCATATCCTCAGCCCAAACTCTTTAGTACTCACTTCAAATAAAGGGTACGCCACACGTCTTTATATATAATGAAAATTTTTATGAGAGTTTTCATATTTACTGTAAAAGCAACCTTTATAAAGCCGAAATAAATATAGACGGAACCTGTCTAGTAACCCCCATGGCGAAACACATTCTCAGCCAATCAGAAAGCGGCTTCTCTAACTCCTGTGAACTCGCCAATGACTTTTCACCTTCCTGTTCAAGGGCGAATAGAACTTCTAACATCAGTAAAGTTCTACTCTGCCGGAGTAGACGTTACCTCGCTATTGGCGAAAGAAGTGGATTCATATGGATATTCGATACTAAAAATAAAGTTATAATTGTTATCACTATTATTATTACTATTATTATTATTATTATTATTATTATTATTATTATTATTATTATTATTATTATTATTATTATTATTATTATTATTATTATTATTATTATTATTATTATTATTATTATTATTATTATTATTATAGTTAACTGTGAACCGCTTTCAAGCTTACGATGATGAAAATGTCTGCTGGCTTTCCTGGCACAAGACAACCGAAAAGTCTCTCGAGCTGTTTTCCTCCAATGCTAGAGCAGAATTTAAGTGGTGGAAGATTCGTATTTGTCATTCGACCCATCACGCTGGGTTGGTGTTAACACAATCGTTGGAATATTTGCCGTGTTCTGCTTGTTTGTACGTTATAACAACTACTCAGAAGATACTGTTAGCAGGTTGTTACGCTACCAGCAAAAAATGCTCTAATAATAACACTTTAATAACACATATAAGGAGATAAGCACGGAAATCTCCACGTAATATATTTAAAAAAGAACGAACTGGGGACCACTGAAGAAGGCTTAAACCGACCAGGATCCAAATACGCCGTCAAGCAATACAAAATACTAAAAGTTCACAACAAACAAGCAATACTGAATATTTTATGCGTTACTCAACGTATAGTAGTCTATACTTGGCTATTTTTTTACTAACCCAATTAATTTTTTTTATAGAACAAAAAGTTTTTACGTGTGGCAGGGATGGTTATCTATGCGAGCTCAAATGGCTCAATAATAAAAGTGAAATTCATTATGATGATGAGGATAGTAGTAGTAATGTTAATACTGACACGAAGCAACTAGTTTGTTTTAATAAAATACGCCCTTTTTCACAGTCTGCTCAGCTCTTGGATATACTCTGGGACGATTGGTTCTTGTTAATTCATAATTTATTTATTACCGCTAACAGGGGTAACCAATAGTGACCTTTTATTGTGTGGGTTTGTGGGGGCTACCTTTCAAGTATACAATCGAAGTAGCAATAGAAAAGTATGTTTAGAGGATCTATCATTCCTTTTTTTTTGTATTATTATAATTTACTTACAGTTGTGGGAGGTTACTTGCACTGGAAGTCATCGCTCTTTGGACTTTTTGATAAAAAAGCTGGCTGATGAGCACTTCTTTGCTTTTGCGTATATTAAAAAGTATTTAAAAAAGTTTATTTAAAAGTAGAAAATTTTAGCCATTAACCTTCTTATTTCAGTCACGAAATTCATTGGCTTTTTGACGACCAACCCCAATCGCCTTTTCTCTTCCAAAAAAAGTTTCACCATCGTCGTATTACTTCGGTGAAGGCGTTGCCACTGTAATATATCAATTTAAATATACTATTCTTAGTTTTTTGTTTATAGTTTTGTTTGTATTTCTATTAGAAACTCGGAAGAAGATGAATTTATATACTGCATAACTGGAGGAGAAGACTGTTGCTTATATATATCGGAGCGTAATTCATAAAGAACCGTCTCGTTTCTTATTAATGATAATTAACTTCTAAATAGTGAAGAACCCGCCAACCACCGTGGCGCATATAGAAACACCCGGCCATACCATTCGTGCAATTTCTATCTGCCGCTGTCCTAAAGAAAGTTATTTATATATTAATATTCAAGAAAAAATTAAGTATAGAATTATTATTGTTTTTTTTAAATGTAAACAACTTCTAGAAAGCCTCTTTTTTTCGGACTGCCTCGTCTTTTGGGGAGGGAGTAAAGGGTATCTGGACGCGTGCATGCTTACTTTGAATAATGTTACAGTATTATTACTTTTTATTATCATTATGCTACCCTTTCTGTGTTTCTGCCATCCATTTTTTATTAATGTTGCTATATATAATAGATGTTAATAGATTTTTTATAATTATACAAGTTTTTAATTTTTTCCTCATTAAAAAAATTATAATTATAAAAAAAATTTTGTGCTTCAAGGAGTTTTTCTTTTTCGGTTTAGAATAATAAAAAAATAAAATAACAGGAGACTATTACTTACCTTTTTTTTTTATTTTTTTTTAAAATAGAAACTTTTGGAAGTTAAGCATTTAGGACTAAACCTAAGGAAGCCAAAGGAAAAAGTAGCCGGGCGTATTATGGCTGTAGTGTCTTTCCCCACTTCAGATAATAAGTTACTTATATATTAATAATATTAATGGATAGAATAGTTATAAGAAGTACACCACTATTTGAGCGTAGAAACGCAAGTACCTTTTCATAAAGATTGCCTCTACTTAAAAACTATAACGCGATGAAAGAAAAAAAATTTCGAGAAACTTTAAATATAAATTTTTATAGTATAATGAAAATATTAAAATTATTATATATACCGATTTGAAGGCTATCTATCATTACGGCTTCTTCAGGCGGAAGACTTTCCTTTTACGCGTTCGATGCAAATAATGGAAACGTTGATATACAACGTTACTCATATTTTTTCTTGCTAAACTTTGATTAAGTTTTATCAATTTTTTTTGGAATAAAATAGATAATTAATCATTTTGTTGCGCTAAAAATTATAAACGCGTAAAACATATATAAATTATAATAATGAATACATTTCAGCTCAGTAAATACGACTTCTTCATAAATAGTTTATAACCACTACCATGAGCGCTGTATTCTGTGCTTAAAACTCTGTGAACTGCCCAATAAGAAACGATATCTGTTTTCAACAGACACTGGAGGACGAATAGCGCTTTGGGATCTCTCAAATTTGTCCTCATTGGTTGGTTTAATTGATGATATTTTTTGCAAACCTATGCTTTAATGCACTATTTTTTGTAACGTAATATTTTATAACTTTTTTTTTTAATTTTGGGAGGAGAAGAATAATGCAAATAAGTTTTCTTTCTAATTTATAATGTGCTAACAAAATTAGAAAATTAAAATTTTATAGTAAAGTAGCCCAAATTTTGTTCGAATCAATTTTTTTCAAAACTTATAAAAATAAAATTTTTGTTTTTTAATAATTTTTTATAAAAAAACCTAAAACTCCACCAATACATTTCATATAATTGAATTCCATTTTTACTTTTTTGCTGGTATTCATCCTTTAGAGTATTCATTAACGTCAAATTTCACATTATATACCCACGTCTTAATATATTTTTCTATTATTTTACAGTACTATATTAGCCAAGCACGTGATACTTAATTATAATTACTAATATTACAGAATTACGCCTCCCCGTTATATAGCGTCACTCTCCACCAATCTGGCGTCAACTGCCTCTCCACTTTGCCTCTTACTGGCGAAGACTATAAAGATAACCACTTAGTATTGGTGGTTACTGGTGGGGACGACAATGCTCTTTGTGCAGTTATAGTAGAATTTAGTGAAAATAATATTAATAATGACAAAGCACGTAGCTTTTGTACAGTAAAAACTAAAGCAATTGTCAGAGATGAAGCTGCCCACGCAGCAACTATTACTGGTTCGCGACTTTTTATAATCAGATTGTTTTATTTCGGAACTTTTTACTGAAAGGCCTTTGCTTGCTCGAGCATACAGAGGAGGGCACTTTCTTAATTTTAACCGCTTCGGCCGATCAAAGGACGATACTGCGGAAGCTCGTTTATAATTTTTTGCTGCAAACTTTACATTTTACTTATATTTCAGGTTAAAGAAAATTATAATTTTATACTCAAATAACATAAGAATGCTTTGGATTTAAAAATAATTATTTTGTAGGCCGACTTGCGGATATTAGTGACATTGCTACTATGGAGCTTTTGTATAAACTTATAGATTGACCGTTTGAGATAACTAAAATATATTATATTTTTAAATAGAAGCAATGAGAAATTCATTATTGTTGGTAACGGACTTCAAACTTTTCAAGTGTTGAAAGAAACAAATCTGTTTAAATTGAAGGAGCTTGCAGAAAGGGAATCCAAATTTCCAAATTGTTATAAAATAACGCGTTATAATAAAAAAAAGTGAAAAAAATTAATCTTTTTATCTCTCGGTAGTGTTTTCGTCATTATAATTTATAAAATTAAGGTGAATGTTACAAAGAATTCCTTTTTACTTAGGAAAGCGCCGTATATTATTATAATCACGAATAATAATAAAAATCTGTGTATAATCTTTTGACAGAGCCAGATTTCATTGTAATAAGCAGGAAAATGTAACATCCAAATGAGCTAGAGTTACTTTTGCAAGTGATTTGTTGGTGTGACCAACTTTTTGGTGTCTTGGATTTTGCAAGGCGAGTTTACAATACGGTTGTATTAGTTAATGGTTATTATTTTTTCTGAAGTATAATTAATATATACCAAACATAACTACTTCTGCTTATGCAGTCTTAAAATATCGAAAATTGAAGTAGAACTCTTATTAGTCTTACCAACTGAAAAGAGTGAGCTTGAACGTTTTATTAAAAATACAACAATAAACTCCTTAACTATGTGAATGCAATCCGCGTGTAGATAACTATTAACAAACGTTCACTATGCAAACCACCAAACAGAGACTTATAATAAAAACAAAAAGATGGTTATGTCAGGCTGCACAAGATACTGTATATATATATATATTTGAAGGGTTTATATCGGAGATAAAGTCTCTCTCAAACGCGTTACTATTCATTTTTTTTATATTACTTTGATTTAGGAAAAAATAAGTACTTAATTTATTTATCAATATAGTAAATAAAACTATAAGCACTGTAAGATTTATTGTTTCAAAGAGTTAAAACCCGGCATTTTGAAACCCTTAGAGCGCAAGGAGATAAAAACATCTCTCGATCTACTGCTTTTAAAGCTTTAACTTATAAAAAGAACGCCAGCTAGCTGTTATATTAATTGCTCAATAAACTCAGTTTTCAAAATAAATAGTTTTTTTTACTAATTGTAGGCCTTTTTTTAGAGAAAATTGATTATCAAACCCTAATGAGTTTGTAGAACCCTCCTCCGTTTGCTATAAGTATCTCTCCGAGTGCATCACAGAATTTTCCTCCCCTTTAATCCACCTTAGAAATTTGAAGACAAACTAAACTCGTTGTTTATAGTTATAGTAGCTCTTATAAAAAAAATTTAGGTTTACTAACTCAATTACCTCTTCTCTTCTTTCTTATAGTTTGTTTAAATATTTGAATTTCTTGCCTCAGTTTGAAGGTGTATTTAGTTTCAACCAAATAACTTTAGCAAGCAATTTTGAACACGGTCGTCAGTGTACGTTACTTAAGTTTTTTCGCTTACAACTTCACTTTTTTTTAAGTTGGCAACGAAATTCTATGGAATAACTTGAGTCTAGACCATTGTTAGCCAAACAAGCCCCAAGCAAATTAATTTTCTTCTCTGCCAATTTTTTAGACTGGACAAGTCTTATGCATTTAAGCCGTCTATTACAATAATTATTGGTTGTCTGAATTGCAAGCGTATTTAAAGTTTATGCTCTTTTTACACTGCGATGCGAAGGGCTGCGGTTTTTAATAGTATACACCTTTAATTCTTCCCTTTATATTAAACGAATTTTTACTTAGCCAATACAGCCATTACAAGGCATATTTCAAGTTTGTGAATTTATGTACGCGCAGAAGATTTAGTGCTACTTACTTAAATTTATAAAGTGCCAGTAGTTGGTAGTTTAGTAAGGCATTCCTAGAGTAAAGAGCAGATTTTATAAAATCAAGTAATAGGGGCACATAAAAAGAAGCTGCAAAAAGAATTTCACCAAGTAAAGAAGGTATGATGACAGCTGTCAAAAAAAGTAGCACTATTCTGTTAACTTAAAAGAGAGAATAAACGAGCTCGATTAACTTGAAATTAAGTATTTTTCAACTTAGTTTTTTACTCTATTACTGGTTGAACGACTAGAACGCATTCATATTATGTGCAGCGACTGTGATGTTTCTTTGTGTAGACCGAACTCAAAAAGAAAAACCCTGATGAAAAGTGTCTGTCCAAGCGCACAGCCTTTAAAACGCATATGTATACGTTCGTACCTATTAAAATTTAAAAGTGAAGGGGCACGCAACTTAAAAGGACACAAAGCTTGTTGTTACAAAATAAGCATGAAAGTTCTACAAAACTTAAGGTCAGCTTACAAGGAGATAAAGTTGAAAATTTAGAGTAAACGACATAAAAGGATCTCTGCCAGATTTCAGTGGTATGTTGTAGGAAATTGCAAATCATATATCTATCAGGCATTGAGCAGATAGACAGCGAGGAAAGAAGGAGGTATTATTATTTGTGACTCTCTAATGCCCAACAGAGTCAAAAAAAAAAATCGGATGCGCGATTCCAACTAGTCACACACCTCAATATTTTCGTTGAAGCTGTTGCAAACTGCTAAAAGCGGGTCACGCGGGTGGGCCATTAGGCGTTTCCTGTGCCAGTCTAGCTGTTCTTATTAAGCAAGGCACTGCGTCGTTAAACGGTAAACAGTGCGCACCATAAGATGTACATGCTTCCGGTACGAGAGATATTTCGCTTGGTAGCGCTAAAGGAGCTCCGCATTGTCGAAGCTTGGATCCGTTGCCGGCGCTGCAGTACTTTTACCATGACAGTTGGTTGTAAACTTCCAAAGACGAGGAGTGATTCGCCATATCGCATGCCTATAGGCGGCCTGCAGGAACTGGTCGACCGGCAAAGGCACGTCGCACCCATAAAGGACGAAGGGAAGAAGTAGAGAGCCCTGCGGGACTGCAGTGACAGTAGCGTGCTGAGGACCCGATTCAAACACATCAGGAGGCCATAAGGGACGGCTAAAACTAAAGCACGTATTCATGCGAAACTCCATCAAAAGATTTTTTCGACGTCAGAATTAACGGACGCCGTGACCTCAAGACTTTCTCAGACAAGAAAGTTATACAAACTCTATAATTGCCTAGTAAGCAAATTCAAAATTGTTTGAGAAAACAAGTTGTACTGTGGAAATGATAAGAAAATAAAGGCTTATCTGATATTATTAGGCAATAACACCTTTTTGTTAGAAGAATTATTTGAATAAAATAAATTATTTTATTAACGCAAAGAAGCGAAAGCGTAACGAATTCTATCGTAGACGTTAGAAAAAGAATCTAGTGCAGGTCTCACGTCTATGGCCGTAACTGGTACTGAAAAAGGGTCACCTTCATCCAGATTATACTGATAAAAATCAATTACATAGCGAACTTTGGTACCACAACGATCAATAATCCAGTCGTGTCTGTATATAACACAACTTTTAATAAAAGTATACTATATATAAAAAACCAACAACAACCTATCAAAAGGAAGAGGATAACCAAAAAGTAACCAACGTATACGAGCACGCGGAGAAACGTCAGCAGGACGTCCGGCGAAATTTAAGAAGACGAGGATGGTACACCTGCCAGAGTGCGGAGCGTTCAAAGTTGCTAATAATAACAATACAACAAACGAAGTAGACTTGCGTTGGATGAAGTTTTTCCCACTCTAAAAGACGTAACCAAGTTCTTTCATTAACATCGTTGTGAATCTTTTAGGTATTAACTTAAATATATTACGATACCAACTTTTTAAACCTGAACAACTAAGTCCATGTCTTCTACCGAAGGCGAGTAACCTTTTTTCTTCATAGCTTTATAAAACATTTGGGGAGAGGGATATGACTTTATTGTATTTAAACAAAGGGAGAACACTACTATATATAAAATTTTACCCATTTTGCATCAAGGTCTTTTTCACTGCTCTGTAGTTACGGATAAATTTTAAAAAAAAAATACTGATATTGTCTCAAAAACAGGGGCTCAAGTATAGATAAATACAGGTGCTTTTGGTATACTTGAGGTTTCCCTTTGCATTGATAGAGAAAGGTAATGATTTTTCTGGGAGGTTGTCATATTAGATAGATCTTCACCGCTATAGTTTTTAGAAAAAGTGCACTCCTTTATTTCAGCAGCACTTTCAAAATTATTACTATTATCACTATCACTAATATTAGTACTATTATTATTATATTTTCCTTTTTGTTCTTTAGAACCCTTATAAAATTGATATTTTTCAAAGCCAACTAAAAATGAGTTATACTTATTATAAAAAAAAGACAATAGTTCACCCATCATCATGTAACTGTCGATGCAAGTCAGAGCTAAACCGCCCCTTTTTAAAGCCATGTGCTTATAGTGACCAGGTTTAATAAACTTTTAATGGGAGAGCTAAACGGAAAGCTGTTTACATTCACCACTGCTCTTCATTGCAAATCTTTACACCTACATCGCACTCTACGTATATGCGTCTTAAAGAGTTCAACACCTTCAACAAAAAAACTTATAAACATATGTCTCTGGTAAAAAGTAGTACCAATGCCTAGGAAAGCAGCCTAGGAAAGCAGTATAGTCTCCATCATAAAAGACACAATGCCTTACCCCCGCGTTTAGAATCCATGGGGCTTTCAGTCGAGAAACTGCCAATATAAGGACCCCAATAAATAGACAAATTTACATACAAATATATATAATAATAATAAGATTTTAATGTTTTGGGAGCGATCGTTTAAGTGATGTTTAAGGAAGATGTAAAGCTTGATGAGTTTGATTTTTATAAAAACAAAAATAACTGCAGTAACCCATCGAGCAGACATGTTTGTAAAAGCGGGTTAGGGAACTATAGGGGTATATTAAAATCAAAACCAAAAACATTGAGAGGTTGCGGCAAAAAATTTGTTAGTAAATACACAATATAGTCGATTATGTACACATTGAATGTTTTCAATTTAGAAGCAGAACTCTTTTCGAAAGTCGGAGTGATCTTACAAGGTACTAGAAGTATTGGATAACAAAATTTATTGTTGTAATATCCACTAATAAATTATAGCCAAACTCCTTGGATTGGTAGAATAAGGAAGTTTAGAAGTGATCTAAGGACAAGCAATTGTAAAACTATAATAGATTGGAAAGGTAATCTCAACAGGGCAGGAGAACTGCTCGTCCGGGTATCTGTTGCTGTGAACAACTGGGTTTTTCTGAATTACATTTACCCTAGAACCCTTTGGAATACTGGTCGAGGTAGAGATACTACAGCCCAAGGTTTGTCTAATTAGAACAATTGCATGGGGCCAAAAAACTTGAACATACAAGTTGCACGTCAACTGTAGCAAATAAAGAGGATAAGAACCAGTTCTTACGAAAGCTACTTCAAGCTATACTTAAAGCAATGCTTAAGTAAGTAATATGGAAAGGAGCGTATAGAAGAAAGGTCTAAAAAATCAATTAAAAAATATTAAAAAAATTACATAGTTCATAATGTAGGTTACCCCTACCAGTAATATTATATACGATAAGATTTAAGTGGGTTATGAATATGACAGGAAGTTAAAAGGTTTAATACGAAATATCTATCATACAGGATTGAGAGTTGTTGTAAATTAGCGATTAAGAGCATTGACGCTTAAACTTAAGGTCGTAAGTTGATTTAAACCAACCTGATGCGATCCCTTTATCAGATGCTATATTTGTGGATTGAAACTTAGCTTTATTTTAAAGAGGTCCTTATGTATATTCCTTAAATGTGCTAAAGATATGTTTCAAGAGTTTAAAGGAGAAAACGTACTTCCATCGGTAACGTATTAGTTATTATTGTATAACTGGGTATATACAATAGACAGACCACTGATAAAAATGCCAATGCTGCCTTTCAGATATCAAAAAGCATGGATTATGTATTCAGCGGTTTGAAGCTTAAGGTTATGTTAACGGCAACTAATAGCATATAATTTTTAAAAAAACACCTTAAGAAGTTATAAGTTTGGTTTAAAAAATACGAACTATATTTGCTAAAAATTGACTGTAAAAGTGTAATATAGATAAGTAAACGTTTTAAAAAATTTAAAAGAGGGATACGGTCGAGCGAAGACCTTATACAAGCGTATACACATGCTAAAATTCAAAACAAACAAGGATTTTCAAGTTATTAACATGCATTAATAATATTGGAATTAATGCAATCTAATATAGCGTTATTAATAGCATCGTTTAGTAACCTCTTTGAGAAGAAAGCGAAGGTTGAGTAAGAGTAACGATAGTGTTAAAAAAAAGTTTGTGTGTAATTCATGCCAAAATAGCGAGCACGAGTTAAAAAACAAATTGCTTGATATAGATGGAGATTTATTACAAATATATTATAGTTCGCAAGGAATAAATTTCTAAATGCCTAAATGAAGTATAGCATCAAGAAAAGGAAAGCTTAAGCGGTTGTGTGTGGTGTACATACGAATTAATGAATTATGTGTAATTAACCGACATACTATGATATCCCGTTTTGAAAAAAAATTATAGGATGTGACTAAATTTAAATATTATTAATATGACTTTGGGATAGTTTCTGGAAGAAATTTATACAAAACAATTTTGAGTCCGAGGTTACCAGCTAGAATCCCATAACGTTGAGTCAATTAGGTCATCAATGGTAGTTACTTTTGGAAGAAGAGAGTGACTTTATTGTGGTTGATTCCATATCGAGAGGATGAAACTAGAGCAGCTATTGGTAAACAGAAATCGGGATAGCAGGGCCGACAAGGCCGTTAACTTGTGATATCTGTCAACATCTGATATATAAAAATTTTAACCCGAAAAGTAAAAATCCTTAACAAAACCTACTCAGCGATATATTGTGATTACAAGCATCGAAAGCATAGTTCTCAAAATTTAACTTTAGCGTCTCTAACGCGACACAAGTAGAGAGAAGAAGGATAACATTTATTAAACTAGCACCCAAATGCATATAATAAACATAAGATAGCCAAGGGATTAATTTATGTACACAAATTATGCAGATCCTGTATAATGAATAAAGGTTGGTCATTTTAAAATAATCTCTCGCCTACCGTGTATATTACTTAAACCTTACTTTTATAATACTTTTTATAAGACCTTAGTTAACCCTACCTTGTTCTTTACACCCTTAAATTAGGTTTAGGAATACTTCTATGCGCATCAAAAGTATCAATAAAGTCATACTGATAAAAGTTAAAAAAATTATTGCATTGACAGTAGTAATATCTCCATTAACAAATTGTGAACATAGTAAAGTGAAGTTTAAGTTGGTATACTATAAGCTTAGTTTTGCAGAATATACGGTTTGTGGGGAAGGTAGCGTTCTGTGACGATCATTATTCTTTTATAATAGAAATTGGGTTTCTCTAAAAGATTTAATAAAATAAAAGCTTTTTATTTAAAATGTCACGAAAAATGTGCTCACTTTCACTTGTAAACTTGTCTGCACTCATGCATATGAAAAAAATATCCATTAAGCCTAAAGGAGTTACAAAAGTAGCTACCTCAATGCGGTACCTATAGTTATAGAAAGAAACGTAGATCACACAATGTATTCGCTCGATATCAACGGGATATGAATGAAATTTTTGGTGCGAGGTACGGATGACCAAATTACAATAAATACGAAGGTAAAAAACTAATGATTTGAGGACTTCCATAGTAGTATTTTACTATTGTGTTTGCTGATCAACCTTAATGATAGGGCGCGATAGGTATAAATCCGGAGGATACTTGATAATTAAGGCACAGTTTTAGAATCAGATAGTGATAAATTGTATTGTTCACCGAAACTTCCCATCAAATTTAATGGAGTTAATAAATTTACTTTAAACAGGAAAGTTTTAAGTAGTTTCATTGGCTCCAAGCAGTTCTTTCCAAAAGGTATGATCTGCTCAAAGTATCCACGAGAATGTTACTGCAGTGATTAACGATTTTGTTGAAGAAAATGACGTGCTTTAAAATTTTAAATTAATTTTTAATATAAAAGGGTGGATACTGCTTTTCTAAAGAGGGCGGCAGTAAACTCAAGGCCGCGCCCCAGACAACTGTTTTAAACAAAATGAGATTAACGTTCTAATAGTTTTAGCGAAAAACCCAATTTGTTAGACAACTGGTAAAAGTGGTACTTGAAGATAGTACAAGCTGAAATGCGTTGGTTATAATATAGAGGTACCAGCGTACTGTAAGAAGTACAAGATGTTTTATAATATTGTATAAGTAACCTCACTATAAGTTAAGGTTTTACACCAAAAATTTTATGATAATAATTGTAACTAAAAATGATAAAGTCTTAACTAATATATAATTTACTGGGAGACGAGTATATCTTTACTTTATTATATCGAGAAATATCACAAATTTAACATTTGATATATTGAAGCGGTAATGTCAAGGTTCTTGTTGGAGGATGAACCACTTACAGTGAACAGTTAAATAAGATAATTTCCTAACAAGTGAGGGTGTGCGCTTTGCGTTTTATTAATTTTAAAAGGTAAATTTAATCTAACAAGCTAGACTTTAAAATTGTGTCTATATATTCATTTTAATCTTAATAAACAACTAGATTTTTTTCTTTGTCTTGCGGAGTTCTTTCTGTCTATAGGGCTGTAAGCTTTATTTTCTAAAGGGCAAGTTTAATATATTGTTTTGGTCTTAGGGCCGAACAATAATTTTCTCTAAAATATGTTAGGAGGTTACCTTCTGTAGGGCGTTTGTTAAAAAGCCTAAAAGTGCTAAGAAAATTTTAAACGCATTAAGCTTTTTTTTTTTAAAGTTCCTTTTAGGTTATAAAACTTTAAAATGTTCAGATTCCTATCTGAAGTTAGCCTTTAAAATTCCTCGCAGTGGGGGGAAAAAATGTAAATTTATTATTGAAAGGGTATGTCCATTATATATTATATATGAATGCGAATAGTCCATAGTCAAAGGAATATAAGGTGCAGAGGTCAGGCCCTTACTTATTTACTAACTTTAATTAAAATTATTAATAACTATTACAAACGCTATCTATCTGCTTGCGCAGACCGCTTCAGTGTTTCTTTCTCGAGGAAGTATCACGTTTGTCCCGAGGGTGGGAGGGGTCCACTCCCGTTATTCCCCAAAGAGTCGGGGAAACTACCGCTAGAACCATCGTTGGGAGAGTTGGTCCGCACGCCTGACCAGTCAGCCTTGCCAAAGAGCTTCCCTTTTCATCTCTACACTCATGGAATCGGCTTATTACATTCTTATAGTTCACAAAAAGATCTCTTAGCAATTCCGGGGCTGGATATATTACTGATAAATAATGTTTCTTTTAATCATATTTGAGATTTAATTAGGGCTTTGATAATATATTATTTATGGGTTCTTAAAGCCATAACCCTAACAAAATTTGCATACATAGATAATTATAATTCTTAAATTTACTACAAGCAGGGAGCTAGTTATTTTCTGCAACTTAGCATGTAAAAAGAATCTTATAAATTAGTGTAAAGCTATTTACAATACGAAAAAATATGATAATATTGGGATTCGAGGCGTTCTACGTCGGTGGAATGGTGCGAATGACAAAACTTTAATGGGTGCCGAGAAGAATGCTTGCACGCAGATAAAATTTATTATATTTGAAATTTAAAGCATTTTTTTAAGGATTGACCGTGTTAACAAGGACAGAGACGCTATCTAGAATTCTTTACTCCAGAGCTTTTGTCATCGAGCAACAAAAATTTCTTCAAGGCCTTCTTTCTCCGTTTCATTATTCAATCCCTTTTCTTCGTATTCTTCGCCACTATCAAGATTGAAGTCGTTGGACTTGTTCTCTTTATATTTGATAATACTATCTGAATATTAAAAACCTTTAAATAGTTTAAGCAAAGTAAGCAAGTACCTGTAGGTAAGGCTTCCTGCTATAGTCAGAGTAACACCTGCTAAACTCCACATTGTTAAAACATATTTCAAAAATAAAACTGAAGCGATAATGCACAAAACCTTGAATATCAATTTTTAACATCACTATATAATTTGTGGTTAAAAGGAAGCAAACCTGCGTGCTGTTTCCAGCAACAGTCATAGAAAGCGCTCCCGTTTTCTTGTTAGCAGTGAAGCTGACCACATTCAGGACAAAAGCAAGGAGCCCGTTAAAGAGAAGAATCCATAACATCTTTTTTTATTTTTTTTAAATACCGGCCAAAATATTAGGAAAAGCGACAGTTTATTATACGGAAAGTTAACGCTGTATAACAAGTTGTTTTCCTTGGTGAAACTTATACTATATTATGTGTGCTAATTTGTACTAATCCTCAGAAATTTTTTCGCCCACTCAGCGCGCCACCAATTATACTTTAGTGTATTGATGGGTTTCCCTCCTTTGATAATAGTATAATTGTATAAAAAAGCTAGTTAGCATTCTTGTTCTCTTTTTCTACGTAAACTTAAAAAAAATTTTTTTTTATAAGCAGTTTTCGTTATGCAACCTTTTTAATTATTGTTTATTAAAATTAACACAATAGGATGTACTACCGCTACATCTTCAGGTAGGAAATACAGTAAGAACTTAAAATTAAGAGGTAACGCAATTCTTTGAGGGTCTTCATTCAGAATTTAAAAAGCCCCAACTGTAATTACTTGCTTTGATTATTTATTCTATCGGCTTAGTTAGCTCATCATGCAAATTTTAAGCATAGTACAAAGCGAGCTGGAAGGCATGGTTCACACACAGATACGTAAACGTTACTCTCAAAAAATGGGTTCTTTTCTAAGAATGCTTTGCCTAACGATTTACATAATATTTACTACTAAAATTAAAAACGCTCCTCGTCTTTATGATAATAGTACTCTATGCTCTGTGCGGTTACTTCTCTATACTTATCTGCTGTCTGGTTAGCCTCTGCACCATAAACCGTGTATGAACAATGGCAATGTTAGAAGACAGAAGATGGTGGGCTTCCCTTTGTCCTTCTGGTAGTATTCGATCTAATATATATATATATCCAACTAAATATACGTTGAGTTCGAGGTGGTCGTAATTCGACAAGACTTGCAGGCGTATATATTTTAATACACCACTGGCTTCTCCGGTTAGCGCACAGAAAATAACGCACTGGATGCCTGTTGAAAAGTCAGTAATTTACATATAGCGTGGGCGTTTAGAAACCTGCCGGAATGGACATTCGATAAACGAGTTCTATGGGGTGAACATTTGTGTCCCCCACCATTAACATATTCGAAATTATTCCTGTGAACCGCGAATTAAAGAAATATATAGTAAATAGTGAACTTAACGCTCGCTAAATTTTACCTTTTAAAGAAGCCAAAAGAACGCTAAGCAAGGTAAAAAGCAGACCTGAAATGTTAAATCTGAGCTCGCCTCGAGAAGCTATGCCCACGCCCAGCACTACCTACCACATGAGAAAGGACACAGTAGTGCACTTGCAGAGATGATATCCTTGAGAAAGGGACAATTAATATTAATTACAGGTATGAGGCTTAAGTAAGTTTTCTCTGAGTACAGTCGTCTGAAAATAAAGTATTCTAAAATACTTGTAACCACTGGATTTGTGCTTCTAATAATTTGATGAAATGGAAGGGAAACCTTTTATCGGAGAAATTAATATATTTGTTATAACCAACGTTAATAACTCGTACTCTCTCAAGGGCGACATTGCTTACTGCTATATTCATAGTATACAAAAAAGAAAAGCCCAGCCAAATGGGCACCTGTTCCTAAAGAGGTTTAGTGAAAAGTTTTTACATAACGAAATTAACTTTTAAAAGGATAAAATGGTTAAGTACCTTCCTTAAAGTGTTAAGCTGACAGGAATTAAATATATAAATGCTTATAGCAGCCCCCAAGCCAGATATTAAGACATGCACAGCTGAAGTATTAATAAACAAAAAAACGAGTTTTGTAGGTCTTATCCTAAAGTCAAGCATTCATCTCGCCACCTGAAAGCGTCCAAGGGAATTTGAAAGAGGTTAGTACAACTTTGCTATAAACAGACAAACCGACATTGGTTAAAAGATAGAGAGCAATCCAAAAGCTTTATTAATAGTAAGTCAACGGAAAAGTTATGACTGCATACCCCATAAAAAGCTCAGAAAAAAAAAATTAAAAAATTTACGATCCAGTATTCAAATTCATTTCCAACATAGACATTTTTTGAAAGAAACTTGTTTTTATACATAAACGTAATATAACTGACTTTTAAAATCGCCTGGCTGCAATTTTACTTCCTAGGCTAAAAACTAGTACCGTGATTTTATATAAATAAAAAAAGGTTTTCTTTTAAATGCTAATAAGGTAAAAGTTTTTTACTGCCACAACTACATTAACCCACCAAAAAACAAAATTTTCACGCATTATTGTTTATTTAGAACTTTTTCTCGAAGTAAGAATTTTTAATTTAGCATGTTTATTGGATATTTCAAATTTTTTTGTTTATTAAAGGACTAGGGGGAGGCCGTTCAGATCTAATGAGTTTTGGTAAACTTTTTAAGTACTTCCAAAGTAGCTTAGTAAATTAAGACTTAAATAGCAGCACTTTCAAGTAATAGTATTTATGGGTTTTTTTAAAATGTTCATTTTATATAAATTTTATTTTATTTTATAAAATATACTTTATTAACTTGTAGTAGGATGATATGCAAATTTTTTAAAATTTTCTTATAATGGTCGTAGGGCATACAACTCTTAGAACAATGGCTTCCTTTGAGTATTGTTAACACTAAAAATTGCTGTTTTTGTTCTTTCGCTACATTTAGTACAGTAATTTTAATGAACAGATTTGTTTAGAAGAATTTACTACAGTATTTGTTAGATGAACTAAGGCGATTCAGTATTTTTCTTAAATAATAATTGGTGGCGCATTTAATGCATGATAGATTAAGCGTTTTCAATGCAGTAAATCTGCTAAAACATGACTTTAAGACGCTAAATATAATTGAAAATTATTTTATGACGCAATTAATATTTTAATTGGTCATTTATAACGCTTATACAGATTTCCTACCGTTTTTAATCAGTTGTAAGACTTTTAGGTTTTCCTTCTACCTTTAATTTAATATTTTGCTACTTAAAAGATAGATTTAACTAAACAAAAGCATAGCTCGTGGAGCAGCGCATGTGCAATACAATAATATAGGCGTGATAAATATACATTACAACTAGAAGCGATATCCTCACACTAAAATCTTATGGAAATATTGGATTTGAGGGATATATTGTGCACCCTACACTTGTTACATCGTATAAATATGATAACTTTTACTACTAAAAAAATCCATAAAATGAGGTTATAATAAACTTTACATATATAGATAAACCTGGTGAAAAATTTTAAGCTATCTTAATATAATATTTTACTTACAAAAATAGAGGGAAAGTACTGCAAAATTAGTTATTCATAATTTAAGTTTTGACTTACATGCACTTTTGTTCTATGAAACTGCTCATTGAAATTTAAATTTAAGCAAGTATATAGGAGCACTAGTATTCAAAAAATCAATTTAAAGCACGACAAATTCCCCAATATGTGAATGGTAATAGGTTTATCTACGCTATACCGTGTAAATATTACATTTCTATGAGCTAATGAATAATATTTTTTGGTACAATGCAAAGTATATGGTATACAAAAAAATGATTTTGTAAGCTTTATTATTCTTTATAATAGATGGGTCAAGTTGGTTTCGTAGAAGTTAAGTTTATTACCTCTTTCCTTTTTCAAAAGCTTCAAGAAGATTAATCAAGCTTCCTTACATATACGCCTTTTTATAGAAGCCTTCAAAAATTTTTACAGTAAAATTCAGGGTGACAGGAGCGTAAGTTCAGTAAAAATAGAGTTTTACAATTGTGTAGATAACCTACTTAAATGGAAGTGGGAATGAGCTTTAAGATTGTAAAGATTACAAAGCTATTTGGTCTCCCTCCGACCTCCTTCCCTGTTAGAAGGGACTATTACTAACTTTGAGAGACCCGTAACAGCTATTCAACCTGTCGAGAAGTATAGTGTCGGCTTATTCGTCTACAGGTTTATAAACTGAACCTTTTTCATTAACACCGTCAATTGGTATACCAGGCCACTGCTACACTACCCTCCCCAACTACCCAAAGAGGCCAAACCGAATTTACACCCGAAGAGCTGCAAGACATGTCTGTAGGCAGTCGCTCGTCAAACGTTTTTAAAATCCGCCGCCACTGAAAACGGTTTGATAGCGGCTGAAAGCAACAGAGATAAGGCGGTGCTCTTTGCCGACCATCTCGTTGCCCAGTGCGCTTCTCTGTTTTAACCTATCTTTAGGTACGAAAGGCAAGACAACGCAGGATTCGTCAACCATTGGTGACAGATCTACCAAAACCAAGAAAAGCTAATGAATTGCTATTAGAGTCTGTAATTAAAAAATCAAAGCATTCGGCTCAAACAGCGATACCAAAGAGGTGCTAAGTAGCTGCTGGTGGCGATCAGTCCCCCCCTTCCCCCTTTTGCAATGTCGCTTAATTTCTCTTCAGTACGCTGAAAAACAGTGTTACCCAATACTCCGCTGCCCTCAACATACGCCACCTTATATCGCTCTTTTAACCTATTTTAGCGGTGGGCAAAACCTTGGAGGCTGTTATACTACGTCGGCAAGAAGAGTTTGTAGTAACACACAAAGGGCCTCCAGAATTGCTAATTTGGATTTAGAAGAGATCACTCGCGGACACTTTCATTGATTACTACCCCTCTGTTGTCCCGCAAGGCTCTTTGCTATTATTATCATTCCTCCGACCTTCGAAGGTGTTAAGGTCCCATGGGCTCTCAGGCCATACTTTAGGACGTCATCATCGATAAATTACCGACTTAGCGTATTTCACGCACTCTACCTGCTTGCTAATATGCGCAAAAAGCATAATGTGAATGGAACATGCATGATTCTTATCCTAGTGGTACGGGCGACTACCTGCCCCAAGTCAAGACTAAAAGCGGCCTGCGCTCGACTTACCGAGCATCTGCAAAAGTCAATAATAGTACGAATGTTCTGTATTCTTCCTCGAGGGCTCCCGGTCTGTAAAATACACACAGGGAATTTTATTTAGATAGGTTTGTTATTCGCACGGCTTACTTCAGATTATCGCTGTTCAAAAAAATGGCACCATGGGGCTCTTGCTTTTTATTATTTTTTTAAAATAGTAACTGACACAATTGAGATGTTTTGGCAAACTAAAATAATATTTAACTTCTTACTGTTTAGTCTCAGTTAGTCTCATTCTTCTTAAACCAAAGCTTACACTTGTTTTTGGCATTGTTTTTTTGATAGGGTTAATTTTAGATTAAAACTAAAAATAAGGTAGTTAACCAAGAGTTTAAGATCTTACAATTTTCATATTAGAACCCTTAGGCGGGAAAAGCTACCTGCCCAAATCATGAAGCCGTAAAAAAGATCCGAAAGCCTGAATATAGTAGGTTGTACTATTACCGAATAGTAAACTCGGTTATATATTTGTCAATAACGAGTAAGATGCTCACTCCGAACACTAGAAGTGGTTTTTAGTAATAGTTCTCTACTTACAACGTATTTTTGAACTAAAGGATTTACATAAGCCATTTAAAATTTGCAATTTTTTTAAGGTTACAGATAAGAAGACAATTGATATGCGATCTTTTACAACCGCTTTAACGTTTATGTAGAGCTTATTGAGCCATCAATTAATAAGACGCTAGCAGCACTCAAGTTTATAAACGCTGAAGTAGGGAGCGTACTGTTGAATACTATAACTTAACAACTTTTTAAGTCGCTCAGGGATACCAAGGCTTAACTTAGTAGCTATAAGGAGAGAAAAAAGAAAAGTAGGAGCTGCAGCCTCCTAAAAAACTAACAAAAGTACCTTTTTCTACTTATATTCACTCTTCAATATTTGATAACATAACAATACTTTAAGAATTTTAGTAAAGTTGACAAAAAGGATAAAAAAGGAAATTATTAACCATTAATAATTAATAATTTAAAGCCGCTGATTAGCAATAAGCATTTCTCCTTGCAGTATGGCTTCGCTAATTTCATCAATGGGCAGTTCATTAGCAAAATTAGTGGCCTAACATAAGGTAAAACACATTAAAAAATTGTGTGTGCAGGAAATTATATAACAATAGAGCATATAAACCTCATTCAAAAAAGAAAGCTTTTCAAGTATAACGCTGCGACGACTTTGCAATTCGTTTCTTTTAACAGTCAAAGTACTTACAATCTTTTCGTGTTTTTCTTGCAACTACAATAAAAAACTCTTTAGTCCACCAAACAGATTATACTGCACAGAAAACCTGTTCAACTTTTTCTACTAATTTCTTATGGTAGCTTTTCTTAATATAATACAATCTTTTATTAACTAAATCTTCAGGCGTTTCTGAATGCGTTCGTCTAAAAAAAAAATAGATTGAAACTATCTGTAAACAAGGGTAACCAAGAAAAACCTTCTCGTGGTAGCGTATTGTTTAGATTCTTCAATAAGTTTATCCAAGGCGTTAAGACGTTCTATAGCTTGATTTTCTTTTAATATTTTCTCCAGTTCCTCCTACAAAAGTAAAAAATATAGGAGGGATGTTTTAAAGAAAATAAAGTACTATATATATACCTCAACGCTTTGTTGCATGAAAATTTGTAATTGCTTAAATATTTTATCTAAATATTCATATTGAGTTGAATTTAAATTTGTAAAACAAGTTGAGAGCTTGTCCATACTATGGTTAAAGCAAAAAAATAAAAATTTCTTAAAATTACTTTAATTAAAAAAACTCCAAAATTTTTAAAGCAAATTTAATTTGAAAGGACTTCGATTATATAAAAAATAATTTCACCTGCAAGAAGATAGAACCTTAGCAAGAGCGGTATTAACAGCTATTTTTAATAATTTAACACGAGATCCTTCCAAATTTGTTAGCATCTCTTGTGATTCCTCAACTCTCTTCATAACTAAAAAATATCTACGTAAAAGAGTTAACAGTGCGCGCAGCCTTCGATATCACCAGCAGTTAGCTGTTGAACTGTGAAAGATCTCCTGCAGTGAAAGTTAAGTAACCTTTTTTTTTAAAGGCGAATGAATTTTCCACATTAAACATTATCTCGATATTAACAAGTTCTACCCGTTTCCCGATTTTGTTGCAATTAAGACAACTCTTGAAGAATAGGAGCGGTAAAAGGTTTTAATTTGGTTCAAATTCTTTTTTTCTAAGTGATTTAATATTTCTACGTGATTCGTTCAAACTTCACGCATGACTAGTAAAGTCTTCAAAAATTACTTCAAGGAAGTACTTTTTTAACTAAAAACTGTTGTGAATAACTGCAATATTGAGGTTCCTAACTAGTCAGTTTATAATATCAAGTATATTAAGACTTAAGCCTGGTAAAAGTAGAGCTATCTTTCTTGGGTGGTAAGCTGGCAGCTGAGGAGGCCTTTGCAAAAGATGCAGGTCGGTGTTTCCAGAAAACTTCGCGTCTAGTACTCGAGGCCTCCTTTCCTGATGATAGATTTGGCGGTTTCCACCACTCTAAGCCGAATATCGGGAGTTCGGATCCAATACATGCTATACCCCACTCCTTCGGGATAATCCTGCATTACCCTCTCAGAGATTTATGGGGTGACCCCGGCCCTGCTTGCGATAACTTATTGAGAGCTTGATTGCTCGAAGTTGATTGACTTGATCATGCACTAAGAAAGGTTTTCCAAAAGCAAACTTAATGTTCATCGAAGAAAAAGGGCTCGGAACAAGTAATAAATATCTGATTAGTTTGATCGGTTTATAACGAGTATAAAACTGCAGACCGTAGAAGCGCCCTAGTCAGTAAGAAGATAAATTTAAATATATTTAAGCTAACGAGACGGCAGAATATATACTTTAGCAAATAGCCTCTCGTATAGGCTGTAAATAATTGTTAATAACCAACTTGTAGTAGTCAGCTATAGCCAGCATATTTTTAAAAAAAAAGCCTTCGCATAAAAAGGTGCCACCTCCCTTCACTCAGAACTAAAAGTTGTAACCCTTATTAATTTTATCCACCAATAGTTTTAAAAAATAGTGCTAACTTGCTAATCAAACATATATTACAAAGGGTGGACATTTAATACTTGTTAAGCGACAAATATTAAAAGTTAAAACTAGTATATATAACCCATGGAAATTCTTATGTTAACATAAATACTAAATATAATAAGCACTGAGTTAAATTAACCGAGTTTTAATTTACTACTTAAAAGTTTGCCTCGCCTACGTGCTGTAAAGTTAAAGTTCCAAGCGTGTAGCCTTTACAGCATTATAGCTAACACAAAGTTTTTTCTCGAGTAAATTTTTTAGAATATTTTAAGAAAAGTTTTTGCATTTTAACATTACAAGAACAGCATTTTCAGTTGTTAAAACTTGTAAGTTGCTGGTCGCTTAGAACCGTTGGCAAACCAGACCCGGTTTTTAAAAACAACACATATCCAGTGGTTTGTACAACTAAGGTAACATCTTATAAGAAAATCTTTGATCTTTATTATGCTAGGTCAATATTAACAATTTTTTGTTGGAATAGATATGATTAAGCTCTATTTTTGACAAACTTTTAAGCAACTTTCCAACTATAAACCTTCTTAATCGAATTACCTTAAAATCTGCGAAAATCTGAAGTTGCACAGTTTCAAACTATTTTTTTAATAATTTATATATAAAGGATTTAAAGTCCCAAATTGAGGATTTACTATTTCCTACTAATACTGTACATCAGGCCACTTTTCACAACCTATTTATTTTTAAGTTCCTTCGAACCGAAATTTTGTAACAAACTGAGAACTATTTTCTAAGGTATAAACTTAGCTATATTTTAACTTGAAAAGCATTATCAAGGTAAATTAGCGCAAGTTTCGTACAAACTATTTCAATGAAAAAAGTCGAATTTGAAACCCCCTAGTTATTAACCAAGAATGTGAGGCTTTTATACGCCGTTTCTTGAGAATTTTATTTATAGAATACTAAAATATAATCGATCTCTTAAAACTTGATTTTCTATGTGTTATACATAACTTATAAGTTTGGAGGCGGTAAGTAATCTTCTAGACACTTTTCGCCTCTGGCCAGGTAAGTAGTAGTTATGGTCTTTGTTAATTAACTATATACAAAATGGTGTCGGCCAGGAAAAGGTTATAAAAAGAAAAAATATCATATTTATTAGTGAGCGAAAAATTACAAATTTGTCAAGTTAGAAAAATCAGGGAGTTTCACAACCACCTTAGAATCTTGAAAATTTTTGTCCAAAAAGAAGTCTAGCCCTAACTTTTCTATTTTAATATTTATATTAATAATTTATATTTTTACAAAAAAAGGTTTGAAAAAGTTTAGACTTACTTCTTCTTATAGAACAGAAACTCCCCCGTGTAGTGGCCACGTTTCCGGAGATGCGTGATGCTTCGTTAACTATGAAAATACCTTTTAAAGAGCCGCCTATTATTTTTCGGAGCAGAATAGACGTGTTATGGTCAGCCTCCGTATAGAAAATAGTAGTATATACCTTCACTCCAGGATCCCCAAACGGCCCCCGCAGCAGCACGATTGCGGTGGATGTCTGCATTCAAGATAAAGTAAGAAAAATCTTCGTGAGCATTGGTAGCTAGAATAATAGATATTAGTCAATGTACTATCAAGAAGCGCCTAATTACAATAAAACCTATAACACCTCCTCGTTTATCAGCAAAATTTTCCTCGTAACGACCTTTTAAATTTAAAAGGCAGCCAGCCTTGAGATTTTGGACGCGCAGACACCCACCCGTCCCAAGCTCTTTCTTGCGATGCCCAAAAAAAGCTTTGTTTTTCTTATAAACACCGTCAAACAGTAAACTACCCTTACAAATATTAACAAAAACGGCTCCTCCTATAGAAGTGAGAAACACGGGAAGGATCAGAAGAAATTAAATTATAGACCTTGATTAGCCGAGTTTTCGAAAAATTTCCCATTAATAACTACTTTGCCTTCAGTTTGATAAATAAATATGGCTCCTCCTAAGCATAATAAATTTAGCATTTTTTAGTACCATTATAAAAATAAACTTTATATAGTTAACCGTTTCCATGAGGTGGATTGTTCAAGGAGTGATAAGTAGCGTAATTTTGTCTAAATAAACCGTCTTCACATATTAACATAAAATAAGATCAATACTTGAAGAAAATAATAAAATAATAACTGTAAATAAGTCACAATGCGATTATAAATAGTTGTATAAAAGAACTTAACAACAGCCCTAAAACTATAAAAGTCGAGATCGTAAAGTTTAAGAACAAAATGTGTTCGTATATGTAGACTGCAAGCGAGATGGCGGACCAATATAGACACTATCACTCCTGAGCACGCGTATAATAGAAAGAACAGCTCCTCCAGCCTAAAGCAAAGAGAATTTATTACAACAGTGCTAATGTTGAAAAAATAGCACCTTTCCGTAAGTCTCTCTATTTTTGGGAGAAGGTAATGAGTCATCATATCCGATAAATGAGTTTTGGTGAAAAAAACATTTAGCGCCAAAGTAAACTTTTCTACTACGATATACAAAAAAAGCAGATCCTATAACAAGAAAAGAAAACTTAATATTTATGGAATTTTTATTATATAAGACACACCTATTCTGTTAGACGAAATGCTATAAACTTCTATGTTATATAATTCTAAAGCGTTTATAGCACAATCTTCGTCGCTTCTAAGTAAAAAGGGCAGTATAAGATTTACAATTGATCAATAAGTCATTTACCCCTTGCAAGGATCTGTAATATTGTACTCGTTTACGTAATTACCATCAGTCCTCAAAATACCGACTCCTGCTAAAAAAAAATTGTCAAATTATTTAAGGAGATAAGTTAAACTCACCTTTCCTTTTCGAAGTAAAAATAAGATTTTTAAAAACAATTTTTTGACGGTTAAGAGGAGCGTAAAATATGGTGTCTCCTATAGATGACTTGCTTAATATTTCCTGAAAAATTAGTAGACGTCAAGTCAACTGTGAGAGGGAGTAAACACTAAAAACATTTGATAATATAGCGTGCTTGAAGGGTTTACCTCCTCTGCCTTAAAATTTGCTATAATAGTAGTTCTTGAACCTTCCAATCCTAAGAAGACGACATCTCTGTCTAACTTTATTGTTTTGAAGATTTCATACTTACTTTTTAATAATTTTATTAAATTCTTCTCATCTGTAGAGAAAAAAAAAGAAATTAAATGATTTAGGTGTAAATATAATTAGCTACCTGAATTATGCTTCGAAAGTACTTTTATTGCCTCCTCTATAGTTTTGTAGCAGTTTTTATAACTTACAAGGTACACACTTTTCCCTCCTCCCAAACACCCTTCCTCTTCATGGCTCAAGAACGACCTCAAAACCAAGTTTGAATTTTTGGTCTTGTGAGCAGGTTGATTTTGGGCAGCATGAAGATAGTAAATAATGAAGACAGTTACTAAAATTAATATCAGGAGCCTACGAAGTCCGAGAATAGTTAGAACGTACATATTGTAGAGTCACATATAATTATTCTCTCTTTTTTTAATTTTATACTTAATAAATTTACAATTAAAATGAAAAGGTTATATGACATGTATTACCTGTAAAAAAAAAAATGTTTAAAATTTTATAGTCCATATAAGGTTGAGTACCACCATATTGAGCTGTACAAGTTTTAATTTACAGCGAATGATATATAAAAAGATCTACTTATTTAGACTATAAAAAAAAAATACTCTAACACTAACATTGTTAAGGTATCAATTTTTTAAGTATTTGTTAAACGCATTAATTTTTTTTTTTGGTAATGCTAACTTCTTATACGTAGTTCGTGCGATTGTGCTGACCATTACAAATTAGGTTTGAAGATAATACAAGGGCATAGTATAGTGTGTACACAAACTAATTCACATATTCCCAGCCCGTAGTATTTTACTGGCTAGTTCTTTCCTCTTCTATAATTTTAGCATTTTTAAGCATTTTTATTTATTTATTTGGTTCACCAAACATGATTCTATATATATTTTTATGTACTGTGAAATAACTTGATATTTGTTACATATAGCATGCCATCTAATTATAATAGTAACGGGAAAATTGCTTCGTCACTAAACACTTCACGAAGTTTTTGGAGAGCGCTCAATTATCGCCAAATCATCAATTATTTAGTTTTCATCTAGTTGCGGACCAAACGACGCACAATCGAATGCAGTTACCTTTGCACATAACATCAGCGCAGCAAAAATCTAAGTTTGGTAGTTTTGTATATGTTAATAATAATTTCAATTATAAAAAAGGTGGTTTAAGATATTAATAAAATTGATGAAGTTATGTTTATATATAACAATTGCGGTTTTTAGAGATAGTTATACAATGCCTTCATATATTCAAACTAAATTTTAAATATCTTGCTTTCTTCTTTCTGCTGGAAAGCCAGCCCGCTTTCCCCTTAAGTTCTCGTTAATGATTTCAAGTAGATAGAACTTATGTGGCTACTTAAACAATTACGTTGCTATCATTTTAAAACTTTTAAAAAAATTTGTCGAAGTGCTACCGTAACAATTTATTTAGTCCATGGCAGTTTCTCTCTCATCCCTTGCAAATATATTTAAATAGATAAGTACTTACCTGAGCTTATTATAGGTTTTATAAAAAGAAAATTTAGCTTTACTTACGGTCTGATAGCCTATTAAGCTATAAAAATGCTTTGTAACGAATGTCTAAGGGAAAGTCGATTTTATTCCTTAGAGATCTACATCTCGCTATAAACGAATTCATGGCAAAATTTACAAAATTTCTACAATTGTATGATTGGCCAGCTCTTTGCTTTCTAATACTTCTTTAGTACATTATCTGGTTGCTTTCTGTTAAAGGAGTTTCTAGGTATATAGATTTGCTCATTTCGTAAGTTATCGTAACAGGTTTCCTAATAGCCAAGCATTAATATTTTAATACCACCAAAGAATAGTTTCTCAGTTGAAAAATGTCATACCAGATTGAAAACTTATTTTTATTAGCCATGGTGTTGAAAGAAAAGGACAGACCTTCATAATAAGATTTAGTGGTAAGTACTAGGGTATACCAGTAGAAAAAAACTGAATAAGAGATAACGAAGGCAGTAAACACAAAAGAAGTCACTAAGAGAACTACCCAAATTATAGATCAATCAAATAAGTAGAGCTTTCAAAGGGGCAGAAGCTAGTTATTAATAGTAGTATAACTAAATTAGAGACCACCATTATACTAGATATATGACATCGACATATATATATTCTACAAGGAAGTAAAATTATAGTTTACACCATTTAGCGCAAGTGGATCTTTTCTTTTGTAAGCATCCACTTAGTTATTAAGTATTATCTACTAGCTGCTAATTAAGATCATGTTTACACTAAAGTTACAGATACGAAGTGCAACCAGCAGAAAAATTAAAAAATTTTTATCTTTAACGCACCAAGTTAAAAACATTTATTTACCTCAAAACCAGGCCGATCATCTAGAGCGCGATCAAGTGCAGTGTTGCCTAAGTCTATAGGGCTTGACGCGTCGAATGAAAGTCAAGAGTTCACTCTTGTAGCGAGAGATAAAGAAGTCCATTTAACTTAACCATAAACAGTTTAAATGATTGAAAACCGCGAGTAAAGTATGAAATAATTCAAAAAATTATTGATTCGTGAATATATAAGTAATAAGGTCTCTTATCAATGCCGATAGGTGTGATAGTGTAGGCAAGCTAATGATAAATATGTTTCCATAAGAGCAGTCGATAAGCATTCCTGGGAGTAATAATGACGGTATATCTACAGCAGCATCAGTAGCAGAGCCCACCAAGGCGCCAGTTTCATCAGAACAGAATTGGGTGTGTCCAGGTTATGTTAATAACTCTTAAACTCTCCAAGGAATTTTGTCAGGGTCTGAGTTAGACATTTTTTAAAGCACCGTAACTCTAGTCATAACCAAATGTCGGTAGGTCTCATAATGCATACATTGTATCGTAAGGATTACTAGCTAGCACAATGAATATGCTCACCTGTATTCGGCTTAAAATTTTACAACGGAAGAAGTTTTACCCGCATAAAACCAGTACAATCTTTTGTCAAAAAGGTTACCTTCAGTAGAAATGCTCTAAGTATTATAGGTTCGATCTTTTTCTAACGCCCTACCATTGTAAGTTTAAGGCCAAAGAATTTACACTGCATTGCACGACATCCAAAGCAAATTTACCACCAACCACTCCACCGTTAATAATGAAACTATACTTCACTGTTAAACACGTTTTTCTTTGGGAATTGCATGTGTAGCTCGCCGTGGATCATTACAATGGGTGGAGGCAAGCAAATTTTGTTTTTTGATTGCGCGGTCATTGCTGAAGAACGATGATGAACAACAACTGCTGCTATTTTAAATATCCACATGTACAACAAAGCTCCCCTCCTTTGTGCCACTACTCACCGAGCTTATGTTGGGTGTCTGGTTTTATAGATTATCTGAAAAGGAAGAATAAATATTAACTTTAAAGCGAAGCTAAATAGATAAAAAAAATACAAACAAAAGGCTATGAATTCCAAACGCTTACATTTATTATAAATATTCTACAGTTCAAATATATAAAAATTACAAGATAATTTTCCAATAAATTTTTTTTACCAAGTTTCCATTAGCCATACCACTGGGCTTTTGTATACATTTAATATATGCATCAATATGAGAATATAATATACCTTGGATTAACAGACACCATGTAATGTTGATTCATATATACGTTAAGGTTTAGAAAATCATATTTACTTATTTACAGTTGACATAATTTCTTTATAAAACACTTTAGTAAAAACAATTGCTTAAATTAAAATTGTTGAAGAAAAACTACTTATTTTAACCCACTAACGGTTTCTGCTGGGCAGGAACAAAGAATAAGAAATTAACAACCAAAGAGTAATAGCTCAGCAATTTTTTTTAATTTTTAAGCACTGGCATACTACGGCCGGTGTTCGTAAGTGACCTTGAGCTACTTAATTTAAATTTTCTCTTATGCAGGGGTTAGTGCAAAGAGGGGCACACCAGTGTTCGCTCTTTATAGAGCTATAATGAACAAAGGTTGTAAATATAATTTATCGACAGAAGGATTGAGTAGTCACCGTAGTTCAGTGGTTAGGCGTTGTCGCGCAATCTCAAAGTCTCTATTTGAAACCCCTCGGCGCTAACTCCGCGAAAAACCTCCACCGGGGGAGGCGGCTCAGGCACAAGACCCGAGGCCACCTGGAGACACCTGCCAGCAACACTGCTAGTCAAACACCCCCACCTATAAGTCCCTCACGAAAGGAAGGAGTCCTTTGCTTACAACACGTACAAATAATTCAGCGAGGTATAATTAATACGACCTAAAATAAAAAAGGGAGCTATGAAAAGAATAAAGCGCGCCATAGTTGCGAACGAAAAAGTAATTGAGATGGTTAACAGCAAAGAGCATAAGGCAGGTTAGTTATAAATACCGTATTTGATTGAAGTAAAGCCAAAATTACAGGGGTAGCGTTAGATATCTAAAGCAACATGAACTAGGGCCATTGGTAAGAAAAAAGAGAAGAATAGGCTCTTACACAGATACGTCTGACAAAAAAAGTACAAAAGGTTTAACACTTGTCCCTAAGGATGGGCATATAATTTTTTCGTAGAGAGAAGAGAATTTAAATAGAAAAAATATTTTTCACTTTAGAACATAATTACCTATAAGCCCTAAGACTATTTAATACCATATATGTTACAGAACTATTAAGCGCACTAAGTTAGTTTAAGTAGTGGCTTTAGGTCGACACTACATATAATAGTTTAGTGTTGGTGTAATATAACTTATCTATTGTATATACCTCTTTACTATAAATTTAAGTTAAATTTCTTAATTATTAACTTAGCAGTTTTCTATAGCACGCGATGTTATTCTTTTCACCAAAGCATCGTTACTTTAAAATTTCATGAAGCTCTCTATAACGTGATAAAATAACTTTTAACAGTAACACGATTGAAAAGGATAATTTTTGATAAGAGCAAGTTTTTCAACTTTTTTTTGATTGCAACAGACAGACACTTTTATCAATACTAAAAATCTAAAAAAGTATGAGCGAGCGCTAAAGGGTTGGTCACGATGAGTAGAGTAACCGTCTCGTGCTCATTATTTTACAAAACTGTTTAGTGTTTCTAATTTTTGCGGTAGTGTAAGTTCTTATGGCGGTTTCATCTTCCAAAGTTGTAATACACGAGAAAAATAGTAATAGAATAAATAGATTAAACGATACTGAACAGGTTAAAAGAGTTAACTCTAAAAATTTACAGAATCTCAATGGTCGACCTTGCCCAGTCCAGAGTCAAGGTGTTTTTAAATTTGTTTAATTCACCTTGTTGACTATTTTGCGACTTGTATAAAACTGCATTCCTTTTTATATTAGTTATTAATATATTTTTTTAGAAGATTTATTAGAAGTGCAAAAACTTTTTATCCAGTCTGGTCAAAGACCTTCTGCTTCTTTAATTAATAAAGTTCAGCGCGAAGATAACCTTGAGGTTAAAACAAGAGAGGCAAAGCTTCTTAACACTAAGAGTATAGGTAATAAATTTTATATTTTTAACTATTAATATATTTATTTATTCTTTAATTTTTTTATGTATATATTTTTTATTGCAAAATGAAGACCGGGAAACTCAAAAATTGGTTAGTTACTTTTAACGCACGCCATCTTTTCTTCTTGTAAAAAGTTTTTTTTTTATTTAGAATCACGAAGTTAGTTATATTAAAAATTTGGAAGGCGTTCAATCAACTACTGTACTTGGAAGTGTATATGAACACATCTTTGACGAGCGTTTCTTTTCCTTGCCTTCGGAAAAAATAAACTCGAACGGTGTTTCTTGCTTTAGTAAAAAAAACATTTATCCCGACGTCGTGGATGACGATGGACCAAAAAGTCTTTTTTTACAAAGGCGTTCTAGTAAAAGAGATAGTCAACTTACAGTTTACGAGTGTGCTCCATTTGGCAATTCCCAATTTGAAAGGATGAGTCACGAAGAAAAACTTTTGGCTCGCTCTGAAGTTATCTCGCATATAAATCCTGAAACTGTAAAGTCGGTGGTTGCTTGCTCTGCCTTTAATTTTCAAAGACTACGCAATGCAATCGGTTATTATATATTTCGCTTATATATATTTTTACATCACGTAGTTTTGTAGGCGCGTGCAAGGATTATATTGCTAACAGGGAAATTTCAGAGGTATTACCGTGAAATAATTATTGAGTTTTAACTTAATATCTTTTACACGTCAGAGGGTTCCCCAGAACGACGAAAATGCGGTTTTAAGTTGTTTGTGCCATATTTATTTTTTATTTTTTTACTTGAATTTTTATTTAATATTATATTTATATATTTTTTTACTCTAAAATTTTTATTTATAATTTAAAAATTTTTATTATTTTATTATTACTTGCTATATCTGTTAATTAATTAATCTTTTTTTACTATAAAATTGATTTAATTTGTAGACTTAGTTTTATTAATTTCTTTTTTAAGTTTCTGCTCCCGAAACGGCCATGCCAGCTTCTCAAAAGCGACCTATTCCAACTCTCGACGAATTGCTGAACGATCCATCTCTTAAAGGTATTCCTGTAGAGCACCAAAAATTGCAGTGGATGGTAGCGCCACCCGCTTCAGATTCGAGGCCTAGAAAAAGTTGAACTTTATTTTTTATACTTTTTATATCCGCTTCTAAGGAAGTTTTAGTATTTTGGTGCGAGGATGCTCGTTTCGACTTCAACGGCAACTCTCTTAGTACTACTTTAAAAGTTCCGGCATCCCTCGGTCTTCACCATCACAGCATCGAAGTTTTAGATTTATTCGTGTATGTGCAAATAACTTTTGTATAACACCTTTTTTGACTCGAAGCCGGAGAGAGCTGGCTATACTCTACGAGAGTTAACTCATCTTTGTAAGAGTTCGTCTTCCCCACAGCGACTTTGTGCTGCTGACATCTTGAAACACATTCTTTTATTGGTTAAATACGGTATATACGAGTGTAGCTTTTATTTGATCAGCTTCTTATTTAGTCGTTGTTAAGGCGCTTTCAATACAGCTGAGGGCAGCTCCTTTCGTCCTTACGAGCTCGAAGATTGCCACATAAAATCTCAGGGTCAGGAGATCGTTTATTACCTTCAAAAGGTTCTGTAAGAGGACTTTTACCATAAATAGCTTCATGAATTATAAAAGGTTGCGAACTTTTCCTTGCTTTTACGCATCCTCCTTGATGAGTGTCAGAATCAAGCCCTTCTCACTGTTGTGTTGGAAATCTCCGTGCTCTGGATTGAATTAGTGAGCGTCGCCTCTCACACGCCACAAACACTCTCACAGTTTTTTTTTAAAAGCAAATTTTAACTATTAGAGTTAAAATTTTTTTTTTTGGCAGAACTGCTTCAGTCTACCGACCGCCTCCTGTTACCTACTACTCTGGCGACTTTAGCTTATGGGGCGTCTCCCATTACCGGTCCTACGAAGTTTTTCCCACGGCTTCTCCAGGGCCGGATACTGTACAGGAATTGTTTGAGACGGGAGCGCTTGTTCGGCTGAGGTATCTGCTTGCCACCGCCTGTAGCGAGAAAAACACCGTTTCTGTCTTAAAACTTCTCATTCTCTTTTCCCGGCACTCCAAAGAGGTTTTCTTTTTTTTTTCTTTTTTCTTTTTATCTGGTAACTCTGCGGAGCCTCAATAGGTGTCTTTGCAGATTTTCGAATGCCCCTATTTGCTGGAAAGTTTATTTGAAAACCGCTTTGTGGCGTCGGACGACTGCAACGATGGCCACATTCTTGCTCTTCGAGTATATAAACCACCCCCCCCCCTCAATTTTTATAATAATAATACTCCCTCGAAGCTTTTTTCCATATGGTGCCAGTCCAGTCGCAAACTCGCTAAGAAGCTGCTTTGTTTTCCGGAGGTGTTGAGCTTTGCTACCCGTTTTGCATTGCGTGGGAACTTGCATGCCGGTGTTTGACTTTTGTGAAGCCTTTTATTTCTGTTTACGGAGAATATATAAGAGAACGATGCCTACTTGCGAGCCAGCATTGAAGGGCTGCATCTCTTCCGCATACTGCTTGCATACGGTTTCCAGCGGGATCACTTCTTAAGTTGTTCTTCGCTGTTACGTGAACAACTTGAACGCCTTGTCCCTCTGCTCGCCACCACCGCGATAGCCGCAGATTTCCTTATTTTAACAAGAGGCTCTTCTTTGCTGTGTATACTGGAATCCTTGCTGCACACTTCGCCGGCTGCTGATTCTGTTCTGACTGCGGACTTTTTTCCACTGCTTCAAGAATTGCTTCGTAGTGTAGAATGGCTCTTTAGTTTACCAGTCGAAGCAGCCGTTTCCTGCGAGTTCATTGACTTCGTTTCCACTCTCATAAGAACGTTGACTTGTCTTTCCGTCAGCAACCGTCTAGTATTATGCTTTGTATCTGAACTCTCCTTATCCGTTCTGGTGAAGAGCACTTTGGTAAACTTGCACTCTACTGTACTAGCAAAGTCGTCCAGAAAGAGCACTATCGTTCTTTCCGGAGACTTCAGCCAATGTCCTGACGTCTTTTTGGAGTTGTCTTCGAGAGTGTTCTGTCAGTTCGAAGAGGAATACAAGTTGTTAAACCAGAACGAAGCCGCCAGTACTTGCCTTATTAACTTTTTACTAAGTTTTGTTCGTGCCATGCGGTAAGCCTGACGGCTCCTCCAGTTACGCTGCCTCATTTTGGCCTTCCCAGCGCTTCTGGCTCCGTCGAACCAGCACACTCCTTATTTGTTCCCTTTATGCTGAAGCATCTTTCTCCGGGCTCCACGCTTCTGCCGCCTGCTCTTATTTCTGGTCATCAGCAATTGACTAGAATCAGAAATCTTTTTGACTATGAACTTCTCTGTCTTATTCACACTCGCGCGGAGTGGCTTGAAGAGAAAGGTTGACTGTAGCACTAAAGTCGATAGGCCGCTTTTCCTTTATAGTTCTTTTGGAAGCACATCGACGCTGTGTATATCGCCACGCTCTTTTTCTGCTATCGCGGTTGCTTCCCGGGTTCGAGTGGGAAGCCGAGACACTTCTGACCACCATCGTACTATCGCCGGAGTATCTGCTTAGTCTGGCGGAGTTATTTTTAAACAGTCTGTCAATTCCTCTGCCCACCCCACTAATCTCTATTTTCTCCAGTTCTCCGAAAACCAACGGAGGCTTTTTAGAAGAACTTTCCCTTGAAGAGTTTACTGCCATTTTTACAGACACTGAAAGGCTTCTTGAATCCAAAAATCGAGCTTTACACCGAAGCGAACAACTGACGAGCCTGTATCTTCCCTCGCTTCCATTTTCAGCACGAGGGTTCTTTCTCCCTCCATTTTCCCACATCTGCGGACCCCTCTTATTTGCTGCTTCTAGTCTACCTCTTCCACTAGATTGGTTTTTCCGTCCTGTCGTTGAGTTGTACGAGACCTTTTCAGCTTTACAAAGCAGAGGTGATATGTAAGCCTTGTTATTTCTACTAGAAATGGCATTATCCTTTACAGGCGAAAAGTTTTACAAAGTTCATGAGGAACGCGTTGTTGCTCGGCTTAAGAGAGTTCTTACCTTCATATACACACTCGAACGCATAACAAAAGGACTGGAATCACCCTTTACACCAGGCACGTTCGCAGTTCTCTCCGACAACGGGAACGGTCTGGTGTCATTGTTTGGCAGGGACAAAGTTAACGAGGCTTATGACAGTCTTTTTAATGACGCCGGACATTTTCCGCGATGCTTCCATTTATAACACGACGAAAGATCTCTTTGAGTTGTACGTTCACCAGCAAGGCGAAGTTGACTTGGTATCCGCCCCGGGGGTGCTCTTTTACGATTTATACCGGGACTTTGTGCACCAGGTAGCGTTCTTCTTGCTCATCATCGCCCTTGCAGCCTCTTGTCGTTGGCTATTAGTATTCAAGCGCATCCTACGGAGACCTTCTTTTCCAGAAGTTTCTTCTGCTTGGGCAGCAGCAAAGCCTTAAATACAAAAAAATGAGGTGTGCACTTTTATTTTAGAAGCTGATAAGTAGTAATAAATAGTAAAGGTCTCTATTGTGGTCCGAATGTTATGAAGTGCTAAACACCATTTCCTGTTCAATCGAGGAGTGGCCTCTTCCTATAGACGAATATTACTTATATCCTTTGGAGCTCGACCACCAGCAAGTTTACTTGTACTACTGCGCATTGAGTGGTGGTAGGAAGCCACTGCTGTCGATCTCTTTGATATGCGCGTGCCTTATTGACTACCTATCGCAGGGCTTGTGGATAAGCGCAAGGCGCCTATTCTCTACTGGATAGCGGTGCACCACGTGTCCAACTTCATATTTGAATACGATGTATGTCTTACCGCACAAACGCTTGATGAAGAGGAGCGCAGGAAGCGCGTAGAGCTGCACAGGGTCACGGCCGCAAAAATTATAATGTTATTGATTAAGAGGCCTAAGGGCCAGGCCAATCAGGTGCCGGGGAAGCTATTAAAATCACATGCTCGCTTATTTTGGCTAACCTATTTACTTGTAGAGCCTCGCTAACGACGTTTTTTCATATATATACGCTAAGGGAAGATTTCCCCCCCCTCCGCTGCTGCCTGTACTTCCGCAAAGACGGAAAATTATCCACTATTTTATGGAACAAAGCGAGCAATAGAATGAAAATATGTTCACTTTTATTGTGACGCTCTTCTTTACTTTTTGAAGGTCGCATTCAGTAGATTAAGTGCTGCATATCGTCTTTGATGGTTTTAAAAATCTTCTTAAATTCAAAACCGTCGCCCTTTGGTGAAATGCAAATATCAGCAACAATAAAGTGATTTTAAAGAAAGATTAAAACTTTAAGGCGTTTAAAGTGGATGACGTGGAATGTGTCATTCAAACGGTGGAGCTGGACAGTAAACACCAGTAGAGCTTTGCGGGCCCCAAACGTTTGAGCTTTGATCTACAGGCAAAAGGATGACTGCGAGGCTATAAGTCCTTTAGCGGGTAGGCGTGTTACCATCATGGCCTCGTCATTGCTTTTGTACTTATAAGATTCTGTGCTTAGTACTGAGAAGAATCAACTGCTGCAAATTAAGAACGTAAAATAAACCTACTATTTTTGAGAAGCGTAAAGATCTTCTCAGGATCTTCAGTGGAAAGAAAGCGCGTCATCCGCAGAACGAGTTGTGATATCCTCGCTGACTATCCTCGTATTCGAGTATCAATTTGGGAAAAAAATAAAAAGTCCGCAGTGCTCACCTGAGAGTATTGCGGGGAGATTAGATTCTGACTGACAAACATATCCTCCGGTTGAGTGGGTTGTGTAAAGTTTTGCCGGCCCGCATCGCTGGTAACTCCGCTTCTCTCTCCAACTGGCTGTGTGCAAAACTAGAACAACGTTCTTCTGTGTAAGAGGCTCTTGAGACTCGCGTTATGCGCATAGACTTTACTTGACTCAACAGCGATCCCTCTAAGAGGACGGTTTCCGTTCTCGCGCTGGTAATAAAAAGGAAATATCGATATTGCTCAGCAAAAAAAAACGGATTAAGCAAAGTTACCCGTCAGTCAAACAAGTGCTCTCGTTGCTTCTTGTGCGGAGTCGTTTTGAACAGTACTGCTCGGGCAAAACGTCCTCCGCGAACTTAATGAAGTCTTCTTCTTTGGTTTGATCACTTAATAGGCAAAACAGTGTAGTGGAAGATAACTTACCGCCAGCCGTGAAATCAATCAACCGATTGAATCTATTGTAGAAAATTACCCCAGAAAAGAAACGAGCGGAAGTGAAAAGAAATAACCGTAGAAACCAACTGTTCCCCTCTATTCCGCTTAAGGTGAGACGGTTTTGCGGTGAAACGCATAAAAGCTTTAATAAAAGTTCTTTTGAAAGCTAAATATAGAAAAAAGTAGGTGCGTGTACTAAATAATTGCAACTTTTGGGTTCGCTATTCATAAATATCCAGGGCGGCCGAATTACTTCTTGATTTTCCCAATTAGAAAATTCACGGCACTCAACGGACGGAACATCCCACGGCAAACCTGAAATAGTTATTACAATCTAAATAATTAGGAAGCTTCCAACAGCGCCTACGTCCGGTCAGCAACGCAGTCAGTACAATACCGCAAGACCAAAGATCCGCCGGCTCGGCAGCATAGGAACTTCCGCAGTAAACCTGCAAAGTTTAGAGAGAGTAAGTCATAGAAGAACCAGTACATTTTTTTACTTCCGGGGCGATGTACTGAAATGTGCCGCATTTAGTCTCCAGAAGTCGTTCTCTTCCTTTATACCGAAAAAAAGTGGCTAACCCGAAATCGCCTAGTTTTAAGTTGTCTGAGTTGAAATTTATGTAATTAAAAAAAGTGTAGAGGTGCAATATTCTGCAAATAAAAATTACTATTTTGGTCAAGAAAAAGATTTTCCGGTTTTATATCTCTATGCGCGATACCCAGTTTGTGAAGATACTTCTAAAAGGAAGCCATATTTTATATAAACATAACACCCGAATACAACCGGAAAATTACAGAAAACCACTGCAGAAATAAGCTGACGAAAGTAAAAATGAGCAAAATCTTCTTCTATACCGACATCAGGTTCTGTAATTGTATAAACAATCGAAAACCAACTTGTAATTTTTATATAAGGCATACCTATTATGTCAAAAAGTTCACCGTTAGGGGCATATTCTAATATAAGAAACCAATACTTTAAATCTTCAGATCGCATAAAACTTTGCAGCTTTATAATATTAGGATGCTCTACAGATTTGTGCGTCATTATCTATTAAGCAGATCAAAACTTTCGTAGAACTAGAAAGTATAAATAGCTTTTTCCGTACTTCCTTTTTAATTACTAGTTCCTCCACTCTTTGAGTATCGAATATTTTAACAGCGACTGCTTTTAAAGATTTTTTTTTAACGCCTAATTTAACGCTTAGAGTAAAAAAAATTTAGTTCATATAAAAAATAATAAAAAAAGGAACATAAAGCCCATAACTATGGACGGCAACTGTTTTTTCACCTTGCAAAAGACCCGGACCCTATTGTATACAACAAGTTGTACCCTGGAAGCTCCACTGTCATATCACTAGTAAAGTAAGGAAATAGTTCTAAAAAGTTTACTACTTTACACTTAAGTTTGATTGTATTTTATATTTAGTAACAAGGATAAGTATTACATCTTGCTTTCCAGTTGAAGCAAAGTTAATATGTCTTCTAAAAATATTTTGTAGACTTACTAAGATCATAAAGTCGCACCGCTTTTAACGTTGTATGTCGACTTTAAATTTCGAAACCATTCAACATTTCTCTGTTTTTATGTATTTACGTTATTATAAAACGGAAAGCACGATAACAAATATGCAAATAGTCATGCCGAAAACGAGGGTTGCGGTATTGGGGGGCCAGATTTATATAAATATTATAAAAACCTTAATTACTTGCAAAAATTACAATAGTAATCACTTAAGCTTTTAGTGATTCTTTATTAACGAAAAATGAGATGAATGAAATAATAATTGTTATGAACACACAAAATTAAAGCTATTTTAATAAATTAAACTATTTCAAGCTATACTCAAATTGTAATTTTTGAATATTTATACAATAAAATATGGAAGAATTTACATTAGACCGGCTATACTAATTTTTTGAAGGGGAAAACTGTGTACAACCTTACATATATTAAAAAACTTAATTTTAATTTTAAACTATAATAACAAAATAATTTTATATGTCCTGCAAACGAAAATATAAGCAATTATATTTACTTATCAACTTTATTAGTCAAACTGCTGAGTATAAGGCAATAATCTACACTCAAAACGCAACCCCCGCAATATATTTTCCATTTGTAATAATAAAATATATTTTGAAAGGTACTTACTCGTTTACGTACCATTTAGAAGTGTCTCTTGCGAATTTTGTTCATTCTCTAAAATGTTTTAGAAATAAAAGTTATGGTAACAAGTTAAGCAACAACATTAAAATTTGCAAGTGTACGTTTAATTAATTAAATATTAATGTATGTATAAGCTCTTACCAAGGGCTGGAACAGATTTTTTTTGGGTATTAATTTTTATAGAAATACCTCTAGATTATATGAGATGGGTAAGTAAATCTTAGCGGACATTTAAAATGGTCGGTTTAGGCGACATTGCATGCTTAACTTGAGAACACACTAAAAAAGAGGGAAAACCGATGAAAAGATAACTAGATTGCTACTAGATTGGTACAACATTAACTACAGTATAATATACAAAATTTTCTGTAGAAAAACCGACAATCATGACTAAATAGTCACATATTCAAATGTGCTTAGTTTTATCCTCGATTCCTTAGTTAATAGTTTAGTAGAATAAACGTTTAATATCATATTAGATGACTCTGAAGTTATCTAAAGTAGCGCATTAAACATTATCTTTTACGTCTTTTATTTGAGCAGCTCAAATCTCCATTAAGATTTGAAGTAGATTTAAATCGTTTAAAATAATAATTTATTATAATAACTAAAAATTTATAGGGTGTGTAGGGTAACATTATATTTCTTAAGCTAATATTTGTACATGTATGTGTCATTTTAGATTAGGGATGGCCTTGATTTCGACAGGCTTAAAAAAATGCTCTAAATGACAAGCGCCAAATAATTAGTATATGATCTATTTTTATTAATATTACACTTCATAAATAATTTATTTTTCTAAAAGTTCTAGAAAATTATTAATTCTTCTTCTTCAGCTAATGAACAAAGTTTAAAAATTTTGCATTGGTGTTTGTGGCATCACACACTATTGTTGTTACTTTGGTGCCTAAAGTATGTAACACTTATCCTTAGGATTAAACTACTCTAATTCCGAGGTTGACTATAGAGTAATATTATATTTACCCGAAATAAGGTTACTAGTTAAAATTATTTGTAAAAGGGAAAGCCTAAGAAGCACAGCTCCTTAGGTCATCAAGGATAAGAATGAATTTTGTAATTGATTCCAATTTTGCAAAAATATTCTACTTAAATAAAACCCTAGAAGTTGGTGATAATGACTTTGAACTACCGTGAAGTGAACTAAAAATAAAGGGAAACAAAGTATTGTGTTAGTTGTGTTTTCAGTTAATGAATTATAATAATGTTTGTCACTTTCTGTTTCTAAGACTGTAATCTGTAAAATCAGAGTATAGTAATAATTTGGTCATTACTAAAAATTTATTAATAATTGTTTTATTATAAAATAAACAATTCTGTATTTTTATCCAAGGCAAATTTTTTGAGGTTATGCTCGCGATAGATAATAAATTTCCGCTAATTTTAATCTTATTTAAGAGTTTCGATTTTAATCACAGGTTTCATAAATAATTTTAATTATACACTAGATGGAAAGCAAACTTTTTTATACGCTGAAGAGAGAGCCTCACAGAAACTATTTTTACTTTTACGAAAAATAGGTCATTTTCAAGTGAGTAAAATGCAAAGCTTTGAGTTCACTAAAAGTTTTCTTGTTACCTAACCTGATCTTTTTCTACTATGCTCTGTTAGAATATCTGGTCTTCTTGTGCTCCGACTACATATTATATTTCCATACATCATCAAGGGGCCATAAAAATATAATTAATGAAAATGGCGAAAGATTTATAAGTTAAAAAAAATTAAAAAAAAAGGCAAAGGATCTCTATGGCTGTTTAAAGTTCACATCTCCTTGTCTGACGCTATTACATATAATATCACCCCACCTAACCATTGATTGAAGTGAACAGGTTTTTGTAAATTTTTCATTTCTAAATTTTGCATAACCTACACGTATTCTTAATTACAATAAAATATAATTTTGCTTTGCAACTTTACAATGACGAAGAAGAAAGAGTTCATAGTTAATGCCAACCAAAAAGGATTACAGTATATGTATAGAAAACTAAACAAGTTTAATGTTGCTAATATAACTACGTTTAGTTTAGCGTTGTGGTGTTTACATCGCACAATATATTATTAACCCTTGCGCATTTTTAAAGGATCAATTTTTTAGGAGTGATTGCACTTGAAAATTTAAAAACTCTCACCTCTTATCACGTACTGATTCATTAGCGCTACCTTTAATCGCAAGAACCATGCACAAAGAGCAAGAAATTAACAAAATTAAAGACCAACACCAAAAAAAGTTCTTTTAATTTATTTATTTTTTTATAATTGGCGTTTCTTGGTGCTCGATCGATTTACACCTTCCAATATACAAGTTCTCAAACAGTTTTGGTCGTCTGGTACTACTAGTAAAATTATTGTCTTTGATGTGTCCCTCTACATTCAATTTAGACTCCTAACTTAGCTTTTAACCGTCATGATAAGAGTATGTCTCGCGGATGGCGTTATTGTGCGTCCCCTCTCACAACTTGTAATTGAGTTCTTCCCCTAAAAGACGATTAGCTTGTCCAGCTCTTCCGTTCGTAGAAGGCGACGGCTTCATTATTAAAAATTGTGGTCAGCAGCCCGATACGTAGCACGTGTAAAGTGTATCATGTGCATAAACCACTGCGCTTTTTTTTAAAGGAGTTTGTTTTGTCACACTTAAAGCGAGGACATTATAGATGATAAGTTGTAGACCCAGGCAGGAGATGCACGTCATAATCGGCCGAATGAACAGCACATAATCCTTCTTTTATTGCGCAATAAAAATTTACTTTTGGTGCACAACAGAGGATTTAGCATCTGGATTGCCGCCACGATAGCTTAGAATCTATAATGACCCCAGGCATTTTACCTGAGAAGACCACGGAAATTTCATGTCGTTAAAAGTAAACGGAGTCGGCAGCCACGGCCCTCCTTCGGTATAAGAAGCGCCTTGCTTTTTGCTGCGTTATTGGAGAGGTCCATTGACAACACCAACTAGCAAGCGCGATGAAATGAAATTGTAAGTGCGGACATGGAAAAACGGGTGACCTTGATAGTGAATAGATCAACGTATCATCGCCGTAAATGGCGACCCGCGTGTGAGGGTGGAAAGGTAGAGGAATATCGCTCGATAGAGCGCGAATAGCAGCGGTGATAGAAGACGAGCCTTACGGGACTCCCGCTGTAAGATAGCGAGACGAAGACAGTGCAGCACCTCCTCGCACGTTGAACACCCGGCCGTTTAGGTAAGATTGAGAATTCTCGAAGGCTGTGTAATGTCGCCAAAGCACGTACCTTTTAACGAACCAACATGCCATACTCGGTCAAAAGCTTTAACATTGGGAAAGACAGCGCCGGTAACTTTTTTATAATTAAAGGCTTTGGTGGCCCACTAGGTTAGGCGACGAATTTTTTGGGTAGTTGAATGTCCCTTGCGAAATTCAACTTAAAATTCTGGTAATATTCCACGAGCGACCACAACGGCCTCAAATGATTAAGTATCACCTCTTCAGCTAGCTTACCAACTATCGGCAAAAGGCTGATGAAATCTATAGTGATGAGGCTCTGATGCCAGTGGCGAAGTCTTTGGTAACATCACGACTACCGCTATTTTTCCATCACCCGGGAAAATAGCCAAAGGTCAACACCGAGTTGAGGAATGTATAGATAAGTAATAACAGATTCTGGAAACTGATTTAATAACAGGTTAGGAATGCCCTCAGGGCCGGGAGCCTTTTCACTTTGGGAGTAATCTGATGATTATAGAATGGCAATTGATATAATGTCAAATGTGGTAGACAGCTTTAAAAAAAAAGTTGTATTAGTCAAGAGAAGATTACTCACAAGGGGAGCGTTATCAACGGTTGAGTGGATAGACGGCGAACACAAGGCAGCTAGATGACCAGCGAAAAATATCACTTTATCTTCATCGCTTTCGGCTATGGTATCTCCCTTCGAATAGGTGGCCGAGTCGAATGCCCGTGCTTTTAACTCTCTTCACAACTTTTCGTGAAGAGTCGCGACCGATGTTACCAGCTTCCGATACTTCGTTAATTCGTTATATAATTGGCAGTTTATGTATGCCATTAGCTTTTCCTGGTGTTCCGGTAAAGGCGGTTTAGCACCAGTTTGTCTTCAGCGCGTTGGAGGCCATGAGTACCCGGATGGGCCGCCGACGCTCGCATATTAATGCCTATAGTTCCTCAAAAAGGCGTTTAGGGCGGTACAGAACTTCACTTTTCGTTACTTCTTGACTATGAGCTTCTGTTACCGCTCGCTCAAATACGACAACAGCACTGTTTAGTTTAACGGGTGTCTAGAGTGGTGTCGTAAAAGGTAAGAGGGCCTTCTCGAGCAGCTCGGTAATTTATTCCACCTCGTGTAAGATCGGGGAAATGTTCATCCGACCAAAATTCATTCAGTGCTTCGGTAGCCGTCGGAATGCATATATTTTTTAACACTGTATAATCCAATACGTTCAATTGGGCTGTTTTTCTCGCCTTGTGTGTTGGCAACTGTGGTTCTAGGACTCTTACCCGCGTCATCAGCGTAAGCCTCAAGGATGTACCCGTTTCTATATGCAATTCTGCTGTTCTACGCAAAATGGTATCATTTAAAATCCACTTATAGAATGGACAGATAATCATACACTAGAAGAGTGTCAAGATCGAACAACGTGAACGGTTGGCTGGGTGGTTTATAGATTGCCACCACAGTGATGGTCCCCTGTCTAACCAGGTTAGGGGGAGCACAAACTGCCTCGATTCCTTGCAGAACTGGTAATGCTATTAAGTGGTGTTGGAGCTACTCCTCCACCATTTGTTTACAAACGGTCCAGGAGATGCGTCGCACAGTTGCAACTGTTAGATGGTACATTGGTAGAGAGCTATGCTTTGCTGACCAGGTATCCATTCTTTCACGTTGCACTAACTCCTGCAAAGTGTTTTTTTTAGACGCTCGACGTGCTCCAAAACTGTAATCGGATGTGATTCAAGCATTTGAAATTTAAAAGCCACTGCAAACATATTCGAAGCCTTTCACAGTCTCGAGCATAGTTAACAGATTCGTCGTCAAAATAGCTATTAGCTTTGTTAGAGTCAGTCACGATCGCTGTTTTTGTTGTTGAGTAACTGAGTCAGTATTATCAATACACAGGAGGCGCTTCTGCGGTCTCGCTCTCAGATGGGAAGCGTGAGATATAGTTTGGTAATGGTAGCATCCGGAGCGGTATTCGCATGTCCCGTAGATTGGTTGGCAGTTGAAAGCCTCCGCGGGTAACATTTGCAGCCTGGTAGTTGGCGGTATATACCTCTTCACAGTTTGCACATCCAGCAGGTGAGTCTCGTGTTTTGATACACTCCGCGATCAAAAGACCACCACATATTCAAGCGTCGAGGTACCGCAGCGCGGTCAAAGGGCTGGCAGCGCTGGCGCTGGCCAACGCAATCGCTTTTTTGTAGTTCTTCTACTTTGAACTAAAGATGGGCATAGCCTCTATCTCTAACAGCTTTTGTCATTCCATTCTGGGTATATGCAACAGCACCACTGGTAACGAACTCTTCTCCCACTCACAATGAGAGCGTTCTCCGTGTCCATTCGTGCCCTTGGAGGGGTGTGATGCCTTCCGTGCCCAGGTCCGTCTCGACGGTGGGTATGTCGAGTTTACGTTAAAAAATTTCACGTATAGCAAATTTGAAAGGATTGTCTTCAGGTAATTTTGATAGGTGGAATATTGTAATTCTTGCTTGCGCATTATTGCTGTAATAGCGCGGTGTTCTTCAGCTGTTTTATAAATATTTTAATTCCAAGATGCGTATTTGACCTTGGGAACGAGGTGCCGTTGGATTTTTTAAGAGTTGTACAAGAAGGCGCCACTTTGTTTTACACAAAGGGTAATAGGAGGGATTTTCTCTTTACGAATTCTCAGGGAGGGTGCGCAGTAGATGACCGGTCATTAAAAATAGGGCCAGTGTCAGACACGCTGCCCATCTCATATGTCAACGTCGTGTAAAGCTCTTAAGGGCTTCTCTGAGCCTATGATGACTTTCAAGTTGTCGTTACTCTTATTGGAGCTATTGTTTTTTCTATAAGGATTATACTTAATATCAATATCACTACTAATACTATTATTTTTAGTACTATATATATTATTTTTACTATTACCGTTGTTGCTAACGGTTATATTAATATTAATAACGCTATATGGGAACTATTATTCATAAGGTTAATGCTACTACAATTATTCTTAATATTAGCTATTTCACCGTGACTAGACTCGTCTTTAGAAACCTTTTGAGACTGGCTAACTTCTAGTATCACTTCAGAAGCACTGGTTAATCTAAATTTGTAAGGTCTAAATATATTATTACTGTTAGTTACACTATCAAAAGGCTCCTTTCGCCTTTTGGACTTATTTTTGCCTTAAGTAATTTTAGTAACTTCCATAAGTTTTGCCTTTGTAGAATATTACTCATTTCTGAGTTCCTAATTTATGGCCAATAATTTAGCAATGAATGCTTGAAGCTCTCAGAGGAGAGACTCATAATTAATATGAAAATAAAAATATATAATTTTAAAAAGATATAGAAATTGAAAAAGGAATAAAGAAAATAAATATGTATATAAGTTTTGTAATATAAAGGCGGTAGCAATAATTTACGTAGTTTAAGCTTTCTATAATGTATAAGTATTTTTCAAATAAAGCGCTATGAATTTTCGCTTATTTTATGTAAAAAGTAGAGTGCGCAGGCTATATCCACAGAAGAACAAAAAAAAGTTCTGAAGGCCTTTTTTTTTATAAATAATTACTGCCTTCTGCACTTTTATATCCAACGTTTACTATATATGTCTATTACACACCATGGCAGAAAAAATTTCTCGCCGGCTGCTTATATTCAAGTATATTTCGCAAATGTTAATAGGTTCTGCTTGTATAACCTCGGAACAGATATTTTAAAATTATTTTTATAAAATTCTACAAACTTCAGTCAAGTAATGGATTTAAGCAAAATATTGAAAGATACGTTATTTTAATCAACGAACTAAAAAGCATTGTAGGAGAAAGAAATATTAGCTGCAATAGTAGGCCTTTGACAGGGTAGCGCTTGATCTTTGGAGTAATAAACCTATACCAAAATGGTAGCGACGTTTAACTTTAATAAAGTAAATACCATTTACTTCTTTAATTATTAACTTTAAAATGGTCCTTATTATACATCAAAATCTGAAACCCATTTTTAAAAAGTATAGTCTCAGCTAAAACATAGACCAAATCCTCCAAGCATATGGAACTTTTCAACGCGCCGTCGCGGTATAATTTAAATATATCTAGCTTCATCAGGTTTGCGTAAAGTGCAAACCCAACACTTCTCAATGAGGCTATGTTCGAATTGTCCTCGCTGTCTAAACATTTTTAAAATGATTTTGTTAGAGCAGGTGAAATGAAATGATAAGTGAAGGCGTTGAGAGACCGACATAAAAGGCCTTAACATATGTGCTTGGTAAACTTGCTCGTCATGTGCTCACATTGACTGTTATGTGTCCTTTGGAGTTTTCTCCGCCTGAACTGTTTGCATACGAATATGAAGCTAGAGGAGTGGCTTTAAGCCTAAAAGTACTCTTTCAGAATGCGGCCGCAACTTTGAAAAAGGTTTTAGATTACAAAATTTCATAAATAGTTGATTATTTAAAGATTAAACATTATAATTTTAGTTTTATTTCTCTTTAATAAAACACTGTACTCTTTAAATATTTGAGATTTAAATTACCGCATATTGCCTGTAAGATAGAATAGACTATATAGCCAGCAAGGTTGTTTCACTACATATTCTCATTTATATACTAGGCTAAAGAAAGAACAATCTCCTCAAGGTTATAGTGCTGCAAGCTTATTGTTTAATCTTTCTCATTGTATAGTTATGCTTATAAATAGTGGTGCTATGTTGTTAGAAGCTATTCAGTATTTAGCTTTTCCCTCTGCTATTGAGACAAGGTAGATTTATAACCCTTTCTTAAAATTAATATTTCTAAAGCTTCCTTGAGCCTTGAAGAATTCCAACATTGTTGTGATAAGCTTACTTTTGAACTAAATAGTTTAAAAGGTTAGCGAAAATGTCCAAGATTATTATTCATATTCTTCTACTATGTTATTAATATTATGCAGAATTGTTAGAGGCAGAAGAACTACTTACACTTAGTTTTGCTAATACCGGATTTGAAAATAGTTTTTTTGAGTCAACAGAAAGTGTTAATTTTTTCAAGAGCGAAGCTCAAGAGATACTTCAGTTGACTGAATACTTGAAATTTCAGATTAATAGTTTTATAAAAAACATTGATCAAAAACTTGAATAAATTTATTTTTCGTTATTTTGTGGAGTTTTAATCTGATTAGTTAAAGGTCGAGGTAACACCAGAAACAAAACAGCTTGGTTACTTACACTTTTTTTTTTGATTTACATTTAAGTTGTTATAAGAAATCTAATGATATTTTTCGTTAATTAAATACTTACTGACGTAATTTGTTTGTACTCGTTTTATTGCGAGCGCACCGAAAAACAGAAGAGCAGTAACGTTATTCCTATCAGAACAAGTATTGGCGCAAGTATTTAACGACCTTCTGTAAGTTTTAGTTTTTTAAGGCCTTACAGCTTAGATAAACTAAATTAACAGTCCACCTAGAATTTAAGTAAAGTTAGTAAAGTTAGTTTTTGCTTTTGTCGTTTACCCTGAAATGGAGATAAATTTGTTTAAATTATACACCCCTATTTGTTCGTAATTATATGATTTCTTGTTTATGCTATCATTGCGGCACTCTTTCGCTTCTACATTGTTCTTTTAGGTTTATGTTTGGAAAAATATTTTCTAAAACTAAATTTTAATTATTTGCTTTGTTGTCCATAATGAACTTATTAAATCTTGAGTTTTTTTAATTAGAACCATTTAAACAGCAAACTAATCTTTCAAGTATACGTTTAAAATATTGTTCGAGAGTCTGCTTAATAACTCTCTACCCGTTTTTTTTTTTAAACTTATTGAGCTTTACTTTAGGGTCTTTACAAGAAAGCGTGCGTGGTGAGCATAATGCTACGCGAAACTTTAAAGTTTTTATATAAATAGCAAAACCTTTTTAACACACTAAACTTGCAAAAGATTATTAGTTTTATAGAAACACGGCGACGTACGAACTTCTTAGAAACATATATAGTTAAGTACTAACTTATTAGTCAACATTGTTATTGCTTTAATTAGGGGCTTTTAGGAAATAAAACCTCTGAGATGCCATTAATAAAATGTGGGAACCTAATAACTAACAGACGAACACAGTATAAAAGAGAGACTTCGAAAGGTCTTAGGCCCAGTGTCCGCGGCCGCCTCAGCTAGTAATTTTTAGCCATCTTCTACACGTGACCCGAGTGGCGGCAGCATGAATCCGACTTTTCCCACCTTTTTTCTGTTCTTCGGGACAGTCATTATTCTCATTAGAAGAATATACTGTTGGGCGTACATGCCCTAACTCCCTTTAAGGAAGGGACTACAGGGTTACGCGGTTTAAAGTCTTCCAAAGACCTACCGTCGCCAGCTAGTACTTAAAAATAAGTAGACAGATATGCATCTTTTTGTAAGGCCTACTTTATTTAGCGATTTTTATTATAACTGTATCTGCTTGTTAAAGTTAATGTTTTCTTAAAAGGAGAAATAAAAATTAAAACATAAAGTTATTATAAATAATTTTCAAATAAATATAGCTAGGGTTTACTAAGTCATCAATATTTTGACAACCGTCCCATCAGTACATGGACCTCTTCTCGGACTATAATTCAAGTCTAATGGAGCTTGATTATATATTTAACCCCACTAATGGGCGCATTTCATTTCATGCGCATTGACATGTTGCATGACCACTGGATCTGTGACGACTTTAGTCTATTAGTATTATGTTATGGGGGTTGTACGCGTAACTAGACCAGAAAACTGCGAGTTGGCACCGGCGAGAACCGAAACCACGGCCTTGAGATTGCCCGGCAACGCTCTAACCATTGAGCTACGATGACAACCCATATCTTTGGCCGATAAATTACGTATGACTTTTGTTACAATCTTTAACTGAACTGCAGCAACTGTTTTTATTGAAAGTGATGGTAAGCACCAAATTACTAGCGAAACCCTGCATAGACGCACACTTACTGTAAGCCTCTACATACATACACACGTATATGTATATATAAGATGGTGAAATAACTTGCGAAAACTGAATAAGAACTTTGCGTGCCCATAACTAAATATTAAAATTAAACGAAAAAAACCGGTACCCGAGGGCTGAAAAGAGACTTCACGAACACTAGAAATGCATCCTTTGATATAACCACAACTAAACCTTTTCTACTTTTCAGTATTCTTGTAAGCATTTATTTAATGCTACCATTTGGGTAAGGCGTTTACTAATAATCCAAAAAAAGTCATAACTGTTTAATACATTTAGTCTATGCATCAACTGGTTAACTTATCTAGTAAAATAAAACATGCAAGAGACCTTGCCAGAATTTTCAAAGTTAAAGAGAAAATTAACGTTAAATTTCGCATTCCTATAGGTTAACATAAGTTTATTATCACTAAAAAGTAAACTTAATAATAATTTCTCAAAACTTACTATAAAAAGTTAGCTTTAATCTTTCTAAAAAATAATCCACCACGCTTAATATCATCTAAACCAAATATCCTCCTTATAGCTTCTGAACTGGTTTAAGGGAGACAGTAAAATATTTTTAACTACAAGAAACCTGTTTTTAAACATTTGTTATAACGAACTGATGTTTAGTCAAATTCACTGAAACATAACATATACCTGTTTTATAGTAACCAATCAGGATTTTGTTAAAATTTTGTGAAAACCAATTACAAAAAAAAGGGTCTTAAACAAAAGTTACTATAAGTAGTAAAAAAATTTATCGCAGTTATAATAAACCCAATAGCATTACACTATTAGGCCACACAGCTAGTCTTTTTTAAGAACCTATTTGATACTTTTTTTCAACAACATATATATATAATTGGATCTAGATAAGGTTGCCAAATAAAGGAGCTCTGAGTTATCTACTGGTATGCCATCCAAGTTTTTACTAAAAAAGTTACTTCCTATTAAAGTGATGTTTTAATGGTAATATGACCTTTCACGTTCGAAAAATGTCGAGCTCTGATTTGTTGCTGACATTGGTCGAAGAAGACATCTAATTTCGTGTATTCGAGTAGTTAACACGGGCTGTGGCTTTCATTTTTTTAATATTCGCACAAGGATGATCGAAGTCTGCACAAAATTATTTTTAATTTAAAATTACAGCATGCTTAACGGCAACGACTCTGAGGAGTATGACAAACTTGTTGCGCATTGTGCTGAGGTACATCGTTAAAATTCACCTACTAATCTTTTCAGGTTATAACATCGTTTATTTTATTTACATGCATAAGGGAATGACTGAAGATGAAAAAATTATCTTCATTAATAAGATGCAGGATATGCGCACAGAGTTGCTCCAGGAACAATCAGAACTTGAGAGACAGGTTTTTGTTGGGCTTTATTTTTTTAAACTCTCTTACTTAACTTCTCGAGTAAGTAGAATTTATCTTTTGGTTTTCCGCAAGAAACTGGTACAACTGACCAACCTAAGAAAATAATTGTTGGTTCGGCTTTAACCAAGTTCTTCTTTATTTTAAAAGTGACGGAGTAGGGGCTGAAGCACTGCACGTTTGCCATATTTTTTAATAGGGATTTAGGTTCAAGCAGTGCAAATCAACGAGTATGCAACAAACAAAACTTAATTCCCACTGTTTCTAATAAAAGTTTTGTTCCTTTAGCCAAAGTTAATAAAGTAAAACAATTTTATAGTACTTTAGTTATGTAAGCTACTGTTTTTCCTAAAGAACTTAGAAAACGAAAGTATCAACTTAATTTATTTAGAAGATGAAAGAGCTACTATTCAAGAATATATAGAGAAGACCGAAATTCTAAAGAAAGAAAATGCTGAATTAAGACAAAAACTTGTAAACCAAGAATTAGTTATGTTCTAAAAAGTATTAGGTTTAACGTTTATTTATGTTAGAATGTTTTACGTGGACAGCTTAATAACTCCGCTTTAGAAAACCAGAAGTATAGCGAACTCGTACTAACTTAATTAATTTCTGAAACCTTTCTTAACTTTAATTTGAAGGCAGTTCAGTACCAGCATTTGGATACCGCTTATCGCAGGGTTTTGTCCGACCTACATCTTGAAAAAGAAAAGTCTTCTTTCTACGAAAGAAAATATTATAAGGAACTTGGTATGCTATTATATTAAGAGTTTAAGTTTTTTATTAAATCATTCTAACAGGGATGAAAGCAATTACTAAGCTTCCTTCTAAAGGCTTGTTGAAAAGAGATAACTTTTACTCGAAAGATCGTCGAGTTACTTTTGAACCAAATTTAGTTTGGATGAACGCCGCCCTTACAAATGACTTGGAGACCATCCTTGGCTTTATTAAAGTAATTCTGAACTACTTTCGTGCGCAATTTATAAAACGGTTGCGTTGCTTGTTGGTTCTGTAATCCTGAGGCTTTTTCTTTTACGAAAGAGCGGATAGTTTTACTTGTTTGCTTAAAGCAAATAAATATCTGCGGCTATTTGCGTACAGCCGGAGTAAGGATGTTTTTTGTTTATGTTCAAAGAAGGGATATGATGTCAACGCCAGAAACTCCGAGGGCATGACTGCCTTGCACAATGCGTGCTGCGGAAGCAACAGCGTCGATGTCGTCTTGTTCCTGATCGATCAGGGTAACCGCCCTGGGCTCTTTCCCTTTCGGTTAGCTATCTTCTACGTTAACAGGAGCTGACGTAAACTGCACGGACCGTGATTGGTGGACCCCTCTGCACGGCGCCGCTTGCTGTGGAAATGTATTAAGGCCCCCCCCGCCTTTGCTGTAGACTCGCTTTGTTCGCTCACTTTGCTTACGTTAGTATGAGATTTGCAAGGTTCTCCTCCAGAACGGTGCGAGCATAAATGTACAGAATAACGAGCAAGAGACGCCAACGGACCTCACATCGGTCCATAATGATGTAGGATGACTGTGACGGGCTATTCTTAAAGTCAATTTTTATTTAAAAAAATACTTAGCTGTGCACTGCTTAATTGTTATACCATAAAGTTTTCATATTAACAATGGGTTAAGCGTTGTTTCTTTCTGATCTTCGGTTTTTTAATGGTTGACCACAACGCTTTATTTGACAATTATAAAATAAAAATTTGCAATTTGTTCTGATGAGCAATTTGTAACGCCATTACCCATAACAATCCTAGATGCCAAATATATATTGTTCAAGTTAATACCCTTTTACTTATAGCAATACGCGAAAAAATTCGCTTGTAATAACGGCAGGGCTTATTATTTTGTATATTAGTAAACCATTTGTAAATAGTTTATTCGTTACTTTAAACTAATAATCTCTTTTCTCGTTTATATAGGAAAGTATAAAATGTTTATTCGACGAATATCTACGTATGTTTCATGCTGCAGAAGTAGTTTATGTTGTTTTGGACTATACAGCACAGGTTCATATAATTTATTGCACAAAGCTTAACTTTCACAAACTAAAAAAAAATTTTATACAGACGGGAGATGAGTTGAGCGTTCGAATTGGAAATATCTTAAAAGTCTTAATAGAAAAGAAAGAAAGCGAACGATGGTGGTATGTAAAAAGACTCTACCGTGGCATAAAACCTGGCGAGGAGAGCAAAGACGAAGGGCTCGTGCCGTCCGCGTGCTGCGCCCTTTACCCGCTTCATGGATGTAGGCCAACCTCTCTTCAGTAAAGGCTCGAGCAACAAAAATAATTGCGCAAAAGTTTCAAACAATGGGAGGGGGGAAAAACATTCCCTCGTGAGAACTCAGCACAAAGGTCTATATGAAGAAGGACTAGATGGCTGGCATAAGCGACTGTTTAAATTTGGAGAGACAAAAAACATGCTCTTTGGAAGAGGTGCAAAAAATATCTGTTATAAATTTTTAATTTTAAAATAATATTCTACATAATCTACAAGTTTATATTAAATCATATATATCTCTCTCATTGGTAAGCTAACAATATAATTTAGTAACTTACATTACTTGGTTGTACTTGAGCATTATTTATATTTAGCTTATAAAAGACCAGATATTTAAAAGAACGTTGACTGCTGTTACTATAAAGCACAAGAAAACAATTTATAGTAATGAATAGTTTAAAACTATATTAAACGCGTTATAAAGCGGAAAGAATTTTTTTATTTAAGCAGTTTTACTGAGTTATGAATTTCAAAGACTGTTGAGGCTATAGCTTATATTGTAATTTTAAACTAAACTGTACAACGCCGAAAACTTTTTGTTATAGAGCTTTTTTTTATTATTATTATTAAAAAGAGGTGGTTTTTTTTTTTTTGAAATCTTGACCTTTTATATTGTTTAAAATTGGGGTATATGCAAGTAATATTTGACAAGTTTACTAAAACTAACTGAAATATCCATTTATTATATATGTTACCTCAAAATAGTTAATGTTATTCTTCTTTTAATATAATAAATAATAATCTATCAAACTTCAGTGATGAAATATTAAAGTAAGGTTTTTTATTAGCAAAAGTTTATACTACAGTTAATTAAAGTTTTTCAGGGGGTATGACCACTAATTGGAAAACAAAAAGTAATAAAGTTCCCTTAACACGATTAAATAACTTTACGTAATAAAAGATCCAAAACTCAAAGTTGCCTCGATCCATTATTTATTTATTTATTAATGGTGTTTTTCCTGGCGCTCCTTTCAACCGTCATGCTAAGAGTGCGTCGCGCAGTCGGCGGTCAGCCCAGTCTCCTTAAGTATTTAACTTCATATACGTTGAATCCGTCGGTTTGTGCCCATTAATTATAAGAGCAATATTTTTTGGCTATCAAAAAATTAACCAGCTAGTGACCTATCTGACAAGCGTTGCCGCAAGTGCAAGAACAGAAAACGAAAAACTGACAACTATAACCCCTTAAAGTAGACCTTATTTAAAAAACCATGAAAATAATTATGTTAAAGAAACAAAAATGCATAGAACTGATGGGGTTTAAAATTTTCAATGTTACACTGATTTTTAAAAAAAGACACAATAACCTAGTAACTTAAGGTCATGAAAACAATATGTGTGTATCCAACAACACCTGGCTAAAGGCGCTAATAAATTTAGGCAAAAAATTTAAAATTAACCCTTAATTGGTTAAGGATTAGTCGCACACTGATAGTCATTGATGTTGAAGAACATTTTTAAAAAGGAAAAACAATATAAGTATCCTTAACCATAACGAAGTATTGTTATGATCCCTTTAATCTATTTACAAACAGCAGGAGCAGAAATCCTAAAATGTACAAAACTACCTAAGGCGTAACCAGCGGATAGGGATAGATCTCGCTATGAAAGGATCGTAAAGCCCCCTAAATTTCAAAATAATTCACCTCAATATATCCTATCTTTCTAGTTAGATGCCTACAGCCAGTATTCGGTGGGTTTAGTTAAAATATTATATAAATAATCAATCTAAAATTCAATAAAATACTCTTACAAGATTAACTACTGGTGGGTAAGCTGTTTCTTTATTACTTCCCCACTTGAAATGCTGCTGAGCAACTCAACAGCTGGTTAGTATTGGTCATTGATATAAGGCTTGCCAAATAATAAGGCAAAGGACTTTACATATACTAAAGCTGAATCTTTAAATAAAGCGAGGAATCTAGTTAAAGGTAATAGAAACTTTATACTAAATCTCTTACTCTTTTATTTCAAGTATTAAATACACAGGAAAACGCAAAGTATTTATAAGTTAACAACTTGCAATAAAAACAAGCAAAATGTTCACAAATCAGAGTAGACTTTTAAAAAACGTCTGTCCTGAGAATTAACAATTTTCGGTTCGCCGCAATACCTACCGCTGCTGAAGGTGAGCTATAAAAAAAAGCTCAAGAAAAATTCCATAAACTGCGTCGAAAATGATAACCGCTGAGCAGTTGTTTCCGTTAGTAACTACTCTGCTCACTTCGTCCGATGTATGTTCCGAGGACGCAAAGCGTGGCGGCTGGTTCAAAGTGGTCTCTCCACTCTTTAAATTGTATGCCCTCAAAAGAGAGGACGGCGGCTTCGAAGGAGTTACGTGTATTCTCACGTTGGCAATTAGGGAGCCGTTCAGTTCGTCACATGCAAGCCGCACGCATTCTGCATTTTCAAAAGTGACAAAGCCGATGCTGTGCTGGAGTATACAATAATGTTCGGAGGTAGTAAAAAGTACTAAACTAACCGTTTTGCGCGGATAACTCTCAATTCCCTTATTTTTCCAAACTTTACAAACGCAGACGTGAGATCGTTCTCTTTTTATTATATTTTAGTGAAAAAAGGTTAATAACTAACGCTAATTTTAGCAACCAGAAACATTTTCGTTAAGATCGCTGAGAAAGCAGGTATGATAATAATGCTCCAGAGTACGCGTTTTAGGTTGTCGTGGGAGAAAACAATGAGCCCGCGGAGTGCAGTGAGATCTTATGTTGCTAGTTGGATGCTGCCAGCGCGGCTCCTCCTTTAGGTTACTAGTTGCACCATGAGTAGTCTTGCGCTCCAATGCCGGGCAATTGCTAAGCGTAATATTTTTTAGGCGTGAGAGTTTGGATGGTGTCTCGTCATCTTTGAAAAAGAAGTTGTTACTTCTACTACAAAGAAATTATAATGGCAAATAAAAATAAAGTGTAAAAAAAGGTAAAATAAATATAAAAGAAGTATATAGACCTTCCTGTATCGTATTAGACAATAATAAGCGTTGATTCCGAATAATCTTTTAAAACAGTGTAAGTAAGGTAGCTTCATATTTAATTTACTAAGTAATACTAGGCTCTGTTGTTTCCTTTTCGGGGCTCCTAAGAGTAAGTGTTCTTGTTCGAGTTTAACTTCCTCTTTTAATCTCTACTTCAATTGTAAAAAAACACTATACTAAATAAAAAAATAAATGAGTGCCTCCTCTTCCAAAACTTTTTTAATAGTTTCTTTCTGATAGTTCTCTGCTATGTCTTCTACGCGGTCCTCCTGGTTTTTTCTAGAAATATGTTCTTTTTGTTTACATACGCGTTCCTAGCGCAAACCAAAGTATTAAATAAAGCCTTTACGACACTCTAACTTTGTAGATATTAAAAAGAAAACAGTATAGACAAGCTTTTATGGATTCCAATAAAGAGTATTTCTGTTTCAACTTCTTTTCAAGTTGGCTTAGGAATGGTACCATACTCAAGTTTGCTCTAAAAATAAATATGGCGTAAATATAATAGTAAACGAAAAAAAAATTAATGTAGTCAAGCTGAACAAAATCTAAAAAAAGAATGCAAGAAATCGGAGCCTCTTTAAATATTTATTATACAAAAGGAAAAGGATTATATGCTGGTTCTATAAATACCATTAAAAAAATTAATTGGTTTATAATTCTACATTTTACAAATTAATAAATTAAAGGTGCAATAACTGTTATTTTTGCACTTTAAATAAGTAGTAAATAAATCCTTATTCGTAACAAGGAAGTTCTTGAAAGACAACTCTTGTTGTGTTTCTATACTATAATAAAACCGTATATTATAAGGAGCACATCCGAAAAAGGGGCTTATAAGCATTAGATGCTTTAAGTTATGGAAAGTCCAAAGAAAAAGCTTAGCTGAAGGTCCATAAAGTCCACTTAGCCCTGTGGTGCCCAACCAATCGCCATTAATATGAAATTTTTATTTCAAGACAACCTTTTTTATCTTCTATAAAATTAACAGCCAATTCACACAAGAAGAATAATAATAATTCGGTTATACTATATGGAAAAAAGCTTAAAGAAATTTAAAGTCATCTTTTTATTTAAAGCTGCAATGTCACAGAATATAAAAAAAAGTCCAGCTATATAATTTTTTGTGGTCTTAATGAAACCAATAAAGCTGGCGAGACTATGATCCGATTCACGTAACCTCACCACCCACAAGCGGAGTCTACTGTTTATTCAGGCAATAGATACAAGACCTTCTGGCTGAGCTTACGACTAAACGCACCTCTTATTATGAAAAACTATGCTTTTCACGGAGAACTTCAACTCAAAGACAACTTTATTTATGAAAGCTAACCGAACAGCAAATGACAAAATTGGTTTAATGTATTAACTTTAAATATGTTAGTTTGAACATTAACCATTTAGACACGAACTACTAATAATAATGGCAACAACAATTATAGAGTAATAAGTAAAACTTTTAGTGAGGAAACTTTTTATAAGCATAGTAAATCGGAACAAAGATTATGAAAAAAGGGCCATTATAAAGTATTTGTAGATAGAGACCTTAGCCTAAGCTTAACAGAGGGCTTACCCATAACAGTTTGTATACTAGCAACGTTTTACCCATATTCACGTGGTTAAACATATACAAAACCTTTAGCGCCATGCAAAAGAAAAAAAACTTGGTGCACGCACTGGTTTCTTATTTAGTAATAGCATATGCGATATTTGTTCTATTAGCCTCCTGAAACCTTTAGGAAGAGCAAAGTGCTTATCAACTAAAATAACCTTAGCTCACAAGGAAATCGTAAAAATAACAAGCTGCAGCAGCTACCAATACCTATAGTAAAATTAAGGGCTGTTGTCACCAAAACTTCTAATACACAATATATTATTAAAAACAATGATATTGGTAAACCTGTAATAATAATTACAAAAAAGATAATAATGTTAGTAACTGTGATAATTTTAAAAATACTAATAAAATTGCAATGTTAAAGAAGTATTTAATATTATTTAAAAATTTTAATGGTCTCCACAACAATAATACCTTAACCCCACTCTCTTCGAGAGTTCTGATGTTTTTCAGTAGTCTAAAAAAGCACTACCTGTTATCCAGCATAAACACAAATGTGACTTTACTTCGTAAAATTATTGAGAGCTAATGGCGCAAAGTTTTTCGATACAGAGACATGCGTTCAGGGGTTTTTAAACTGTTCCAGTTAATGGTAAACAAAAGCTGCAGCATAGCAGCATTATGCGTAAAAACGTGATTCAGCTTTATACTAATCCAGAAACAGAATAACAACCTTTAACTTAGTTATAGGTAGGATCTATTGCAATCTTAGCGCTACTACCGTCGAAGAGAACTTTCTACTGCAAGGTAGCATTTCCACGTGGTACAACAGAAATGAGAGATACAATTACGGTGAGCGCATCTAGTGAGGAGGGCGAAAAGTAATAACATTCAATAGTGACACTTTTGCTATAAATACGGACAAGTGTATGCCCCAGAAATGCTGCTCGCGCAGCTGCTAACAGTACCTGCGAAGGCCTAGAAGACTTGTCCAGATTGCAGAGCACCTTTTATAAAGCCCTCTTTACATTCACTGCGAGTAGGACGACTTCCTACGCCGCTCAGCTAGTGAACGCAATCACGGCAATAATCGTAGTACGCGTATGCTATCTGGGCTTAAAACTTGCCGGCACTAGCGTTTTCGCTTCATAATAAAATAGCACCTTACTATAATTGAAACTGTGCTTAAAGTCAAAATTTTCAGCTAAAGTCGCTGTAAACCTTTATAAACGCAATGCTGATATAAGACTGACAAGCCACACATGTTCCTCCATGAGTGGCATAGAAAGCAATACTATTGGCATCGATTCTAAATCTTTCGTACTAGTTTTAAACTAGTACTAAAATAGTATTTTCTTCTAATAATTTAGTTATCATTAAGTTTTGTATATAAAAGAGTACTGTTTAGTCAAACGGTAATATGCTCTCTTCTCACATATATTTGGTCTCCAGTATAGTACTGGTAAAGGATAGTAGTAGAATAGTGTTGTTTCCTACTATACATATATATATATATATGAGGTGGCCTCCTCTGCCGGTAGTGTTGTTTAGCACCACTCATTACTTCAGTCATTTTAGAATGTAAAAAAGTCAATATACCTTATTTATAGCTTTTGAGCGGCGTGCTTTATATATTACCCATCTCACCAATTTCGAGTTAGTTCCGATGCCGATGAATCCGCGAGATTCGAGGGAAAAGTAAGCACTTAAATCAAAGCGCAGGCAATGCAGCTAGTATATCAACAATAGATTCAGCGGACGGAAGACATTAAAACAATTACGTCTTATCACTTTAAAAGTAAAACTGTAACTAGAAAGCCACCTTGTAGAGTTTGAAGGGAAGGTAAAACTCTCGAGGGCGCTACTGTATGCTAAAGGTCTTATCAATTTTAAGAGGCAGATCTTACGATCGGGCGTCGAAACCACCTTAGGGCCCTCCAAGGTTAGTAGTAGTTGGGAGAGAAGGTTGGTGTTGAAAAATAAAAGAAAAAAATAATTCAAGCAATTTACTCTTATTTAGACCAAAACAACTCGTTAATTCCATTTATTTTTTCTTTCGGGCACATTAAATAAACATGAAAGTTTAGTCGTATGTATCTACGTTGTGGTTAAGAGAAAGTATCTTGAAAACATTACAAAGGGGAATCAGTTTTTCCTCGTTACCTTTGCAGGCGCCAGTCTATTTCGGTTGTGGAATTGCGCTCGTACGTGGTCAACTCTAAACAAACTTCTAACTTTTAGGATTATAAAGGGTCAATTTTTAAACTTTTACGATTGATGTGATAAAAGAAAAGTTCTCTTGCGCTTATACATCTTGTTTTGGTAGAGTAGTGAAGTTAATAAAATTAGCTAGTATTTCACCTTTCTGCAGAGTTTATTTTATTCAAGACTTCCTTATGTAAGTTTCGTAAGTTAACGCTATCGATGTCGAATTTAAGGTCATACCCATGCGTGTTTGTGGTGCCTTGTTTTTTCAAATATGACGGCAATAACGCCATAAAAGTTCACAACGGTTACACATTAGATATTACGATTTATAAATTCTCCAGTTGCCAAATAAATAACTTCTTAAATTTTTTTCTTTGGGCGAAAAAACAAACCAGACCATAATATTAACTCTTTAAACCAGATCAGTTATTGAACAATCTTAATGAAAGAATAAGGTGTAATGAGGACATAACTTAAGTTATAACTATACTAAAAGAACTCTAGCTCCCTCTGCACTTGTTTTTTTAGTTATTAAACAAAATCTCACAAAATATGAACAAGGTATAAGGCGAAAAATAGTTTCTCCGTCCAATTTTAGCATATGCCTCTCTACTAAGCCTTAGGGTGCTTCTCACCTTAGCTTATCAGGACTTTTTTCATAATAGAATCTGCTAAAAAAGTTTACTTACGCCCCTGGTTTATAAGCAATAGTAGACCTATAACATTTTTAAACCGCATATTAAAGTTTGTCAATGCTTTATAAGCTTAAAAATTAATATCATATATAAAAAAAGGCCTCTCTATATAAGTAATAATATAATGAAGCCTTTTAAAAAGGTAATATAGTACCAAAATTTCTGCAAGGAAATTTTTTTGAAAAAAGGGCTTCCAATTTGAAGTTCTTATTTTATCCATGTGCAATTTTATAAAGTTGGTGTGGAATAGCCTCATGCACGCCGAGCACAGAAACTGGACAGACACTGGGCTATAGACTGATAGACACTAATTTGGTGACATTGAACTATTCGCTGAAAACCTTTATGGAACTTAGCGAAAAATGCTTCTGTAATTAAATAGTAACCTTACGATTAAGGCTTTAGTTTCCTGCAATACCTTTAAATTTAACTATCAATCCGTCCTAAAACAATGAAGCGAAACTACTTTTTAAACTTTAATACCACTCAACCATAAAGTTAGACGCTGTTAAAATAACAGTTAGCAACGTTCCATTATTGTATTGTTATTAATGAACTTTCTCAACTAAATAAGAGTGTATACTAAAAGCATCCCCATTCCAATAAGCTGACTAGTAATAATAAGGTATATAAATGGTTTTCTTTATGCTCTTTATGTTGTCTTCCTTGACTATGCTTTCCTAATAAAGCTAATTTTTTTTTTGCCACAGGCTGATAACACAATAAATAGTAGTAACGTATTTTACAGCAGTAAGCCCTCCTTTGCTTATTAACAACAGGTGGAGCACTCTATACAGACCAACAATATTGCCTTCGGTCAATGTATTTATCAAATATAAGCACCGTTAAACTAGTAATATAAAGTCCAGCAACAATATTATCACCCTATTTTATAAATTAAAAGTGCGCGTAAAGCAATAGACGAAACTTAAAAACCACAAAATATTTTTCTTTACTACATTAAAAAAATAACACACACTCATAATCTTCTTCCCCGTCTTCCTCCTTTTCTCCGAGTGGAGTCTGTAGGAATGGGGGTAACATCTTCTATACGACCAATTTTCATCCCGGCACGAGCGAGAGCGCGAAGAGCAGACTGTGCGCCTTAAGTTTATGATAATAAAAGATAAAAATATATTTTCTAATAAGTCAAATCAGTCAAAAAATAAAAGGTAAAAGCAAAAGAGAGATGCAAAACTAGCATTAAAATAATATAAAACGCCAAAACATTACCTGGACCAGGAGTCTTTGTTCGATTGCCACCTGTGGCTCGTAGTTTTATATGTAATGCAGTTATGTTCAACTCTTGACAACGTTTTGCGACGTCTTGAGCAGCCATCATGGCTGCATAAGGAGAAGATTCATCTCTATCGGCCTTGACCTAGCATCCGTTACTTAATTCAAAATAAAAATTTGCGAGGCCAATTAAATTACCTTCATACCACCTGTCACTCGACATATAGTTTCTCGACCCGACAAATCAGTGACATGAACAAACGTATCGTTAAAAGAGGCGTATATATGGGCTACTCCAAAGACCAGTTCCCCTTCGAAAGTTTGCGGCCCGAGTGATACGTTTTCTTCAATTTTTTTCTCCTTTCGTTTAGACATAATTTCTTAACTTATAATACAATACTAAAATATATTAAAAAATGTTAAGATATGATATAAAAAAACAAGCAATTAAAACTATATAAAATTCATACGATTACTTTTTACTAAGGACGGAACACAGCCCCTCAAAAGCCCAGGAACGCCTTCCCAGCTTAATTTTTTTAATTTTTTGGTGAGAATTGTGTTTAACACGTGATAAATAGTCAAAACTAAAGCAGCGCCATGCAGCTTCGCCCTCGGTGACTTACAGTGAGGGTTTCCGAAAAGTGCTTCACAACTAAATCTAACACTTCGCGCTCTCCGGCGCGCTCCGTACCTCAACATACGAAAATTGGTACAGAACTTCGAAAGTGGTATGTATGGGCTTAAGTTATTAGGATGAAATATTGTTTATAATTTATGTATGAAAATGAACTGTTTTTTAACTTTTAGTTATTATTATTGTTCGATTTATATATTTAACAAAATTTATTTTCGGGTTTCATCCATAAGGTTTTGCTTTTGTAGAGTGATCTTTATTGTCTTTCTCTTTAAACTATTGAACTCGACTATATTGGCCATTAAGATTAATTGTTTCTTTGCTTTTAGACTCGTACAAGTTAAAAGGGAATTATAGTTTCACTCTTAAAGCTGCAAAATTTGGCGGATAAGGGGGTGGGGAAGAAGATGCTTTTCTAATTCTTGTGCTCGTGGAGGGAAGTTTGTATGTTTATTACATGTTATAAAGAGTTAGTTTTATAAAACAAAAGTTAAAGGTTGTGATCGCGGTATGACTGACGACAGTTTGGTGGTATATAGGAGAAGAGAGCGGGTAGGGCTATTATAAGGAGCGAAATATCTCCGCACAGTTTTTTATGTCACTAAGGCGAGGGGATCTACTTAAAGTACACTCGTTTTATGTTAATTTTCTTTACCTGAGTAAGTGAATTTTATCTCTTATAATACGTCCTTTCTTGGGCGTAGTTAGTATTTTTAGAAAGGCAAGGCATCGCTTCTACTGTCAACTAAGTTATTGAGCGTATTCGCAGAGAATATGCTAATACTTAAGTATCGTAGTAAATCTATTTAAATGATTTTGAAGATCGGTCAATATACACTTAAGTATACTTAAATATTAAAATACTTAAGTTAAGGCTGTTTACTGTTTTTAAAAATTGAGGTGTGATCTGTCCCTTAAGATTTATTAATTATATGGTGTTGGCGCTATGCTTTTATAGTCGGACTATAGAAACTCAAAATAATCATATAATTGCGCTAACCCTCGAACGGAGTAGAACGTAACATAGTTAGGCGCACGAGGATGAAGATTTTAGTCGAAGTGATCGGCTAAAGAACCATTGAGGTAAAATGATAGTCTTAGATAAAAGAGCTGAGTGCAAAATAACAATCTTAAAGATCGATACTATAAAAAAATACTTTTAACAGATTAAAAAAAAATAACAGCAGCTTAAAATCTTATTTTAACCACAACGACTTAAGTGGGGAAAGCCGCCGGCATATTCTTACGGTTACGCCATGCAATATCAATTTTATTATGTGCTTTTATATAATAGCACTTTCTATAGTAGTTTGTACCCATCTACTTTAATGGAAACACTATAAAATATGATTTAAGAATGGTTTACAAAAATTTGAAATTTAGTTTTTACATCCTAGTTGTAATTTAAAAAGTGCTAAAGGTATATTTAAGTTTTAGCCAAAAGTAAAGTTTATAGTTATTTAGTCATTAACTTTTGTAATATATATTGTCATTTTAAAAGTACTGTACTTAAAATAAATCTAATATGCCTCATTCTTACATAAATAGTGAGTGGGGTTAGTTTTAAGTAAAACATGTTGGGCTATTGTAACCCTTATAAGCTAATAAACAAATATAAGTTTCGCCTATTGAAATTAAGTTCTTGCTGGTATAAAACATTTTTTTTAGAGTGGAAGTGGTCTTTAGCAAGCGTTCCTCTCCCCTTCCTGTGCATGATAAATTGTGCGGGACAGACCGATCCCTCTACGTGGTGAATCTGTTACAACTAATTTTGCTATAATTAAATTACAATTGCCATCTTTTAAGGCAAGCCTTATACAAAATTTCGAGAAGTGCATTAATAACTAAGTAGTACTAGGCTACTCTTTAATAAGTTGGAAGCTTGAATTTGATAAAGTCGGTCTAAAATAGAATCCATTGTAGGCTTAATTACAAAAAATAAAGCCGATCTTAGGCTTTGAATTGTAATCAAGAACTGCTGTGCACAAGACCGAAAAATTTAGAACTAGTACCACTTTCCTCGAAGCTAAACCACTACTATTAACTAACTTTAGTAGAATATAGAAAAGTAAAGTCAATAAATTTATATAAAATCAGCATTTCATTCGTACTTAAAGAAAAAATTTCGAAAAAATTGCAGCCATACGGCTAGCGCAGTCACGATAAGGCTCAATAACAGTATAAACTTATGACAGTCTGTAAGCAAATAGTTATTTAAGAGCTGAAGACTCACCAAAGCACGATACCAAGAGAGCAGTGCAGGAGCTTCGTTTTACATACAGCAGAATCTCCGCCACCACTAAACACCTTTGGACATTTCATTAGGCAAAGACCGCCTAGAAAAAGACAAGAGAAACCGTCGTGGAGTCTTCGTTCCAAGCAAGAGAGGAAACAAACCACGAGTGTGCTTTGGACTTAGCAACTTTCTTTTAAAAAATTATGTATATACTACAGAATAATAAAGGGATATCAAAGAAAAGGCACTTTAAGATTTTTATTATCTATGATGAGAACTTCTCCTTCTGTAGTGCCGAGAGCCATGTAATTTCCGCAGGGACTGAAAAAGCATTAAAAAGACCAACTAGAAAGAGTATAAAAACGGACCTCAAGCATAACTTAATAGGTAGCTCTGAGCCCAGGCATCTCTAGGGGACGAGATTGAAAGGACCAGAAACAAAAACGACTACGGCAAGAACGACGGACAAACTTGAAAGAGCATACGATATCCAGCGGCGTCATAAACAAGGACAAAAAAGCCCGTTCTGAAGTTCGAAGCCACGGCGTACAGTAGCGCTCCGTAGTAGCTTCCAGCAATAACATTAGAAGTGAAACCAGGTATGTACAAAAAGCACACCTGCAGCTCAATATCGAAAACTTTTCGTTTTTATTATAAAAAGTTAGCACAAGTGGTTCGCAGCTTTCGGCGGGTTTCAGTTTCGCAACACGCAGAGAACCATCTTTACAGGTGCAAGCAACCGCTGCACCCCCACGTTGAATCGACATGTCGTTAATCTCAAACTGAAAGTCGTATTTCTGTTTAAGAGAAAAAGTGAACATCGTTGACCTTAAAAATATAATATAAAGAGTAATTAATCACTTTGCACAAAACGAAGTCAGGGTACTTCCAAATTTTTAAATAACCATCTGTACCTCTGTCAAGCAAAGAAGTCAGTACAAAAAGTAAATGAAACAGTTAACTAAGTTTACCCTGTAAAAAGAAAATCCCCTCCCAGGTCAAACTTAATCACCTGTTAAATGATAAAAAGGGAATTTTTTAAAAAAAAAACTAGATTAAAATTAAAAAAATTTAGACCTTTTGATAGTTATGGTTATCATTAACCGTTTTAAACACCTTTCCAGTTTCCTCCAAAGATGGAAGCTTGTAGACTTTAGAAAAAGCATCCAGACCACAAATAACTAATTCTCTCTATGTGTAATGGTTGTAATAACAATTGGTGGTAAACTCAACATGAAACGACATTACCAATTAAACAAAAAAAACTTGACTAGAAAAAAATAAATCTCATAGTTAACAAAAAAGTCAAAACGTATTAAACAAACACTGGGGTGCAAACACAGATTCATCACTGCCTTATCTCCAACACATATATCCTTTAAAGGATCCTTAGCGGAAGGATCTAAATTCAAGAGGGCCTGAATTTCATTTTTAATTCAAAGATAAGAAATATACTTATTGAGATAATAAACCATAAAGCAACAAAACTATAATATGAACTGATTACCAATTTATTAGGTACTCCAGTGGGGCCGCTACCGCCTCCACCACCCAATAATAGCTGTTCTTTCTGATTATTAATATAATATTCCAGAGAGTATATGGGAAAATCCGTTTTGCAAATTACAGAAACCTTCACTTTCATTTTACACAAATGTTTCTCAATAAATAATAAAAAATCTCTAAAAAAAAAATCCTATGTAATATTATTTAAAATTGTGCCTAATAAAATTCTTACTCTCCCCGGTAAAAAAGGCAATACACCCGTAATGTATTTGGTTTAACTTTGCATATTAGTACAAAAAGGTTACAGACCCCCACGAAACAGTGCCTTGAGCTGACCAATCCACCGCTTAACAGGAGTGTCCAAGCCTTAGGCTTCTGAGAAAACCAATTTAGTTTTTAAAAATAAGTAGCTTTATAATTTGTTAACGGTTTATTAACTCTCCTCTATAAATAATTGTAGCTTTGATAACATAGATTAAGCGGCCTAACCGGAGGTAATGCTAATCTTCTTTCAAGAAGCTACTGGTTTTCAACCTTTGTTCACATCTTTCTTTGTGCTAATTGCTACAAAAGGGTAAGTCCAATTGTGTCACCCCTCTCTAGCATACTCCAAATTTTTACTTCACTTCAGGGTCCCCGTTTTGAATCTTGAACTTGTATTCGTTTAAATCTCTTTCAGGCCTATGCTTTGGAGCTGAATTACTTGAATTTTACTATTATTTGTTTTTACAAAGCTTATTTAATTAATTATGAGCTCTTGTTCTGTTTTCATAACTAATCGTTCCGAAATGCTACACTTCGTCCTTTTTTTATGACTTTCATTTTCATATAATTACCCTCTCTTATCCAGCTCTTACCATCCTTATAATACTTAAACATCTTTAGCTCCACACAATTTAATAAGTTAAGACATTCAGTTGTGTTTACACATGACCCACCTTTTTAACATAAGGAATAGTGGTACATACACATTTAATAAATTGTGCATTGGTATAATTTAATAACTATCTAATTAGCGACACACTTTTTATCTCTAGCTATCATCAGTCATGATGTTTGCCATTATAGTTTGGAGAGGGAAGTTATTTGTTCCAGTAATTTTGGTTTAACGTTGGTGCACAACCATTTAAATGTGTTTAAACCACTACTCATGAAGTCTGCAATAAATAACTGCGAGGATAAAGGCCCAATAATATTATTGATAGGGATTTGGGTAATTCAACTCATAGAATTTATCTTAATATCTAATTGACTTGTATTAAGGTGTAAGGCCTTAGTAACAAAGACAATCTCACTCGCCCCACTAGCCTTCCATCAGCGGCTGGCAAAGTCGTGGACGCTGTCTACTACACATGCTAGAAGAATATGTAGAAACACTCAAAACGCTTTCAGAGTTCCAATTTGATACCGAGGAGACCACTCGACGACACAGCAACTTTTGCGCTTTGTTGCGTGGACAACTTAGAATTTCAATTCCAAGAAATCCACGAGCGTCCTTTTCTCGATATTGAAAAGACTTCCGAACGCATCTTTCGAGTGAGAGTTGGGGCTCTGTCGGCATACTGTCGACTGACAGCTCGTGTACTGCAAGGTTCTCTGCTCTCGACCTTACTCTTCGCGCTATACATGCGAGATATCCCACTCCCTGTGAACCCTCACACCGCGTTGCACACTATGTCGCTGCCACTGCACGTTACTCGCCCTCAAAGAGCCCCTCATTACGGCAACGCCTGCAGCGTTATTTGGAAACATTTGCCAACTGGTGTCGGCAGTGAGGAGTAAACATTAATGGAACGAAGAGCAAACCAATCCTCATCTCAAGAAGATGCATCACCCTACTCCGCCTCTATCCTCGAAGGTGTAAAAGCCCCATCGCTCTCAAGCCATACAGTTGGGCATCATCATCGATAAGAGACTAACCTTGGAGGTAACACGTAGAGTTCGTTACGACTAAGGTCAAAACAGCAATTCACACACTCTACCCTTTGCTGAGTGCTAAAAGCGCAATGTCTCTGCGCAATAAACTGCGTTTTTATAAAGTATTCAAGTGTCCTATTATGGCCTGCGCGCCGTGGCTTGGACATATGGTAAACCGACGACGATCGCACCCCTCCAAACGCAGCAAAACAAGCTGCTGCGGATGACCGGCGCATCTTATTTCGTGAGGACGATACGTTACATACCAACCTGGGTCTATCGATAGACACTAGTTTCTTTTAAACGTGTGTTAGTAGACATCCAAACCACCAGTATTCCCAAGAACTTACATACTACAAACCCTGGAAATGCTCACACTTTCGAAGTCTTCCAACGAAATGCCTATGCATTTTTACGACAGGCTAGCCAGGCACACTAACCGCCTGCGGTTGAGCAAACTTATTTACGAGTCATGGGACAGGGCACGTTATCAACCCCCACGTGATGCGCGCAAGCGCTAGTTTTTGGTTGTTTATGCCAGGACAGTAATGACAGCTTATCGATTGAAAGCTATTGTAATATGTCTGCGGTCACTCCTGATTGAGAGCTTGATTGTTCGAATTATTTTGACTCGATCTAAAAAGGTAAGGAACATTCAATTTGAAAGTCATTTTCTGTTGTTTGTGCCTTTGCTGTTAATTTACTTAGTTCTCTATTAGTGACGTCCCTGAACAGATTATCTGTTCTTTCATGATCACGGTAAGTTAAGGTAGTTTAGTTTAACAATTTTCACCAAAAGTAACTCTTCCCTGAGAAATGTAGAAATTTCCTAAGCTATAGGGTAGCGGAAAATTAGCGAGTTCAGACTAACAAGGTTCTGCATTGAAAAAAAAAAAATAAATTGTTTCATTAAAGCAAACGTTTATACATAGGATCCAAGCCCAACACAATACACAAGGGAATCGATTGTTTTAATTGTGTTTTTTCTTCTTGTTTCCTTTGTTTATTTATTTGTTTTTCACTTCATTCTTTATTATTACAAACACCTCCATAATATTAAATCGAATATTTTTAAGGCTAAGCCATCCATCATATAGAATATGACGATATTTTTCTGTTCGTAAGTCATTTAGCATACTTAGATAAAAGGCGAGAGTAAACAAAAAAAAGTTATTAACAAAGGAATTCAAATCAAGTGACGAATTTTTTTTTAATAAAAGGAATTAGCAGAAAGGGGTCTTGACCAGTTTTTTTTCTTTTCTCGCGGACCCTTTCATCCTTTTCTCTTTATCTTTGTTACTGGCTAAAAAATATATATTATTAACTACGCACCCCTTCCCTACGACGATGTTTTTACACCCATATGGGTCACAACGGGATAAAAGAGCCCTCTTCCACCAAAGCCAAGGCGAGATCCACCGATCCAGACTAAGCAGAAAACTTCCCCATCTTTTAGGGTCGACTTTTCATGTTTAATTGCTTTTTACACGGAATCTTTCTCCACTTTAGCTTCTTATAAGAGGGGTAGCCGGAGAAGTTGTCTTCTTTCGGCTCCTCCCTCATTTTTACTTTATACAAATTTCCCCTCCCCCTAAGGATATCTGCTACTACCACCGTAATGTTTGTTATTAGAAGCCTACTGTACTTATATATAAAAATAACTATGTATATTCCTATAGACTACTCTTATAAAACCTTTAATTAAACTACAAGGTTACTATAATAAATGTCATAGGAATTTTACTCACACAATAAACTGCTGCACTACTATAAAAGGATTAGTTCAACTAGACTAACTATACTAGTTATGTTTTCTTGTCTTTTATTTAGACGTCCTCCATTTGGTTAAAACGGTAATATGTAAGCCCATTTAAAATGGTAACAACAGAAAAAGTGGATAATGGCAGAAAATTAATATTGGATTTGAACCAATAACACTGTCCCTTCCGCTTACGACTATAGTTCATAGCATCTTATCTTTCACGGCCATAACCGAGAAAGCGTAAGTTAAAAAAAAAAAGTTTTGAAAATCTTAAAAAATGAAGTACTATTTTCCACGTTCTAAGTGACGTAAGTGTTATAGTCCACCACAATTTAAAAAAAAAAGCAAGGCCTTATTTCCTCATGTTATTTAGAATCCAAGGAGAGTAGTCCCAGCAATTATACAAAAAGGAATAGAAGGTAGCAAACCTACTGCACTATTTTTTACAACTTCACCCAGCAGACAAGGGTAAACTAGGTGTGCCTTACGAAAATATTATACTCCTAGTCAAGAAAATTTAAAGATTGGACTCATGTTTCATTAAATATCTAATAACTTGTATATTCATTCAAGAATTATTTAACCAGATATGTAGATGCCTGCATTAAGACTTCCATCCCGGCGGCTTACAGAAAAGGATTTCTATAAAACAAAAGACGTAAGTGTTAAAAAGAAACATGTACAATACAATATGAATCTTTTTAAGACTTTTAGGAAGGTTTCTTTGATTTTTTTCTCTTTTTTTACCCTCTATAAAAGGATGAAATTAGTTCCGTTATATATGGTTACAAACGTTTGGCGCGTCTTGTGTACTACAAATATTTCTTTAATTACAGCTATTCAATCCCAGTAATACAATCTAACGTTTTTTGTAGTTTGTATACACTTTCTCTTTCAGCTTTTCTGAATCTGGGAATAGACGTAAAGCGCTTTAAACTTGTTTCTTCTTCTTTACTACCTTCACGAGAGTAGCAGAGCACACTAAGTAGTTAATGAAAGTATATGCTTATTAAAGAATTAACACAAATGTACAAATAACCAGTATATAAAAAATTACAAGTTGTATCAATTTATTGTACGTATAAAGTTATTTCTTTATTTGTATTAGTAATTTTATTTTAACTGTTTTTATTTACAAAAACTATATTGCTAGGGCACTTCCGTATCCTTTTTTATTGTTGAAAAGTTTTTTTTAAGTCTATATATTGGTTTTTGTTTTTCATTAATTTCTTCCTTCTTGTTTTCTATTTTACAAATAAATAAAAAGTTCACAGTTTGTGAAAGGCTCAAATAAAATTTAATTTAAATAGATTTTTTGCAACCTGAAAGTCCCTCCTGACGCAACAGCTATAATAATGCTTTTAATCTACTAGTCATCTACTAAAAGCTTTAAATATTAACAGTATTAGATCTTTACAAATCGTAAATATCCTTTTCTAACATTCAGTTAAATATAAACTTTAGAACCCCTTTTTTATTTTAATTTATGGCTTATTTCTTTAAACATTTCTCTTTTCGGCATCCGCAAATATATAAACAAAAGTACTATGTTCGGGTCCCTCAGTAGTTCCGTACTAAACCTCGCCCTCTGCAACACTAGTAGTTCCTCGCTTTAGCGCACAGCGAAAGCTCTAAAATTTTCTTGAGCTGTAGTATATAAAGTGTAACGTCTTCTACTTTAATAAAAAAAATAATGGAAGAAGACTGGACTGAAAACCCATTTACAACTTATGATGAGGAAAATATATAAATTTTTTATATTTTCCTTTTGTTAAATTATTTTCTTAAGTTTTCAGATTCCTGTAAACATTTTTTGACTTTATTTTGTAGGATTCACCCAGCCCGACTCCCATTAATCTTTCAGGCTTCGTTAAACCAACTTCGTCTTTTCATAGCATAAACATTTCAGCGACCCCTTCAGAAGCTGCTGATAAGAGATCAGTTGGTTCACTTAATACTGGTTTACTTTATTAAACTGAGCTTCCATAATATATTATGTATTAACTAAAGCGCTTAATCTATCGCAATACCTCATACTTGTGTTAAGTTGTCGAAAGCGAATTTCATCTCTATACTATTTTTTTTAGCAGATGTTACGGAGCAAGTATTAACACCTTCTATTACTTCGCAATCTGCGACTTTAGTATCCTTTCCTGTTATTTTTTTTTTACTGTTTATTTTTCTTTGCTTACCAGGCTGAGAGAGAACTTCGTTTACAAGAGAGAGAAAAAAGATTAAGGCTAAAAGAAGACGAAATAGAAAGAAGGCTTCACGTTCTTAATTCTCAGAGTGCAGCATTAGAAAAGGTGTCTCAGCTCTCCTTTTTTAAGTTTATTTTGATAAAAAGTGTAGCTTATAATAGAGACCCAACTGGCCTCCCTTTCCTGAGTGGTGTATACCACCCTTTGTGCCGTGGATTTACCACTCCATCACTAACGAAATTCCAGCAGACAATAGGAAATTGGTGTTTTTAATGTTCAACCTCTGGAAATGTAGAGTTCATACCTAAGCTATAACCTTTTTATTCCCCTAAGTTGATTTATTTATGGCTTAGTCTATTAAATCTTTTATATTTTCTATTTTGCATCTATCATTTTTTTATAAGATTGCTAATATTAAAATGTTACAGTCCACTGTCTTTGCTATTTTTTAAATTTTCTTGCGGCGCTATCCTTTTTGAGATGTGGCCGTTGCTCTTCCAAGATCATGCATTTGGTGCTAGCCCTCCTTTACGTTATTGCGTTTGTCCCCGGTTCCTTTGTTTTGTGGTATCGAAGCTTGTATCGCGGTTTCCAGTGAGTTTTTATAATTATTGCCTTGAATTAATAATACATTATTTAACTGAACAAGATGCTTTTTTTACCCAGAAAAGACAAGTCGATAAGCTTTATGGTGTTCTTCTTTGTGTTTGGCTTCCAGATTCTGGCCAACGCCTTTTTGGCTATTGGCGTTCAAGGATCCGGCGGCGGGTGCGCTGCTAGTGATATCTATCGACCATCTGTTTCGTTTTCCCCTACTATTGTAATGCAATAGAGGCTGGATCAGTGCGGTGGCCACGCTGAAGGAGAGTACTCCCCTCGGTTTTTTTATTAGTCTCTCAGCTTCGTTTTGGACGCTTAACTTTATGCTTTGTATTTACATGTTCAAAAGGGTTTTTATATTTACATTGTTTCTGTGTTTTTTAACTGTCCCTATACTGGTTTAGATTCATTACTGGTACAGAGGATCCGAGTACACGGCTGAAAGAGCTCAGAATGAAATTGTAGCGGGCGCTGCTCAAAATGAAACCATCAGAAGAGGTGTTTTACATTCAATACTGAAATAAGTTCCAATAAAGAGGTTTAAAACGGAGTTTGGCTACTTATTTAAATGTTAAAAACATTAATATATAGTTATTATTTATATTTTCAAGGCTTTTAAAAGTCATATCTTCCACGCTTTGAACAATATATTGGGTCGGGACGGTAGACCCTTAGTTTTAACTATAACGACTTACGTGAAGTGGTATATTTTATTTTTAGAGAAATTTTCTAAGTATCCACATGTTGTAATAGTATTACTAATACTCTGGTAACATCTTAATTCGGAAGATTGAAGTTACATAAAACTTAAGTTCTAGAATCTAGAATTGTTTGACTGTTAGATGCAAATTTAAGCCTAATCCTTTTAAAGAGATCTTGTAAAATATGAAAAATTTATGTTTTTTCAAAGTTCCTATTCGTACCAAATTTAGGACCAGCGCCCTTCTCTATCCATGTATGATTCTAAAATTTTTTGATTTAAAATTTTTTTAACTATTAACAGATACCTTCAGTATATTGCATAGACTAGCACAACTTTAAATAAATTTATTTTGAAAGTTTACCGCTTAAATACAATTTTTGCGGAGTTGCAACTAATAGTTGTAGTGTTATACAAAAATTATTGAGATTCTATTGCCACGCTAAAAAAACGAACAGCTCCTTCGTGCTCTAGACAGGGTTGTGATTAATTCAACAAATTAGCACTTGAACGACTACTTCATAGTCCATCAGCGTCTGGCTAAAAATGGTAGCGCTCTGCTGAAAGACTGGGTGTGTGCTAAGATCGTTTGATGTTTAATTTAAAGTATAAATACTTAAAAAAATTCAAGGTTTTATAAGTTTGCTGAGTTATTGTGATCACAAAAAAAATAAAAAAAAAAGATTTTGAGCAATATCCTATTATAACTAGCATACTTTACTTGAAGTCTAGTTACTGTGCCCTAAATTTTCCTTCATGAATCTTTGAGTGCACTTAAGCCCTGACGCTACTTTGAATACGTTAAAAGAGTCTTTAAACTGCTTACTAGTACGTGGCTAAATTAAAAAATTCTTAAAAATTTAGAACCACCGATGGAAAAATGTAAATATTAAGTATTCAATACATAATGCATTCACCCGCTGTTGATAGTATTACTACTATCTGTACTTCTAGCCTCCCTATTGTGGTCATCGGAAGTTTCTGTTCCCTGAGCACGCTTTTTTAAAGGAAGCCTTATTATAAACCAATCATTGATTTAATACCTCTGATAATTTTTGCCAATTTTGTGTATCTGTATAGCGGAAAAATCTTTAGACCAACGCCACTGAACCCCCTCTATTCCATGCCGTTTTCTGCGCTTTACGTGCTCGATCTTAAAGGAAAAACTTTAATAAGTAGAGAATACAGAGGGGATGTCCCCTTTGATTGCATTGGTTACATTATAACAATTATTGGCTTTAAAATATATATATATATACGTATTTATAGAAAAATTTCCCACCCTTCTTGTTCAAAAAGATGAAGATGGGCTCGGTGAAGTACCAATAATTGTAGATGGTGATGTAACTTACTTGTTCATCAAGTACAAGAATGTCTATTGTAAGCACCCTCCCTATTTTTTGGATGGTTTCGCACTCAAAAAAGTGTAGATAATATTTAAGTACTAAAGAGGTCGAAAACTTAGCCTTCCCTTACAAAATCTTTATTATATACATAAAGTGGTAGCCACCACTAGGAGAAACGCGAACGTCGCTTTAATATTTGTTTTTTTGCATAAACTCGTTAAGGTACTTGACTCGGAAATTTTTGTGTTAATTATATCCTTTCACAAATCCTTTCCTGGATGTAACTTTTATTAAGGTTTTTAAAGAATACTTTAAAGAACTAGAAGAAGAATCTATTCGAGACAATTTTGTTATTATTTACGAGTTATTTGACGAAATCGTTGATTTTGGTTATATTCAGACCACTGAAACAAAGATATTACAAGAGTATACTATAAACTTTATATATCTAGATTTTTCTTTATAAGCCTCCGCAAGTATCTTTTTTCATACTTTGTAAAAGTACGTCACCAATTTTTTCCCGTAAGATATATTACACAGAAATCTCACAAGTTGTTAGTTGAAACAAAGCTTCCTATGGCGGTAACTAATGCCGTCTCGTGGCGGTCAGACGGCATATTTTATAAAAAAAACGAAGTTTTTCTTGACGTCATAGAATCTGTTAATCTTTTGGTTTGTTTAATAAGTTTCTCCATTATAACCTTTGCTTGCTTAGCCTTTGAACCTAGACTAACCAAACGGGACAAGTTCTGCAGTGCGAAGTAGTCGGTGCTGTCAATATGCGCGTTTATCTTTCAGGTTCCCGCTTCTGTTATACTGGTGTTTCCAGCTTTTTTAATTTTTTTTTATTAAGGAATGCCTGAACTGCGCCTCGGGCTGAACGACAAAATTTTGTTTGATAGTTCCAGCAGGGGTGAGAAAAAGATGAAGATTTACTTGTACATAGTTATTTTTCTCTTTAGCTTCGAGAGGGAAGGCAGTTGAGTTGGAAGACATTAAGTTTCATCAGTGCGTACGTTTATCAAGGTTCTTGTTGTCTGTGAGCCCTCTTCCGCGAGCTTTCTGACCACGTGCCCCTGCAGGTTTGAAAACGATAGGACTATATCATTCATACCACCGGATGGCCAGTTCACACTTATGTCTTACCGCCTTAGCAGTCAGGTTGCTGTCTTGCTCCTTTCGCACTCTGTGAAAAAAGGACACTCCGGTCCTGTGATAGTTGAAGCCCTTGTTCTGGGTGGAGTCGATTGTCGAGAGGCATGCCCACAGCCGAGTAGAGTACATGGTTAAGGCTCGCTCCCAGTTCAAACGCAAAAGCTGCGCACACAACGTCCGAATCCACGTTCCTGTCCCTTCGGACGCTGATAGTCCCCGCTATAAAAGTTCTATTGGTGTGTGTGGATTCCCGCCAGACACGAACTTTTGATGGCAACTGCGCGTAACTGGTGGCTATCCAGGTAGCGTGAAGTACGCCCCGGAGTTGAACGCTTTGGTTTGGTCCATCCGCCAGTTTTCCGGCGGCAAAGAGTGTTTTTTGCGGGCCCACTTTGGGCTGCCGTCCGTCGAAAAAGGTACTTTTGCCTGATAATTAAGTGCTTAGAAGATCATTCTTTTTTTAAAGATGAAGAGGAAGGCAAGGCACCGATTACTGTGAGCTTCGAAATTCCGTATCTTACTACGTCAGGTAGGGAGCTTCCCGACGTGTAATCACTGCCTAACGTGCTTAATTTCTCCCTAGGAATTCAAGTTCGGTACTTGAAAGTCATAGAAAAGTCAGGCTATCAGGCACTCCCCTGGGTCCGTTATGTTACCCGAAACGGAGGTTAGTGCCCTTCACTCGGTGCGATTAAAGCTTTTGTTCAACAGCAACTTTACACTTTACGATTAGATTACCAAATTAGGATGAACTAAAATAAAAGAGTGCCAGGAAAGCCATACAATTTTGATTAGAAAAAAACTTTTCTTGTTAATAAAGAAGCATTGTATTAAGAAAATATACTTTTTTTTTTGTAATTGAAAGTGTGAGGCGATGTTTAGACTTAAACCAGTGGTAAAAGCTGAGGACAATAATTCTGCTGATCGAAAAGCATTAGCAGTAGCTTGGTGTGCTCTTAACTTTTTAAATCTAATAAAGTTCTGCAGAATTTAAATTTAGCGTAGCATGTGATAACAGATGCTTATAGGAAATTATAAAGATAAAGTTATACGTTACAAATAAACAGTTTTATCCACCAAAAATAGGAATTCTAATTGAGAATTTTGTGAGGGTAAAAGGTTGATGTGCATTTTAGTGTAATGAGGGGTCACGGATTAACGCGCATTTAATTAAAAATTTTATTTACAGCTTGCGTTTACGTACTGGACAAGAGCCAATTATACAAGTTATAAACATGTTAATAATATGCGCATGGGAACAGGGTATAAAAAAACCTTAAGACGACGTACTCACTAGATTTTATCTGTCGGATGTAGTGTTAGGTATTTCAATAAAATAAAGTTTTACTCCAACCTTCCTTTTATTATATAATTAAGGCGATATAGTTAAATCGTAAGAACTTCGCGAGATGGAGGTTTAGAATAACAATTGAATTTGCTGTTACACCTGTAAATTGTGTATTTGCATATGTCAAGATTTAAACTGTTCAGAGGAAGAAGCTAAAGCACTTTTTTTTTCTTGAAACACGAATGACCCCATTAAGGATGCTAGCACAGGAACTCGGCAAAAACTAGAGAAATTCATGAAAATGTGTGCTGCTTTCCAAGGGTTAAATGCAGGTGTGTGGTGGAAAGCTAGCTGGCACTGATTGAGAGGTACACTAATATTCCGGTAAACGTTAAAAAGATAATTAGCACCTTAGATACTGCTAAAGGATTTTATCAGGGATACATCCAGCGTCAAGATATTTTGCACTTTCTACGCCGGACGGTGGGGGGGTGCAATGGACCCTGCAACCTTTGATTATGTCAATTCACCTTTCGAATACTCGAAAAGTATGGATTTAAATAACGGTTGGCCTAATAGATACTCATGCTTACGTTGACGGTTGTTTAGTGGCTAGCAATTCTCAAGTGGAACACTATGGAATGTTGTGTGAGCTAAAAAAAAGGGTATGAAAAATTTAACGTTAAAATTAGACTTGAAAGGTGTTGTATTGAGAAACCTTCAGTTAAATAGTTAGGAAGAGAACCCTGAATACTGGTGTACGAATGAGTGAAGATAAAGTACAAGCGTTTGAATATGTGCGTTGACCAAAAAATTGAACTTTTGGAATCATTATATTCCCAACAATGCAATCGTAAATGAACCCTTCCAAGACTTTTAAACGAAAAAAAGGCAAAAAAAAAAATTGAATGGCACAGAGAACAAGCGACTGCATGGAAGACCATATTACGGCTCGTAGAGAAAAGATTATGAGGGGGGCATGCAAATAACAAGTACGAATTAATTTTACAAACAGATGAGAGAGATGTTGGGGGCGTTTTATTTCAAAGGTAAAATGGACGATTGCATTACGTAGCCTTTGTCAGTTGTAAGTTTAATGGTGCTCAGAAAAAGTATAGTATCACTGAAAGGGGAGTCTTAGCGGTGGCGTGATGCAAGAATAAACTTACGCTCTACGTTAAACTTACTAGCAAATCTTTGGTTATAGAAACTGGCCATAAAAGCCTTCTACCTATTTTCCAACGTGAATACGATGCTATTACCGTAAGAGAAAAAATAATCAATCGTTTTAATTTTGTTATGAGTAGTATCTTTGGGGTATTAAAATATATTCCGGGAGAAAGCAACGTTTTTGCCGATCTGGTATCTTGCGTACCCTCCGATGAGGTTATTCCCAATGTATATACAGTTTGCGAGAGTGGCATGAATGAACTTATAACTGACATTGAGATTAAGGTACAAAATATACATCAAGAGTGGTTTCAATAGGAAAAAAGAAGTTGCAACAAGTGATAAAAGATAATAGTTTAAAAAATCTGGTAAATGAGGTTGTCGATGAAAGCGGTTTATGTTAAAGGTTCGGAAACAGAAGGCGTAAACTCTGTGAAGAACTTCGGTTAATAACAATGCCTAAAAGACTGCTAGAACAATTAACGAGTGACATAATAATAATGCCTCGAACCACGGAAGGTCAAAATGGCCTTTCGATTATAGTTGATAAACACACTCGCTATGTCTGCGCAAAAGCATTATATAAACACACAATTAATTTTGGGGTGTTTTAAAGAGATCTTTAGAAGTAAAGAACTAATGAGTTCCTTAAACATATATGGAGTTAAAGAACGTTTATTACAACTGATTACCATCAGTATAATGGCCTGTGTGAACGGGCAATACAAACTATCAAAAGGTGTTATTAAAGTCTAGTTGGAAAGAGAAATAGAATAAACTGTTGCTAGATGATTACATTAACAAATCTAAAACAGAATTCCCAACTTTTGACTTTACTTTTATATTTATGATGTTTAAAGAAGAACTGTCAACCGAGGGTAATGATAACTTAGGTATTACCAAAAAAGACGTGGGGACCTCTGATGATAACTTGAAATTCAAATGGAGGTTGGAGGTCAGACAACGGAGTTCGGCCCTCAAGAGAAGCTTAAATGAGGTAACTGATTACTATTCAAGTTAGTGTTGGCTTAGTTTGCCAATGGAGGTAGTGACGGTAACTTCCAGCAAAATAAAACAGTGAAAGAACTAATTAGATGGTCATACTGAAAAAGAGAAACCTAAAATGGATTTTCTAAGTGTGTAAAGAAGTGGGAACAGTAATAGATGAAGTAGTTGGCAGCTGAGTCGTATGCTAGAAGATCGCTCACATGTAGTCTTTGAAAAGCACTATCGCGTTTAATCAATTGACTCGAGAGATCATTTTTCAGCTGAATAATGGGTATAACGAATTTACGCTAGCCAAAAATGATATATGATAATGATGTTTTGAAGATGTAGATAGTTTTACAATATATATATATGCTCTAGACTTGCAGGATGCAGAAACTAACGAAAATCATATAAGGTAAATATTCTGTACATGTTAGCACTGAAATTAAATAAATTTTTTAATAAGTAGAATTTAAAACCTAAAATACCGTTGATCAAGAACAGAGTAACGGCTAGCAAGTAAGGCCATGCAAACAACAAAAAAGGTCGTGGCGAAGGGATGTTGTAAAAAAAACGACATGGAAATTATTTTTATGGTTAATGTTATTTTCTGGTGCTTGATCGGGCCAAAAAAAACTCCAAGTTTTGCGAGCTCTCAACAGGTGATAGCGTTTTCCGTATAAAGTAATATGCCATCGATGACACCAGTTGGCGAGCGTCATAAGATGATACTGCAGAGTTCGAGAAATCCGCCCTCCTTCCCTTTCCCTCTCGTAAGGCAAGCCGCGTGTGGGACTTATCAAGCTGTGGCACGTCGCGCAGATAAAGCGGAAAGAAAAGAGTTATCAGAGGGGAGATTCTTGGGAGGAGCCAGCTCTTGGTAGATTTAGTGGGTGATGCGCATCGCCTATACACATGCATAAAAAATGCGGTTTTTTAAAGTAAAATATGATCGCGTTTAACAGTAGGGAGGGATTTAGTGCACTACTCTTGTAAAGCTGATATCAAGAAAAAACAGGAACATGCCTTTATAATTAAGGCACGGGATGCCATTCTGTCAATCGGAGAAACAGTTGCTTCGTGAAATATCCTTATTAAAACTAAGTCAGAACTCTGGCAAGTATGACTTGCGTCAAGAACCGCTTTTAAGCGGCGCAATATGACTGTTTCAACTATTTTATCAACAAATGATAAAAGGCATAGGTCCCGTATTGTTTAGCTAGATGCTGGACGTGGTGTCTTCACAAGCATAACAACAGTTGCCAACTTTCAGCGAAACAGGAAAAAACCCCGAAGGCCTTCATCGAATTGAGGAGGCAGCCTAGACTGTTGTACCGCAACCATTAGTATGTACTTTAACATTGCTTTTAAAATATCCTCGATTCAGGTGCCTTCCCTATCGGTAGAGCTTGAATTCCTTTGTGGTAGCTCTTCGGCTCAGCGAAGAAGTTCGACTCGCAGTACACTTCATTTGTAACTAAAAACAGGCGGCACACACGGAGTAGGGAGGTAATTAGCAAAATGTGTGCGCTTTATTAGTGTTATTTTATAATAAAGTTTTCGTCTTACAGAATATTGGAAAACGTTCTCGGTTTCTGTATTTTTTAAAAAACTGGATTCACAAGGGTATTGACTAGATTGCACTAGACTTTTCTGAGAAGAATTTTAGGGCAACACCTATAAATAGCCGAATTAGGCAGGGTACATTTTTTGATCTAGGTTAGGTAGATTACAGAGAAATACATTTCGCAATATCAGAAGTTGAACATTACGAGAGCAAGGAAGTTACTAAAGCAATAGGTATTGCAACCGGCACTGCCTACTAGTCTAGTGGGGAGATATTTTCTGAGGTGTGCCTAAAACCTTAAAATGAAGCGATTTAACTGACTCCCTTTGAATTTTTTACTTGTTTCATCGCGAAGATCAGTGCGATTCATCTAAAACTAAGAAAGCTTTAGAGGACTAAAGGAAGATAACGCTTAGAATTCAAATACAGAGCCATGCTCTTTTTTATGTTAAAGCCCAGATTTTCAGTAGGAAACCCAAGCTAAGTCAGGTAAGGATGCCTTAAGATAAAATCAGATATTACAAAGAATATCTCTTGCTTTAGAAGCCTACCCCTCCTTGGAGTTAGCATGGTTAAAGGGTACTCGATAATTTGAAGAAATATATTCTTACAACCTCATTTCACTGTTGAACTCGATTTGGAACTAATTTATGTCTGTTGTGTTGTTTGGTTTGATTATTGCCGAAAGCAGGGTGATGATGATATTAATGAAGAGAATATCATATTAGGTAAGTTGAGCTAAAGACAAAACTGATTTCGTTCCCATCTCAGCATAACCAACTTTTGTATTACTGGCCAGAATGGGACTATCTTCTTTCAATAGAAGTTTTTTCATATAAACTACAATACTACGAGTTTAATTCATCCACGATATGCTAACCCAGGATAGAGTAAAATAATACATTTACCTTTCTTTCTCTTATAACATCACTACGTTTCACCCCAGTATTCATTTTGCAATTCATTGGTTTACAGGATGACTGCCAGGTAAGTCAACCTCTCACCGAAGAGAAGTCTTCGGAATTTACCTATTATCTTCATTTTATATTGTATGTAAATTGCATTACTAAATTTGGTATTAACAAGTTACATTATGTGAACCATCATATTTAAATTTTGAGTTGCCGTCGTTGCTCAGCGATAAAAAACATTGGCGCGTAAAATCAAGTCCTTGGTTTCAACCCCCATCGACACAACTTTGGTTTTTAAAGATTGCCTGTATAACCTCGTACTCACCTAATAATGCTTCACCTAACCCAAATAGACTGGCACCGAAGCGAATTGCTAACTCTTGCCTCGGAATAATTCCAAATGTTGACTAGAGTGAAGTACCTTTAGCGAATGACCTACAACATCTTATACTTATTTAATACACAATTTTATTTCATTGTATACGCATTACATACGAATTCAATTATCCATAGGGGCTAAAACTCTAGTAAATAGCGTTTTAATGACTACCTTACAACTTGTTTTCGATCTATGATCTTGTTGAAGTTCTGTTGAACTTGTCCATAGTCTAACCCGTTTTATAATCCTATCAATGAGAACAAAAAAGTTAGTAGTTTTTTAATTCCAATTTAAGTCTCTCTATCTAGTGCTAAGAGATAATTTTATTCCTTTACACACTGTGTTCCTCTACCTCTCACTTGTTGTAGTGCTACATGAACCTAACGGGACACAAATTCCAAATCAATACCCAGGGAGTAGCCTTCTAGTAAAGTCTATATAGTTTTTCACTTTATAGTATACATTACCAGAGATGAATACTAGTGCTCACAAAATTGTGGGAATAGAAAACAGAGATTAATTTTTTTTTTTACCTCGCTTTTGGTCCCCATTAAAGGTTACCAAAAATCAATACAAGCCATCGAATAGCCACTCAGTAACCAACTTAAAATTAAATTATAAATCCAATAATTTTTTGTATGAATCATTATATAAAAAAAGCACATACTTAGTTCCATTTTAGTTTAAATTACAACAGAAATGAAATTAAAGTATCCTATCATTCTTTAAATTTTTGCTCCAATACGAATTAATCAAATACAATCTTTAAAATCGCTCATGCTTTTCTGTTGTTATATCCCTTTGGGATGATTTAACCTTATTGGCCAGATTTGAACTAGGCCTTTCCTTGTGCCGTTTTACCAGATAACCCAAAACACCCTTAATTACTCACTTTATCAATTAATTATCTACTCGGCTCAAAGTTATAATGTTAACCTGCACCAAGTGAACTCGAAAATTCTTTTCTTTTTAAAAATTGTATTTCATATTTCTCTACTATCTATGCGTTGTCCTAACATTTCATTATTTGCTAAGTTGATTAATAATTTTGTTCACTGTGTTACTTTGTTAAATAGCTTTTTGGAATGTTTCAAAATATTTTACTAATTACTTACATACCGGAGAACGTTATCCAATCTTCCCTTTTAAAGTTTTTAACTTCTAGTTTTCTAGCATGTTTATATTAGATCTTTATAGAATTTTGTCGCGTATGGTATTGTACTTAAATGTTACATTTTCCTTTGAGGAATTTGAAAAGGTAAGAGGTTAGTTTTGGTCGAAATTAGTTAATTAAGTGTTTGCGTGTCATCTTCATCTTTCGATGAGTAAAATTAACACTTATGTAGTAATTTTACAAGGTAATTTTTCAATCTAGTTTTACATCTAAAGAAATAATCTAAAAACTCTTCTCTAAGTAATTTAATACAGTTAGGACAGAAACTTGTAAAAACATCCTCTTGTAGAAGGTTACTTCCTAATTTTTTTTTACTTCTAACCTTGTGTACAAGGCTAGTTCTCTTTTTAATTAAAAAAACAAAAAAAAAAACATATTTATTTCTTAAGCTACTACAACGACGTAAATAAAGGTGTTCTTACCTAGTTAATGCTGATTAGGTTTAACTATTCCTGCTAATCTAAGTTCTTCACGATGTAACAGGCCTTGTTTGAGAAGTGATTTTTTGGCGCCTTCCTCGCTGTAACTCACTTAGACCTAAGGTGAAATGCACACCACGGGTTATATTTCTCCAAGGCAAAAAACCTCAACAGTCTTTATCACTTAAGGAGGGCTCCTTTTAGGTTTTCGGATGTACTAAGGTTATATTAGGTGGTCGATTAAACTCTGTACTCCAGCTCTAAGTCGGTAGTACCTCATCCCTCCGGCACTTCTTTTTTTTTAAGGAAATCAAATATTTACAATTCTTGTTTATAAACTTAATGTCACTTATTTAACATTGTATTTCAGTCCTACTTGGCTTACAGGAGTGCCTGACGTTCGGGGATGATATTACTACTACAAGTGAAAGCTATAAACATTGTTTAGGCCTTAGGCTCCATAAGTGCATGGCAGTAATACTAAATTACGAAGAGATTAAGTGGAAGAGGCCTAAGCCTTCAAAAGCTTGAATCCCACCTCCCTTGGGTAGTTTATTTAACCAATTAGCTAAATTAGAGAAATAAAGTTTTTATTATTAGCTTTGATAATGCGACTGAAGTCAGGTAACTGTATTCCTAACCTTCAACTGCTATTTAAGGATCAGATTCACCCAGACGAGATTAAAGTGCTCTGTATTTTTCCGACGACAAATATTGATAAATTTTCGGATAATCAATTGTAGGGGGCCCCTGACCGCTTTAGTGTTCCTTTTTATAAAACCTTGAGGACCTGGAAATTTGTCGGTAGTAACGCCTTTTAAACTCTTGATACGCCAGGATAGGTTTTTAAGGTAATCTTAATACCCTTCCTCCTAAGCATACACATTGATATCCGAATTTTTACGGGGTGGTTTAAAATCCTCTCTTAACTCTACGCAACTCTTAATTGTAAGTTATATGATGCCACCTCCATTTAATTTTAAGGATTGTTTAAAATTTTTAATTCCCGAGATGAAACCTTTCTTTGTTAGTCTCTTGTATCTCGGATTTCTGTGCATATTTTTAAAGGATAAAGGCGTAAAACTTGAGCTAATTTCAAAATTTAACTCTTGGACTGAATTACTACGGTTATAAAGCTATTTCTCGTGCTTAATTATTAGCTATAATATACTAGTCGTATCGCTTTACCCTTGATTCCTGCTTAACTTTAGGCTTCCTTCTCGTGACCAGGATGAACTTGTAGACTTAGGTGAAGTCCACTAAGTTTCGTAGATAAGCTGGCAGCTAGGGCTACTAAGGTATTGGCCAACAGCTGCTATTTAACTCCTGAGTGGATAGGTAATTATTCACACTACTCATACGTACAAAGAGTACGTCTAATCTTCTAGGGTATTTTTTAATAGTTGCTACCTGTCTGCTACAACCTATCCTCGAGGAAGGTCGTACAACCCTAGCAACCCGCCTCACTCCTTAACTACACTTTTTAATTACACAACCCTCTTCCAGGTTTATTTATTTTCAGTATATACACTAAATAATTAAGCTGATTATTCTTTCAAGTTAAAAGCATTTAAATAATAGCAGCATTAACGCGAGGGGAACTTCTTCATAGTGCGAGCACCCCGCGAAATACGCGTCAGCAGTCCTTTTAAATTCCATTTCACCGGTGTAAAGTGAGCTCTTAATGAGTGGTTTGACTGTTAACTTATAAGTACATTTTCTAATAAAGTAAAGATTGATCTCCTTCGTCAGGTTACTGTTATTGTATAGAGTACGAAAAATCGCACCTACACGCAATAGATGTTATTTTTAGAGAATTTCCGCGGAACTGGATTGCATAGTGATTATAAATAACCTTAACTTTGGTCCTGGCATCCCTTACGATTTCGTGGTTCATGGATAGGAGTTCCTGCAAAATTTTCTCTCTTATCCTTGGTTAACTAGTACCCTATTTGATACTTAAATCACATACGACAATTAAGCCGCTGATTTGTGGTAAGCTCTATCTTAAAATAAGGGAAGTTACGTATTCTTTTCGATCGGGCCGAAAGATCTGCTCTTAAAAAGGTAAAATCTCTTTGTTCACTTTAGTCATGATGAAGGTTGTAGCTTTTTCATGGCCTAGGGCTTGTGTTTCTTCGATACTCATTGGGCTGGGCTCTTCTGCGAGCTTCAGTGACTGACTTTTGTAGCAGCATTTTGCTTTGCTGTTTGCAAGTGGATACTAGTATTTCTGCTGATGTTGGGTATTCCTACATTTAACTGTAAAGCCTATAATTCTTAGTGAAATCTTGGCGAGACTTATTAAAATTATTACAATAAGATACCTTAAGTAAGTAGGGAAAATCTAAGCAGTGGCTATTCTGTTGTCCTAATAGGTGATAATTAATAACACTCTACCTATTTAGATAATCAGCTTAAAGTGTCAGGCTAATACGTAGTGATAGCACTGACTATAATGAGGGCAAGGACTTAAAGGACGGGGACGATCAAACCACCTATGTACCTTTACAAAGGTCAAAAATCATTTCCATTTATAATATTTGTTTAGATTAAATTTAAGATTCTTGATACTAAATGTTTAATTTGTTTCCGTTAATAAGAGGGATCAATATTTACCATATTAGTGTATAATTGTAATTGTTTAACTTAAGCATCTGCTAAACTGTGTAAAGATACGTTTATTTTATAAATATTAGTTAATAATGATAATAAATATTAGTTAATGATATTTTTAATTGGTTTATATTTTATTTTTCCTGTGTGGTTTATATTTGCTTAGATATATGTGAATTTTAATTCATTACTAGTCGAACTTTAGTTAAGACATTATTATTGTTTAACTGAGAGTCAGTCTATGTCTTTAGTGGTAAAGAAGTTCGTCTTTTGCTCGTGGTTTAGCTCAATAGGTTTTCATTAGGTTTTCCTTTATTAGCGTTATAACACAATATTTTAATATATCGCGCACTTTTTAGTGTTTTCCTAACACCCTAGGGCAAATGGTAGGAGCAGGGCTTAATGTGTCTTAGTTACCTCTCAGCCCCATAAGGTAGCCAGCCCTCCTGTGAAAGGACTGAACGATTAAAACTTGTCCTATCACGGCTAATGTCTAATTGTCATTAATAAAAAAATATAATTAAATATAAAGGCATTTTCCTTATAAAAGAGTCATTTGTTATTTTATACTTTTTACGGCAGAAAAGCCAGCAAACCAGTAGAGTCTAATAAGTAAGCGTAGCTCTATTTTCATACTTTGATTAATATCCGTTTAACTTCTCTATTTATTTATTTTTAGATACAATCAACAAGTTAGACTTCGCTTTTAAACCTTTTTTGAATTATGGAATGCGAAGACTAAGCTTATTATGATTAAATAAAACAATTTAACGGCTTATCAGTTCGAAGACTAATATGGATACTTTACTACATAAAGCAAGGCAAACAACTAAGGATCATAACACGGAATACAAACTCTAAACTAGTTATAGTTAGAGACCCCCCGCCGCACGCAGACAACGTGGCAAGCCAATACTTTACCATTGGAAGTTGATAGGGCAGAAACTTATATGGATCAAGCCAACTTCCCAAAGGAGCCATGTTGCGATTCGTAAAGTTATTATGGATCGCCTAGAAAACTTCTTGACAATCCATTTATATTCTTGTTGTCTTTTTTAATACCAAAATTGCTCAGTAAACAAGGAAAACTATAATTGGTTCACTTCTTCACAATGACGGTTATTGATCGCTACACCTAATAGCTATAAATTTATTCTTGATTAGTTTTTTTTTTTGGTTCTAACTTAGTAGAACGAGCTAATTAGCATTTCACGACTGTTAAATTTGCTTATACAGTTAAGTGTATAACTTCACTCCTTCACGATAAGGCCAATGGTTCGATTATATTTGTAAGTATAGCTGCCTAGAGGGCAGGTACTTCGCTTTAACATTGACCGGCGACCCGTCATGGTAACCTCCCTCCCGTTCTATTCAGGGTAACAATGATTTAACCTCGAGTCTAGTGCTTAAATATTTATAACCTTCCTTTAGATGACTAATATATCCATTTTAATTTTGTTGCCAAGGTTTTTAATTAAAGCTTTTTATGCAGTTTATACCATTCCAGCATCTCACGGGTTAACTAGCATCGGTAAATTTTCCTTGTATTTTTTTTATTCTAGTGGTGCAACGAAAAAGCTGACAAACAGTAACAAACTGCTATGAAGACAATATCGGCTGCTTTTGGCTTGTTTTTTTTTTCATTGGGAGATAATCGGGGTATTGTTAGCTGGGAATTTTGTACTAGGGTTTTAGAATTCTACTTAGTAATTCTGTTAAATTATCTCCGAGTTATGCTCTGCCTGCTAAAGTGGTGATCTGTAAACTTAAATCGCCACTCTAACCTACTAATGAAAGAGCATTACTGGTTGAGCCCTATGTAATAATAAACCAATCTTCTAGTACATATGTGTTTAAGAAGAGGAATTTAGTTTAACTACTGCCATCGTTGACTTACTAGCTGTATCAAATGCGGTAACTCATATAATAGTGAAGTAAATCTACATTATTAATTGGGAATTGTTGACTGCATTATGTATAGCACTACTTCGTTGGTGACTAGTTGCGTGCTTGCTAATGATGTGTTATAATGAGTTTGTTAATTAGACGGAAAATTAGATGCTGAGCTAAGAGTGGTACGGAATGAGCAATTGGCATCGATTAGAGGTGCCTGGAGAGTGGCCTTTAGACTTTTCCTTGGGCATTCCCCTCGAAGTTTACACATTTATTAGAAATGGTGTTCTCGTATTCGCACCTTATTATTTCAAAAATTCTCATGAAACACTATAGAAATTTTTGGGTGATAACAGGTTTTGTAATTATCTTAAACTTAAATAGAAGTAATTGGCAGTTCTTAAAAATTTTTTTATACTTTCAAAGGTAAAACAAAAATATTAAATATTTTAAGGGAGCTAACCACTAGTAGAAAAACTATTATTGCTAAGAATTGGTTAAAAAATTACGACACATTGAATAAAAACCAAGATAATTCCAACATCTCACCAAGCCACCCCAAGCTTTTTTAATGGGTATATAAGTAAATATTATAAACAATTGCAAAAGCGTGAATACGTTATTTCCAAAAAAGATAATTTAAAAAAAAAATCACAACATGAAGGGTTATAAGAATTATCTTAATTTAACACCAAAATTACCTTTTATTGAATTTATTTAATTTATCAGAAAACGTTGGTTGATAATAGAAACCCCATAAACCATAAAGCAACTTTTTCCTTTTTTAATGACGCAATTTTGTATTAACCAACAAATATACTCGACACCACGAGCAGTAACCCGCTATAATGGGCCTTAGCTTATGTGTCAATTTTTACGCAAATTTCTAATTAGGATCGACACTTTCTTACCTCCTGAACATTATAAAAAAATAGTTCTCATAAATTAATTATTGTCTAACAAAACTCTTTAATGAGAACTAACAAGGTAATAAGTCTATCTAAATAACGCTAACAAGTAGCAAAAGTAAATTTAAAATTAAGTAGGAAAAGTGCATTTATGTTTTTAAACGAACATAGGGCAGAAATTCTTAATCATTATTTGTAAAGTTAAATTTTTTCTTTTCTTAAATACTTCCCCTTAAATGTATTATTATTTTTACTACTACATGTAATGTACTATTAACAACAACAAGATTAAAGGTTTGGCATAAACTTTTTATGCAATTAAGCTAAAACAAGAGTAGAGGTAGAAAGCAAGGCGAACAAAGAGACCACAAAGTATCTTGTAGGGACGTCATGAAAATATTTAATAAAAATTAAAGATAAAAAAGAGGCACCAAGTATTGACAATATATGACTTAGCACGTGAAAAATTAGGAAAAAATTAGTGTCGAAAAAAAAGCTTGGAAAAAAATTAGCAATACGGAGTTGCATGAAAATTGTTGCATTTCTAAGTAGAAGTAACACTATATAGAAGTAACTGTAGTTAGTAATTTTTTTTTTTACCGCAATCATATCAGATAAGCAAAGCAACTTGGACGTATGCCCTCTCTAAGTTGACTAGTTATAGCTTTACTATTTTTACAGTGGGTGTGGCTTATTTTTCTAGATTAATTAGACTTATAACCAGGTCTTTCAAAAAAATTAATTTTATATGCACAACTATATTAAAATTAGAGTTAGGTTTTTTAATGCGTATATTAATTGGTAACAGGGCGAAACTTACGATAGCTGACCAGCCTATTGAGTAGACACTTGACAAGCTTCAAGAGCCCTAATTTGTTGTCAGCGGTTTTTTTTGTATCGTGTCAAAGCTTTCATGTAATAAATATTTACTTTACTCAATTGATTTTTATTACATTAAAAAAAATGGATCGAAAACACTTATTTAAACCAGACTGCAAATTCAGAAAAAAACTTTTAGCTTAAATATCTTCTTACCCTAATACGTAAAACAGGATTACGGAGATCTAGAGCTCACTTGTTTTAGAAATCTCACACTTAATTCCCCAGGTTAGCTTTACACAGTGGCCAGATAGTGTACATTGTTACAAACAAATAGCTGCACCTATATACTACGTGTTTTTTTCAGTAGCTACAATAATTATATAAAATGAGAGCAAGTTTAGTGTTCGGGATCTCGACCATATTAAGCTGTTACAATCGTATTTAGAAGTCCATGGTAAGTTTAAAGTGGGAGAGTCGAGCTTGCTTACCTTCATAATTAATAAATTGCACACAATTATGGGGCCTTTACTCAAGATTTGTGGTTAATTTAAACAGTAAGCATTTTATATGTCTACTTTCATTTAAAAAAAAGGATGTGTTGCGAACATTAGGTTAATATCAAGTACATAAAGGCTGTATACTTGAAATTAAATTAAAAAAAAATTAAAAAAAATTTTAGTGGAAGTTGTTTGGTACTCCTTCCCACGCCCTCTTCTTATAATAATAATATTATAAATAACTACTTCTTAATAATATATATGATGGTATTACAATTTGTTCTAAAACATCACCACCTTGACTTTTTTTTTGTGATAATCTTATTTATCTAAGTTTTAAAATGGGCTATGTGAATCGAGCCAATAAAAATCTTACTGGGCCTAGTATGCAATTTAATGTTTGGTTAAAAATTAATATTAAAAGGAAACATTTTAACACTTATGGTAAGTATCATTATCTTTGTTTGTTTTTTATAATGGTTAATATATAGAATAATGGCTCTAAGACTCAAGCTGTCTTCTAGTCGTGTGTGACTGCTAAACGAATAAAACGGGGGCCTGATTCTATGAAGGGAGTATAATTAATAACCATCTAAAGTTTAAACTAAACTAGTTTCGTTTTTGGTTTGTTATATACTAAAAATAATGGGTCACCAAAATTCTTATAATTTACTTGTATTTAATGATTCGGCATTAATTAATCAAGATCAAGATCACATTAAATGTGTTTGATAGTTTTACTGGTGACAACCCTTTCTTAAA